GCCCGAACGATTTCGATAAAAATTTAGTATGTTATAGTCCTTTATATTCTGAACAAAATGGTACAAAGTCCCATTTCTGTAAAAATTACGGTTCAAAAGTTATTGTAAATTATGTTATATTCCCATAAAAACCCCATAAAATAACGGAAAAATCGGATTTTCACAAAAATGGCCCGAACGATTTTGATAAAAATTTAGTATGCTATAGTCCTTTAAATTCTGATCAACATTGTACTAATCCCATTTCCGTATAATTACTCTCACCGCTTACACGTGATAAATGTTGTTGACAAACTTATGGGAGAAAGTATGTGTCAGAATGCTGATACCGTTTATTTGTTTTTTGTTTGAAGTTCATTGTTGGTGATGGTGAGATAATGTTTGTGATGGAAAATGTCCACAATAAACCTTTGAACAAATTTTTTTGTTTGATGGCAAATCTATACACAATGACCTATCTAACGACACCTTAAACATGGTCATCAGATGCATGGCAGCTTCAAAACAACTATCACAATATTCATGTTGGCCTATTAAACATAGTTTAATAAGTACTTTTGTTACTAGGGAAGGTAATAAATTGTTTTTATGGTTAAATGTTAGTAGTATAGTATGAAATAAATAAATAGGCCCTATTCCAAATTTAATTAAAAAAAGTTTATGACCAAAACCAAGCAAACTATAACAGTGTACTTCAAAAGAGTGACATGGAAATTTAAAATTTACAGTTTTTTAGGAAATTTCCCTATAGGGAGGAAGTAGCTATTATTACCGTAGGTGGCACGGTAAGACCTAGGCCCGGGACCAATTTACTTTTCATTTTGATAAAATAGTATATAAATACGTATCTAAAATGCTATATCTTTACAATAACAATTGAAGTGAGTGACACAGACAACATTTTAAAGTAAAATTAACAAAACTGCCTAAAGAGGTTAATTTAAAAATCAATTGTAGAAAGTTATGCAACACCCTGAGTTGAAGGTGACTTAAAAATCAATACACCATTACGGCCTAAATTAATGTTTCATAGTGGAATTGTGTGCGGTGTCATTGACACAAATATTGAAAGCACGCCACAATATTGATTGATGTGAGGTACTGAGGCACCACAAACTGGGAAAATCTGTTCCAGAGCTCCCACATGCTATAGAATTATAAACACCCCCGCCACAGCAAACCTGCATTTTTTATTCAAACTCCCAATTTTTGTGTGACTGAACTTTTACTAAAATATTTCTTTAAACATGTCAGATGTATTCCCTATTTAAATAAGATTAAGTTTAACTAGTACCGTACATCGGTTTACAGATAAGATTTACTTATGTACAACAGGGAAGGAAGGTTTATTTATGTAAACAATATAGGTAGTTAGTCTAAAATATAGCACCTAATTATTTGACATACCCATTAACCGAAAAGGTAAACAAAAGACTTGTCACATGTGTTTATAACAAGTGTACTAGCAAATTACAAAATACAGTACAAAGGAAAAACTTCAATTGTAACTATTGAGCAAAGATTACACTGAAGATTACTCGATATATAGGGAAGTAGTTTTGATCAAATTTAGATTATTTTACTTAGTCCCCTCCCACCAAAACTAATCCCCATAGTACTGAGGCATTCCAAGTAAATGAAGTACATCTGGGGGTTTTAACTGGCATAAAACACTATTACCGTGGTATGCTAAATCCCAAGAAAAAATAGACAGGATCACAATTTCTTTAGAAGTACCCCAATTTCTTTAGTAGTAGTAGCAAAGAGAAAAATCATTTTTTTAAACCATTATGGAATTATGATTTTGTTTATATCACATTTTTATCTGGTGTCATCACTCATCAGTGAGCGCAAGTGGAACAATGTGTTGGAGAAACATCCTATGCAAAAGATCATAAAAGTGTATCTTATTTTTGTTTGATTGGATACTTTTACATTACTGAGTTGTTATTATTTCAGTAATCAAATGTCTATGGTTTGTAATGAAAAAAGATTTGGTAAATTATGTCTGTTTACGATATTGTTTTAACAATAAAACCTAATTAACCACACCACAACCTAGCAAGGATCGGTCCACCGGTACTAAATATCTAAGTGAATAGTGTTTTTGGCCTGTTTAGGGACATAAAAATGAAAAAAATAAATCAATCACAGGTTTAGGTCTCACTAAGCAACTACGGCAATAACTTCTTTCTTACCGTTTGGGGGAGATTTAAGTTTAACAATGGATAAGGTCCACCTGTCTCTATGAATTGATGTATTGAAATTTTATTTAAAGTGTTTAGTTGTGTTGATGTTTACAAATCTGTGGCAAAGGATTGATGTGGTCTTTATACACAGGGTGTCCTACGAAGGGGTTTAAACATTTGATGTTATATTACTTGCCCATTTATGCTCCGATCATTTTAAACATTTGAACGTTTTGCTATTGTTTACACAATTTATAAAGTTGGTTTTAAAAATATTCTGGGAAAATTTCAGCTAGGCCTACCTACCAATAGTGGCATATTGATTAATGATATCCTCCTATGATATCATCCTGGATTTATATTGCAACATTCAACCAGGAATGATTAGCAGAACAACTGTTACTTGGTGTAGTTTGCACCATGTACTTGACTAAATTTATCTCTCTCAACATTGCATTCCTGGACTAACTTATCTAGATCTGTCTTGGACATTACATTACCTACTTTACTTTCACAACATCTTGCAGGTAAAAATGTGTCATTTTAGCAAATTCCCCATATAAGAAATAAGCTAGGTCTCATTGTAAGAAATGGGCCCGGGACCGATTTGCTTTTATGTTTTGATGCCCCCAGAGGCCAAAGACACCATCCTTGAACATTTATATATATATGTGTCCGTTAGCACAATAACTAGAATTATCTGGTTTCAAAGAAATTTTATAAAAACGTGTGAACCTATATATTTTATTTTACTCAAACGGGTTCATGAACCATTGTGCTCGGACCATGGGAAGGGAGTTTTATGAGGGGATTTATAGGGTAGAAATTTATTTTCTCTTTTTTGGACCCTCAAAACATAAAATTTCCCAATTTCTCTCTAAAAAATTTGGAGAGATTTAGACTCTCTAAGAGTGTAAAAAAAAACAAGTAAAATATAGTATCCTGAAATGTTTTTGTACCTACGGTTATTGGTTGAAGAATGTTAAAAACAAAATAGTACTTAAATTTAAAATTTATTTCTACGGAGAATAAACTGTTGTAGTTTCCTTGTTTATGGATATATTTTTACAAACTTGGAAAATAATTAATTTTATAGTAGGCCTACCTACTAAGATATAAATATTTTTTTAAAAAAGCACACTTTATTCTCTGTAGCACCAAACCAAGGTACCTACTCATTATAAAAAACTTTATGTTATTGAAATTGATTTAATTAAAAATAAAATCAGGCAAATGGAAATTTGCTTATTCTGCAGGTTTGCTGCGGCGGGGGTATTAATTTTGATTGGATGTTAGTAGAAAAGTATAACATTTTCAAATATTTCTCAACTGGTCATTGAAGTAAATGTTATATGGTTTGTTACTGTTACAGTACACAAGGCAAAAAAATATATATTTTTTTACAAAGAAATGGTATAAAACTGCCATTTTGAGATTTTTTTGGGGGGGGGGGGCAGTGTTTCCTTCTGATAGAGGGAAAATATCTAATTGATTTTTATAATCATTCATGGTTAAGATATGGGATGATATGGGTTGACTGTTGTATGGTAAAAATAAACTTCTTCATAACAACTTCTAGTTTGAAAGGTCCTTGTTTGTAAGATAGGCATATGTAAGGTACAATTGTCAGCATTTTGATTTAATAGCCTATAATAGTAGGGTGTTAAATAAAATGCAAGCGTATCTTCCAAAAAATTGAACATTAAACAAATTTTATTTTTGATTAGCCTACTTTTTCGCAAACTTAAGCGAATTCCACATAGGGAATAAGCTATTACCGTAGGTCTCATGGTAATGCCTAGACCCGGGGCCCGGACAGATTTATTTATTGTTTTGAAGTCCCCAGAGGCCTAAAACACCATATGTTCGCATTTTATATATGTGTCCGTTAGCATGATAACTTGAGTTAAAATGATCTGATTTTGGTTAAATTAGGTACATATATATAGGCTAGATTCATTTTAACGAGTTTGCAAACCAGCATGTACAATTAATAATTACAGAAAATTGCACAAAATAACTGTAAATTCAAACTGTACATTGTTGTACTGTAGTTGGTAGCCTAGAATAATTTCAGTCTAGGCTACCAAATATTTTGCAAAAAACACTCAACTACATTCACCAGCAGCAAACCTAATTTATACTGGCACAGATCCAGCATAGGACAATTTAAAGATATGGAGATACAGCATCAATCAGTAAATCACAAACTTATTAACACATGAAAATAAGAGTAAATTGTAACAAAATTCCTTTTTTGTTTACGGAATAATAAAAGCACCCAAGAGTTTTGATACATGGTCACTCTTTTATTCACACCATCCATTAATAATAATCCTGAAAAATATGTGCATAATTTTGAATTTAATGAAGGAATACTTCAACCTTTTAGAAAAGTATTTTTCAATTGTTAAGTTTTAGGTAGGCATACCTACCAACACATCATTTACCCCCTCGCAAATTAACCCTGTTTGAACTTTGGAATGAAGAAAAGAAAAAAAAAATTATAGCCTACTTTAAAATTGTAAGCCTCCTAGTGAACACAGACATTTGTTAAAATTTAAATAATTTCACCTTAAGTCGTTAAGAGAATAAATGCCTGGTTTGCTGAACAAACTTAACATAAAACTTTATTTAAATTATATAAAAAGATTATATAGCACTAAGGAACCTAGCTAAAGCCATTAACAGCTTTTTTTTCAAACACTTCATTGCATCTTTAACCCTCTCATTCAATTTATTATTTAAATCTGTCCTTCAGGAAAAACACACAAATGCCATTCAAATTCGAGAAAAACATGAGGTACATACCTTCAACTTCATTGACAGTGTCACTCATGTTGGATGCAGATGATACAATTCACCACCTGGAATCAGACACAGTGAGTGATAGTGAGTGTGAGTGAGAAGGGAGGAGGGGACTGCAGCTGTGACAGTGGTGCTGGAGAGGGGAGGGGTAGCACCTGCAGTGTCTACCAGCTGATACCCCCTCCACAGCCTCCTAGAGATCAATCCACCCCACCCTCAGACACTGACCTATGTTGAGGCAAAGTTCAATGGCTACCCTAGCCAGAGAGGATATAAAACTAATGCTAATCAGGATGAAGACATTTCAAAGTTTAAGCTACGAAGGCATTTTTCTATATAGCTACACAACTTAAAAATGCTACATTGCTTTTGCAGGCTATAGGCCTAGCATATTTGCTACAAATAAAATTGAAGATGTAATGTTTTAACATGTCTTGGCTAATATTACTGGCAATTTTGTTAAATGATTTTTATTAAAGAATAATATTTTTGCTACAGTTGTCTGAAAGTTTGTAGCATTTTTGCTCAAACAAATTTCATCCCAGCCTTTACCCTGCATTTAATATCTAGGTCTATAACAATTAATTGTTATTGTTAATGAAAAATAACTATAATATAATTTAGGGTTTTATGATATAAATCTATTACTGTAATTATTCCTAAAAGGAGTTTAGGTAGAAAAAAAAAAAGATTTTCAAACCTATGTGGACCTACATGAAGGCAACTGACTGTGTTATTTTATCTATACTAGTGCACCTGTTGCTCGAATTCAAGCAATTGCAAAGTATTACAGTACAGGCTTATTTCAAAGATAATGTACAGTAGTCGCAGATAGTCTGGGCGCCCGGCTGCGCTAAGGCGGGGGGTGTATAGGGGCGTGTTTATTGCTCATTTTCAAAAACATATGGCGGTCACGGCTCTCTGGGGTTGTTCAGCGCCTCAGTGCTGTCTTCATGGCTTTGGCGTGGGGGACGGTTAGTACACAAGGGTCCGCGCGCCCAGACTAACTGCGACTACTTTATAATCAATCACTCCCTCCAGTTATTGAAACTGAAAATGAACTGACTCTGAAAACGAATGCTCTTGTGTCTATCATGTGTTTACTATGAACAGATGAAATTAATACAAATTATTCGTCTGTTTAAGTAGGCTAAACAAAATCCTTTCTTCATAACAACTACATTGGGATTTTGATGCCCTGTGAGGCAAAGCCCAAGGATTTTTCAAAAGAGGGCGTCTACACAAAAAAATACTAAATTTTGACACACCTTTTGTAAAAAACCTGTCCATTATTAATGGAGGAGTAGTTTTTTGTAGAAATCGCCACAGAGTATTATTATATATAAGGACTAGGTCAATATTCTAAATTAGCCTAGCCTTATTAGGTTTGAAGTTGTGGACTTGGATAAGAATTTCTAAAGCCCCGTTCACACGGGGTGAGTTTACAAGCTACACGCCGGTTTTTTTACACGCAGCTAGTAAAATAGCTCAGTGTGAACGAAGTACTCGCTCAAAAGCTGCTTGTAAAAAGCTCTGGAAAAAGTTGACGCTGCCGCTACTTTACACGCCAACTCACCAGCTTTTGAGCGAGTAGGCGTGTAAAGTAGCCCAGTGTGAATACAGTGGCTTGTGCTTGTGCGCATGTTATTCAAAGATGTCGGAGGATTTGGTTCAAGCTTGCTACTGAGCGAGTGGAAAAAGCATCGTGTGAACGACTACAAGCGCACTCGCCAGCGTCTTTCTACACGTCGGCAAGTGGACAATCTCCGTGTGAACGAATACAAGCACACTCGCCAACTCGCCATCTTCTTACATGCTGGCGAGTAGCTTGTAAACTCGCACCATGTGAACGAGGCTTAATAAAAAAAAGTATTAAATCCTAACATTTTAAAATGTTGTGAAGCTTAGTGGGTTCTCTCTGTTGGGTATGAAAATAGTATATAATTTGGCTAAGATAGCGTATAAGGAATTATTTTTGAATGAATTTGTATTTAAAATTTCAACAGAGTTTAAGCTAAGTTATTTGATAAAAAAGATGACGATTTGATATTAGCCTAATACTAACAGCTGTAACAGGATTGCTTTCATAGCAGTGAAAGCCAGTTTAGCGGAGCAATCATGTGTCATGGTTTTTATTGTTTTTAATAAAGCAAAATACAAATGTTCCCACACTCTGCACTGCTATCCTTAACTAGGCCTACTTCCTTCACCACTTCCTACGTCGTGGACCTGTTTCCCTCCCTCCCCATAGCATTTTAGAATTGCCAATACAGTTGAACCTCGTTTGTACGAACCTCGATAAAACGAATTCCTCGATAAGACAAATTTTTTTTAATCCCCACACACTCATATAGGTCAATGCTAAAAACACCTCTATACAACGTAGTAATTAAGTTTAAAACCTCCATAAGACGAATTTTTGTGTGACATGGGCTAGGACTGATTAACCTCTATACAACGAATGTTCTTAGCACAAAACCTCTACAAGACGAACGTGACCTCTATAAGACGAATTTGTCATAATCTTAACCTCCATAGTACGTAGTTTTCAAAACAAACAGAAGCTTGTCTCAACATGAAACCCCCACCCATCCCTCCTCCTTCCTCAGTCATTGTTTGGAGAAACCTTGGAGCGAGGAGAAACCTCTATAAGAAGAATAACAGCAGCATTAAACCTCGATAAAACGACCCTCTTTATTAAGAATACCTCTATAGTACGAATTTTTCCCGTACCCCTTGAAATTCGTCTTATAGAGGTTCAACTGTACATTAATCTAACTGCCACAAAGGGTTCCCACACTCTGCACTACCAGCATTTACTACTTCCTTCACCACTTCCTACGTCATGGACCTGTTTCCCTTCCTTCCCATAGCATTAGTATTGCAGATAAATTAATGCAACTGCCACAAACGGTTGCCACACTCCGCACTGCCAGCCTTTACTACTTCATCCACCACTTCCTACGTCGTGGACCCGTTTCCCCCCTTCCTAGAGCATTTTAAGATTGCGGATACATTAATCTAACTACACACTGCACTGCTGGCCTTTACTGCTTCCTTCATCGCATCTTATGTCGTGGGCCTGTTACCCTCCCTTCCCATGTTAGTTAGCCTATACCTAGTATTTTAGATACGTTCATCTAACTGCCCACAAACGTTCCCACACTCCGCACTGCTAGCCTTTACTACTTCTTTCACCACTTCCAACGTTGTGGACCTGTTTCCCTCCCTTCCCATCGCATCTAGGATTGCAGATGCATTAATCTAACTGTCAAAGACTGTTCGCACACTCCGGACTGTTCGTCTTTACACTACTTCCTTCACCACTTCCTGCGTCTTAGACCTGTTTCCGTCCCTTCCCATAACATTTTAGTAGCCTATAGCAGACATTAATGTTAACTGCCACAAACGGTTCCCACACTCCGCACTGCCAGCCTTTAACTTACTACTTCCTTCACAACTTCCTACGTCGTGGACTTGTTTCCCCCCTTCCCATGGCATTTCACTGTTTTAGATATAATTATCTAACTGCTACAAACGTTTCCCACACTCCTCACTTCTTGCCGTTGCTACTTCCTTATGGCAAGGGACTAACTTAAGTTACGGACAGAGACATCATGTATCATGTAATGTAACTTAAGCTAGGTAAGTTATATATCTTAGGCAATGGAGTTTTCAAAACTTTAAGGCTTTTTAAAGTACCATAACTTAAGCGACCTAGGGACTGGGCATTAATGGAATGAAACGCCACGCATATGCATAAGTTAGGCCGATAACTTAGTGCAATTCAGAGGCCAAAGGTAAATACAAATTTTGCATTGGCAAGGGTACCTGGTTTTGATTCAGGCTAGGCCTATCATGCATTAGGAAATAAAACTGTTACCGTACCCTACATTAAATTATTAACCAATAGTCTTGTAAGTTATCAGGCTAGGCCCTACAATTGCAATATCTTGACAGGCTTTGTATCTGTGAATTATTCCTAAGCCTCTGTCCTATCTAGTAACATATTTATAAAGTGTTAAACCGTGTAGTCCTACTGACTTTGTGTCAAATTTGCACAAGTCCAGGCAAAGTTTATTTATTTAGCAGTAAATACATAAACTACCATTCACCATTGATTAGTCTTACTTGGCAATGGTAATTACGATGAAATGCCGACATGGAAGTTAAGTTTACTTGTGGAATGAGCCAAATTTCAAGACAGCAAGTAGCCTAGGGCCAATTGAAGAGGTAAATTAACCTACCACAAGATCTTTATAGGCTATAGGTTTAAATAGTTTTATCCAATTACTAAACTTACCAAGAAATCAAATTCCAGGTTTCTAGACAGAAAAAGCAGATAGTAGTTCACTTGTGGTTGCACGAAACTTAAAACTTTAAACTTCACGATTCCCACAGAGAGCAGAGCAATGCGAAAACGAAAACGTTCTTTGTCAAATCGTGTTTATATTACCCCGTGTATGCGCAGATTCAGAAAATCGAGAGTGCTCATTGGTTGATTTGAAAGCTTGACTCGAATCTACAACGGGATTGGTAGTTTCAATTTTACACTCCCGCCTAACCTCTCATGCGATTTCAGCCAGCGGCCAGTCGGCCAGTGTACATAGAGGCATAGATCGAACATAGGCCTATTCCATAGAAGTATTGCCTTTTCATATAGCAAAATATGTGTAACTATATCTTATTTATTTTGGTTGAACCGATCTTAAATCACTGAATAAAACTATTGTGGCCATCATAAACGAAGTAGATTTCCCTTCGGGGATTTTTTTCTTTCGGATGTCAAGCGAGCAAAAACTATAAATATTAACCTGGTAACATTAGTGCTAAAGCTGCTAAGCTATTTCAAAACTTCTACATACAGTAGGCCTACAAGTGTTCTTCAGCCTCTAGACTTCATAAATCCTTTCATTTAGTATGCCGACACATTACTAAGTATTTTTTTCTATAATTATTGTGAAACGTCTAACATTTCTCGATTTCTCCACATTCATCTTGTGTTCGGAAAACGGGATAATGAAACTTATCTTTGACACCATTATTATATAATCAATCAATCAATCAATTGATTTAATCGATTGATTGAATAAGAAGTATTATTACAAGCAAATATAAGTGTCAGGTAATTTCAAAAATGATATTATTTTATAATTAGCATAACTGAACTTGGTTTGAAACTATACCCTATAGCTCCTAGCTGAAACTAACAAACCATGAATTGAATATAGGCCTAAGACGTGTACACTCTACACACTGTTTTTAGCGATAAGGTCAGCGTACCTTGTGGGAAAACCCAGATGCCTTCAACGACTTCAAGTAACACCGCACTCGACTTTTGTGGTACCGGTACCACAGCGACCTATTCGTCAAGTCAGATCAACAATGGTGATTGGTGAACGCGGAAGTTCAAGGGTGACGACAGAAATAATCAATCAAAGCAAATAACCTGAACATAGGCTACTACTGGAGTTGTTTTGTAGTCTATTGATTGGTGCACATTATAGGATTTCTGTAATAGCTTCCATATTGAACAATGTTTTAAATTACATTCTTTACTACACTCCTTGTAATAATTTAAAAAACTAATGGACTTCTGACAACTTAAGAGGAGTCACTAAAGTGAAACTATATAGTGATAAAAAAATCTTTTTAAAAATTGTCATATTGCCTATAGTTTTTCAGGTTTAGTCTTGGAAAAAGGTTTACCCCCCTTTAAACTAAGAAAATATTTTGTTTACATACTTTTGGGAGGTTTTTGAGCTTTTTCAGAAAAAAATATGGGGTTTTTAAATCTCTTATAATTGTTCAACTACTGAACCAATTTTATTGGTTGATATCTCATTTTAAAGAGGAAGAAAAGTGCTAACTTTCTGTGCATACCGGTACTCATATTTTTTCAATTATTTTATAAGTAAATGGCTTCATAAATATATATTTTTTTTTAATTCCTAGGTAGTTAATTTATTTTATTTTTTTCATGAACTTGTATGTACTTGTATGAACCTATTATAATATCCATGCACAAAAATAAGCTGCTTTATAGTACAAACAATGTGTGGTAAAAAAGTTCATTCATATAGCTTTAATAGTTAAAAAGTAAAAAATTTAATAAAATTTAATTTAATAGTAAAGAGTTTTAACTTTATATGTAAAAAATAACAACATTTTAAAGTTGCAGAAAAGCGTAATAGTTATACTTACAACCATAGAAACAGGTGCACGCTCCACTTCAAATATTTTTTCACAGTGATAAAAATATATATACTATGTTTTTCTGGAATCCTATACACCATAAACAAATTTCTTTACAAATTCGGTCATTTTCAGTAGCGACTTTCCTTAACTTAGGCAAAATAATGTTCAACCCAAAAAAGTAACTATACTTAGATTCGGAATAAATGCATAAGGGCTGCAAACAACAAAATCATAATAGTATATGTCCTTTCTTAAATTTCAAAAAGAGCTGATACAACAGATTTTCATAGCATATGGGTTTTCTTTAATATTCCACATTTGTTGCAGATTAATACTAGCATTTAAGTTACCAGCCAGAAGGTGGATATCGATTTTTCATCTTCATTGAATTTTATAGCAATTTTATTTTTAGACTTTTCATTACTTATTTGCAAAGATCCTAAAAAACCAAACCCAAACTTAAGATCATGATATTTTGACAGCGAAGCTCAAAAGGAGTAGATTTATCATGTCTATAAGGAAAACTTTAACTTTGTATAGATTCAACATACTATTTTAATGCCAAATTTATTTTTATTTATTTTAGTGTGAAACACCATTACTTGAGTTACATTTTAGCGACAATAACGTTAGAAATCACAGGTTGGATTGGATAAAACTGTTTGTTGCCGTATAACGTGGGTACTTAATTTATTAAATTAAATCAATAAATCGTTCAAAAAGACCGTTAAACCATCACACATCTAAAAAGACCGTTGGTGAATCACAAACGGGGCATTCGTAGGAAGTAGTTATGTGCCCAATATGGGCAAAGAGTGAGTGGGCTGAACAAGACAGTGGGAGCCTGCCCCTGCCTACGTAAAAACGGTCTGCAACTGCCAACTGCATCCAACGGAAATGAAACAAATTAATAAACTACTGAAACCAAACCACAGATTAAGATAAGATAATAGCATGTTTGCTAACATTCATCATCTACTCTACAATTTCAAATAGAGATGGAAGCTTGCATAGTGAATGTATTTATAAAATACACTAAAAGAAATATATAAATTCACCTAACACAAAATGATGAAACCGTGATTTTTTAGGCATTATTTGCGATTCAATTGTCATTTTAAAAATACAGAGGATTAGCTCAGAACCGTATTACAATTTACGGTTGACAGCAGTATGATTTTACTCCTGTCTATGTTTACAAGGTAAATCTGTTGATTTAGCAGAATAACACAATAATTATGTGTTTTATTATTATAAAAGGTTCTTCTTGGGCAGTGGGAAATACAGGGTGTTTTCTTTAAAGACAACCCAAATTATTATAAGTTCAGTACCAATAAGACACTGTTTAACAACAAAACAAGCTCATATTTTGGTATTTCTTTATTGTTATTCTATACGAGCAGAGTACTCATTCTTTGTGGGGTTGGCGTATTAGTATAAAATGCTTATTGCATTGTTATACTCGTGCTTTGCGTTTGCAATGGGGGAGGATAAGGTTTGAGATAATTTGGTTCTTTATATTTACGTTATGCAATAATATTACACATCTACCATAGCCATACTGTTCTACCATACATAAACAAACTGTAAACAATACTTTGACAGATCTCATTGTGAATCTCAACTTTTTGATGCTGCTTACTTCAAATTACCTGTTATCATAATTGCAAAATAATTGGTATCAGCAATCTGACACATATTTTCTCCCATTAGCTTGTCAACAACCTTTATAAAATTGTAAGCTGTGGGAGTAACTATATGATATTTTATAGGGAAATCACAAAAGTTGCAATCACTTTTGTTGAACCATAATTGTTTCAGCAATGGGGGTTGCGCTATTTTGTTTAGAATTAAAGACCTTAACACATTAATTTTCCTGAAATTATATTTTTGTTATTTTATGGGGTTTTCGTGAGAAAAAAGCATAAGTTACAATAACTTTTTAACCATAGTCTTTACGTAAATTGTATTTATACCATTTTGTTCAAAATTTGAAGGACCATAACATAATAATTTTAATCAAAACCGGTTTTTTTCAAAAATACTATTTTTTGTCATTTTCTGGAGAAATAACAAAAGTTAAAATATCTTTTGAACTCTAATTTTCACTTTTTTGTACCATTTAGTTCAGAATTTAAAGGACTATAACATACTAAATTTTTATCAAAATTTTTCAGGCAGTTTTTGAGAGAATCCTATTTTTCTGGTAATTCATGGGTTTTTGTATGGAAAAATTACCATTACAAATCAAAATTTAAAAAATAATTTAAAAAGCCGAGATACCATGGATTAGAGTCTACATAACAAATTTCTCCATACTTTCTCTATGGTATAGGGGGAGAAAGTAAAAATAATAGTGCTGCACCCTGTTGGTAAACCTTATAATTTCATGCTATTGAATATCATACAACCAACTTATTAAGTTGAATCGGCTGACAAAATTATTTGATTCCTTTTAAACGTGAACACCCATACGGTTAACATGGGAAACTCCAGAGCCTGAAAGGGGTTTTGAGATAAGAACATGACTATATGTTAATCAAGAATGTGAGGTATCATCATGAAAAATTTCAGTCCAATACAACCAGTAGTTAATGCGTGATTCAAACAAACCCACAAACGTTTCACATTTATATTAGTATGATTAGATTATATTGCCTATCAGCTAATATGCATTGTTGCATGGTTATATATGCCTTACGCTCCTTTAACATTATACGGTTTTCACTGTCTGGTTGAAAACAGTATGATTTTACTCCGTTTCTATGTTTCTTTCACAAATTTAAAGAACCAAATCTTCTCAAACCGTGTCCTCTCCCATTGCAAACGCAAGGCACGAGTACAACTGCAATTAGCATTTTATACTCATACGCCAACCCCGTACCAAGGAGGGGTACTCTGCTAGTACACAATGAAATACAGCAAATTTTGTTTGGTGGAATGACAAAATTATCACAAGTGAATGGAAATAGTTTTATTTTAACAACACATACATTTAAATGGAATAAAATAGGCACTTAAACATTCAGTAACTACAATACAATATATACAAAGCTTATGCACTTCATACAGTAAAAATTGAAATTTCCCAAGAGGAAGGTCGGTGGTTTAAACATTTTTTCTTGAAATTTTTCATTGAATAATCTAAATGATGTACAAGTTTTATACAAAGAAGAATGACAAAAATGACTCGGGAATGTTAGATTGGTGTACGACTCATTTTTGACATAATATTTCAAATCAAGTGATGTTTTCCGTTGTCATAATTTTTGTGTTGAACGAAAACATAAGCAAACCTGTCAGTACTAAAATTACAAGAATAAAATTCCCTATTTGTTTTCAACCAAAGTGACAAATGATAAGTTTGCATATTCAGTGTTGCATGGGTACATAAATGCTTTAATGTGTGATTAAAATCAAGGAATGTGCATTAAAAAAACATACAGTGGGCACAGGAGTGCCAATATCAGTAGGACAATAGATAGATGATTATTTTTATTTGATGTTGCATGTTTTCTAAGCCAATAGCATTTTTTATGTTTTAAAAGGGAATGGTCTCGATACTATCTAACGTCTTTTTTGTAAGATAGCATCATTAATTCATAGCCCATATGACAAATAGAATTTGGGTCTGGAAACAATCTCAATAAAACCAAAAGAACTTAAGATTTTAAGGCGAGCACTAACCACTGGGCTACCCAGACAATTAGATGAAAGGAAATAAGCAAAACTGTGTTTAGGCTAAACAAAAATGCACAACATTTTGAAGGTTGAGAGCAACTTTCTTTCTATTTTTTTCCACTTAGAAAAATGCAAAACTTAAAAGGCACACACACAAACTACCATAATCATATATCAAGTATATTTAATTCTATGATCTATTAAAAATAAACATTCAAGGATTAAAAGACCAGCTTTTTCTAACTGCCCACATGAGTTCCCAAACCTTTCCGAGAGCTTCATCACAGCCATTAATGTTCAAAAAAGGCAAAACACAAAGAAAGAAATACTATTTATACTCAAGTAGTATGGTGGCTTTGCCCATGCTTAAAACAGTGCATGACTACAAAAATAGAAACAAGCATGTCATTCACACCCATATGGAAAAACATGTACCCTTGCCTAAAGGAAATATCACATTTTTTATAATCAACAAAGGACAAATAACACTGTTATTTATATTTTATAAACCTTTTTAAAATTCTGTGAACCACAAGGATTTGAAGGATTGAAGCCTAATGACAATATATGTACCGGTACATGGTAATATCTCTATGACCATCTTCATTAAGTAAACACCTTGCAAAATTTGAACTAATTTTGTGAAGTGGTTTTTGCGTTATAGTAAGACACCTCATTTTTGTAAAGTAGTACATATATAGATTATTTAATATCTATCAACATTTAACAAAATAAACAGTTGAGCATATTTATCATAATATAAATAAAAAACAAATCCACTAATATTATCATGCTCTTGCAAAAAAAAATTGTTTGATACTAGTACGAGAACTCGTCCCGTGGTCCAAAACTCGGTCAAAACTATGTATTGTGCAAACTTCTCTATTTTCACCCCACACTGTAAATAAAGCATGTGATTGGAATTTCTTTCAATTAATTGTTTTGATTTTCTGTTTATATTTTGTTATTTGTTATTTCGTCACCAACATGGCAATCCTTAAGGCCCATGTTAATTTTTTTTATATTTTAAATTCATTTTTTGTTTGCTTATTTTTGAGTTTATTTTAATTTATAAAGGGATTCTGCACATCTTCAGGCAAATATCTTTCTAATAGTATGCATAGATTTTCCCTGTGATGCACAGGAGCTGAGAGAAAAGGTTTTCAATAAACATGCTTGTCTATTAATATATAGAATTAACCCCATGTTAAATCTCCATAAGAAAAGTTGAATATCCATTTTTGACCCAATTAACATAAATATTTTCAAAATACAAATAAAACCTGCACATATAGGACCAATAACCTTTCTTTTGGTACAACCCGTGTGTAATTCGGTCCAGTAATATAGTGGCTAGCTGTCATAAGTTTTGCAAAAGTTTTTTTAATATATAAGATTACTAAAGTTCTACTGCAGTACTACAATAATCTACAAAAATCTTTGTGAGGAGCCTAGAAAATTTTATTACGGGTTGATTCTAAAACAACCTTTTGATTCCAATGGTAAAAAATGTAGAATCACAATTACGGGTGTAACTACAACTTCAGGCCGAATTAAGAGACTTAATCAACACAAAGAAAGTGTTTTAAAAGTAGCTGACACAAGAAAGTGCATTTCATTATTTACCAAACAATTTCCAGATGACATGCTTTATTTAGAGATGATTTATTGAATGAAACTTAAGTACAAGTAAATTGACATCATAGAAAATATCTATTCATTCCAAATTTTACAAAAGCTAATAAGCGTCACAATAAAAAAAGTGGGAAATTTACATTTTTCCATGGGGTTTTGAAATTTTCAGAATGTACAAGTAGTCTACAAAATTTTAACGATTAAATATTCTGGCCATAGCACTTTTTAAAACCAAAGTTGCAAAAGATAAATTGACAATTCCTTGGTACCGTACTGATAGAATCAAGGGTTTTGAGGAATCTCAATCTAGGTTCAGAATCAGCTCATCCCTTATTTAAATTTTTCATTCGATACAAAACCCCTCATTAGCTACTTATTTAAAAAGGACAATTCAGTTATTTCCGTTCACACAATACAATCACTGGCGACTGATAAAAAGGTCTTATACCTATCTTATAGACACAAGCCTGGGACAGGTGGCGGCGTCCTGTAATCCAGCTACTAGGAGGTCACGAATTGTGAATATTTATAGGCATGCAATGTGGATGCGATACTCTCTGGTTTGGATTAATGTCCGCACGAGTGAGTACTACGACTATCCGCAGTACTATCCTGATAATTAGACCATATTTGTATATACCAAGGCAAAAATGTGATTTAGATTCCACTATAAACTGTAGGTCCCTTAGTTGCCATTAGCTGTATGGGCTATTAATTAACAGCTGTGCCTAAGGAATATGTCGGTCTTAATCACTAACAAGACTACAAAATCGCGCCACTCATCCTACACTCATCTCCACCATTCATACTTGGCTTAAAATACCTACTTTGTATGGTCGCCATTTCATCAAAAAGTATAAAGTAAAGTAAAGTATAAAGTACATTGTTGAAAAAAATGTTGTAGCAACGTTTAACAAGCTAAAGAATTAACATATTTTGCAATAAATAGTATTAAATAAAAGATAAAATTAACGAACAACACAAACTTTAATCAACAGTGAAAAAAAGGCTCTGGATATTGTTACACTTTTTTAATGTTTATAAATTCCATATTTAAAATCTATTCCTCTAAAAGTTGATTAATTGAAGAATATTGCGCTTACTAGTCATAACATGCAAGATCCGATAACTTATTTTTACGTACTAGTCTGACAAACAAAGTTTGGGATAGTATTTACAAATTTTAACATCCAATACCTTTCCGTTCATATGTACAAAACACACTCACCACTAGGTAAATGGAAGATAATAAATAGAACTATACAGTAAGACAAGTGATCTGAGAAGAACTTAAGTGTCATTAGGACGTCATAACCCCATGTAACTGCATATCACAAATGTGAAGAATAGAGTGACTATGATCAAAACTACTACAAGCCATGATGGAAGTGTCCCTGAAACAAAAGTTTACAAAGTTAGTGAACTTAACAACACATAACATATTTATTTGGTTATATGAGGCATGTTTTTTCAGTAAGTTCCGTTTTTAAATTTCTCCATTCCAGCGCTGCGATTGGCATTTTGGACATTTGCACTGTGTATGTGCATCTATTGGCAAGCCTGCACCGGAAATTCGGCAAAAATCTACCGTGTTTACATCCGGTTTCGAGCATTCAAAATGGTGCCGCCAATTGAGACTGCTGCCGACTGTGAAGTGCATGCTGTAATTAGATTTTTAACTGCTAAAGGTGTGAAAGCCATTGAATTTCATCGAATAGTGAAATGTATGGCGAGAACATTATGAGTGACGGAATGGTACACAAGTGGGTAAGGGCATTAAAAGACGGCCCCACTAACGTTCATGATGAGCAACGCACTGGGTGGCATCATCACTTCAATAATCTTTCGATGAATTTCAATGGCTTTCACACCTTTAGCAGTTGATTGATTGATTGATTGATTCTGTAGGGGCGGACCTTGTCCTGTTGCACGTCAGCCACTGATGGGCTTTTTGCGCTCCCCACATGGTACTTCAGAGTCCGTCAAACCTGAGTTGCTTAATGAACTCAAGCATCCTGTCAATGAGCTCCTCCTGAGGAAGGTGTCTGCCCCTTGTCATTACACCAAGAGTACTGTCCCTTACCTCATTCAGAGCTGTGCAGTCGTAGAGTAGGTGATCAGCAGTCTCCTCTGATTGCCCACATTTCCTACACGCAGTGTCACCATTGTGGATCCTCAAGCGATGCAGGTGTAATTTCAGAAAGCCATGTCCAGTGACCATTCCTGTGATCTGTCTGAGTCGCCTCCTGTCCAAGCGTAGGGCATTGGAGGCGACCGTCTGGGAAGGAGAGAAGAGGGTGAGCTTACTTACCCTATGGTGCTGAAGCCTAACCAACCTTTAGCAGTTAAACATCTAATTACAGCACGCACTTCACAGTCGGCGGCAGTTTCAATTGGCGGTACCATTTTGAATGCTCGAAACCGTATGTAAACATGTCCGATTTATGCTGATTTTCCGGTGCAGGCTTGCCAATAGATGCACATACACAGCGCAATGGTCCAAAATGCCAATCGCAGCGCTGGAACAAAAAAATTTAAAAACGTAACTTACTTAAAAAACATGCCTCGTACAAATTAAACATTTTTTTCCATGTTTATTATTTCAATTATATTCTTACTAAAGTTGATTCAATTACTTAATGCTGTATAAAAGGCAAAGAAAAAAATGTGATTGCGAAACACTTGCAAAATTCCAAAAGACCTGAAATTTTATTTCATTTTAGCATACAACTGATTTATTTATATATAGTGATACTTAAAAGGACCAAAACTTTGCATTTTTTAAGTTTGATAAGGAAGTTGAATTAAATTAATATTATTAATTTTGTACTCATACTTTAAGGCAGAATGAATGAAGAAGAAGCAATCATCAATAGACCAGATTACAGTTGTTATCTACTGTTTGTTGTTGTTTTGCTCATATTCCTTTCTACATATTGTAATAAATAATAGCTCCTTACTTTGACGTAGCATGCGCATCTTTTTGTTGGTACTTTAAAGAATTCGTTCAGCTATTCTGTAACACAATACAGCCTGCCCTCGCTAGTCCGACGATTTGAAATCCGACGCGCCGTCAGGCGCCGCTACGGGAGCAAAAAATGAAGCATGCAATGACATGAAACACTGTGACTCTTGTCTCATTGCCGTCGGAGCACTTCCGTTCAGTGTTCAGTTGACTTTCGGGACGTGCAGTACACTTTCCCGGTGCAGTGGTATTTTCTTAGTTAGTAAGTGCAAGTGTTCGTGTACAGTAGTTGTGTGAAATGGCTAGTACAAGTGGTGTTAAACGGAAACACAAAACTTTAACAATATCGGAGAAGTGGGAGATTATTAAAAGAATAGATAGCGGTGCAACGCCGACTGCAGTAGTGAAATTTTATAAAATCGGACGGCCTACGATTTATGATACAATGAAGAATAAAGAAAAAATTGAAGGGTTTATGAAGTCTGTTGAAGACGACGCTTTAAACAGGAAAACCCTGAGAACAACAAGCGAGTTTCCTGAGGTGGAAGAAGCACTGTTCATTTGGTTTAAACAACAACGCACACGGAATGTTCCTATTTCCGGAGACATACTTAAACAAAAAGCTCAATATTTCTACACAGAAATAACGAAGAAGAATGATTTTCGAGCTAGTCATGGATGGTTCGAAAACTTCAAAAAACGCCATGGTATACGGTTTATGAAGATGTGTGGTGAAAAGGTATCTGCTGACAAGTCTAAGATTGATGCGTTCATTGAAATGTTAGACAAAAAAATTACTGAGCTTGGTTTAGTTCCCGAGCAACTGTACAACGCAGATGAAACCGGGTTGAATTGGCGACAAAACATTTGTAAGTGATGAGGAAAAAAAAGTGCCAGGAAGGAAATTGCAAAAAGAACGACTCACGCTTATGGTGTGTGCTAATGCATCAGGCACTCATGCTTTAAAACTGCTTGTTGTAGGAAAATCAAAAAACCCTCGAGCGTTCAAAAATGTCAAGGTTGAATCTCTGCCAGTAACTTACAAGTCACATGTCGCGCTTGGGTCACAAAAGAAGTTTTTCATGACTGGTACACTAACAGCTTCGTTCCACAAGTTAAGGGTGAATTAAAGAAGAACAAGTTACCAATGAAAGCCCTTCTTTTACTGGATAATGCACCAGGACATCCTGATGCTGATGAATTGAAAATCAAAACTGCTGATGGCTACATTGAAGCTATGTACCTACCAAAAAAAACCACAGCTTTAATCCAGCCCATGGAACAAAATGTGATAAAAACTCTCAATGCTCACTACAAAAAGCGCATTCTTATGGATGTTGTCAGTCAACCTGATTGTTAAGCTGATATTGCAGCGATTTTGAAAGCTTTTAACATTAAGGACGCCATTTTGAACGCTGCATATGCTTGGCAACAAGTAAAAAGCATAACTTTGATCAAATCTTGGAAAAATGTATGGCCTAACAATCCATGTCTTACAACATGTAATCCTACATCCAGCAGCGACCCAGAACCCGTTTTGGAGGCTACATTGGAACTTTGTAACGAAGTGCAACTTGCCCCCGCATCAGTTGAAGAGCAAAGAACATGGATCATGGAGGACAACCTTGATGCTGACGTGACAGACGCAGATATAATCCAGGAAGTTACAGCAGCTGATGACGACGTGATCGAGGACGCAGCGCAAGAAAAAACCTTCACTGTCAGCTGTGATGAAGCTGTATCGGCAGCTAATACTTTGTTAGGTTGGTGCCAAGAGGGAGATATGGACATGACAAAAATTTTAGTTTTAAAAGGATTGCAAGAAGCAGCAATGATGGACTGTGTACAAAAAAAGAAGCAGAAGTCAATCACAGACTTTTTCAACAACTAAATACCGTGCTGATACACGTATGTATTAATTTTACAGGGCCTACTTTTTTAATGAATTGTGTACTTTTATGCATATTTTTTGGGATATACCTACAGTACTGTACTGTAATTGAAATGCCCGCCTTATTTGTAACACTGTAAAATAAGTTTAGCTACATAAATTAAAATTGTGTTTCCTTTATTCTGTGTTTTTAATTCTTCCCAAGAATTTAATGGTGATTAATACATTGTTTAAAATGATAGTTATATCTTTTTGGCAATCAAATGCATTACAGAATAGCCATTTTTGATAATCCGAGGTTTTTGGTAATTCGACACTACGTCAGTCCCGTACCTGTCGGACTAGCGAGGGCGGGCTGTACTACAATTTTGAGCATCACAGCCATTGGTTAGCTGAGAAATTGAAATTTCACAGCGCCTTGCATTTGGCACTGAGCACTTGTGGAATGACCAACTTCGAGGTTCCCTCAGCATCGTGTTAACCATATATTTTCTGTGCTTGTCTCTAATTACTCCTTCAGATTTTCTTTCTCAGAGAAGACATCTCAGTTTATAACAGTGTTCACTTACGCCTGTACGGGAGGTTGTGGATGCAGACTTTGTTGTCCACAGAGATGCTGACGACGGCCGCCTCAGACACGGTGGTGATGGACGTCTCAGAGCCGAGCGCTGGTAGAAACTCTAGTCCTGTGACAAACATGCTGTGGGCATCCTTGACGTGAAGTACCCTCTGTGAAACAAGCAAAGAATGTAGCACTGACGAGGTCACAAAGAGGAAAACTTGTAGGCATAAAAATGTGTGAAACAGTGAACAGAAACACAACTAACTGTTCTTTTGAAATTAATCTTTTTACATCAGTGGCAAACTCCTGGCTATACACTGAGTAGGTGCTGTATGGTATAAAAATAATACACTCATAGAAGGATTGAGTATACACTTACTTAAGTTAACTCGCTTCAAAGTTTATTTCTAATTCAATACCCAAACCGGGAAGGTCCTGGGTCTCCTCTCCCTAAACAGTTCAATCATGCCTGTAGCCAATTGCCTAAAGGGTAACAGGGCCATTTTATCTCCCCAGTCCGCCTTTGATCACCCCTGAATTTTGTAGACACCATTGTTGCCCTAACAATACAATGCAAGACTACTCCTTAAAATATAACTGCGATGAGACCTTTAGAATGTCCAATTTCACACCTAATTCCACTTTGAAGATATATTTATCTAGGGATAAGTTGATTTTCGATAGCACCGATTCTTAGACATTGGTATCGGTATTGAGAATCGATCGTCAACATTTGATCACGCAATCATAAAATTACCGCTATTGCGCAAAATGATGATGATGTTTCTGTGACTGCGGGAGACGATGATGATATCTACACGGGTGCGGGAGATATTCATGATTTTGCCACAATCAGGCAGGATCACAATGACATTTTCATGACCAGGATATGATGATGACGAAAAATGTTAATACATTTTTTACGATCATAGAAGATGACGATAATGACTGCATGATGTCGGGAAATGTTAACGAATTTACCGCGATTGCAGGAGATGATGATTATGTCCACAAGACCGCGAGAGACGATAATTATGTCTACACAACCGCAGGAGACGATAATGATGTCTTCTTGATCGAGGGAAATGGTCAGAATTTTGCTGCCACCGCGGGACGATGATAATGGCTACACGACGGCAAACACGATAATGGTTTCTACACGGCCGCAGGATTAGAAATGTTGCCCCATTACGTGAGACAATAGTAATGTCCACATAACCGTGAGAGATGTTTATGATTTTGCTGCTATCGCAAGAGTCAATGGATGATGCTACACGACTGCAGAAAAATTATAAGAAATTTACCTCGACAGCGGAAGACTATGATGATTTCTATAGGACCACGGGAGACCATGATGATGTCTATATGACTGCGGGAGATTATAAAAGAATTTTGCCGGGCACAAAAGACGTGATATGTAATGTTTCCGTACTGAGGAAGATATTCATTATTTTGCAATGATCCCAGAAGAAGATGATGTCTCAGGCTAGCCCATATCTAGTTATATAATTACATTTTATTTATGATTTTTTGTTGTTAGATCTTCATTTACCTTTGATATGGAGTTATTTAATGTGTTTAGAAGGGGTTAAACTTAAATTGGCTATTTAGAGTTATTCATTGCTGCATTATTTTTTTTCTTTACTGCAAAACACCCCTTACCTAAAAAAAACTTTATGGAAGGGCAAAAAGACAGGGATTGCTGTAGTATAACCAATCCATTGGGAAAATTTGGTAAAACTATTAAAAATGGTATCGAGAATCAATTTTTTAGGTATCGGTGTCAGTATCGAGGATCGATTTTTCAGGTATCGGTATCGAGATACGTTAAATTTTGTTATCGACACATCCCTAGTTACACACTGTGGTAGTAAACATACTGTAATGTGTAAAAACAGGGATTGGATTCTGACATTCCAACCACTTTTAGACCCAATAAGCAATTACAAGAAGCCAAGAATGGCGCCATTAACTATATACTTAAAAAATCAGCTATCAGAAGTACTGTATAAGGAAAGAAGATGTAAAACGACCATCAGGCTCAAAGTCCATTTATCAGTCCATCCCTATGTTAACATTATTCTTTACAAACATAAAGTAGGCTATTCAGATGCATTCATAACATATCCCATTTAATAATTCTTACACGTACAAAGATTATCTATTTCCCCAAGATAGTGACATTTTCTATCAGATTTCTATGAATACAGATCATAAGCTGTATACTTAAGTAGAAATAATCCAGATTTAAACATTTTACCTGTAGACTGAAGGCAATGTAAATGTCGACAGTTCCCGTAAACATGGTGCCGACTGCAATGAACCGTCCGTCGTCGCGCACAGCCAGTGCAGATAGACTCTCCTCCACTTGCGCAGTGCGACGCAGACCTTGCGCAGGATCCCACAACTGTATGTGCGCAGTCTGCTTTCCAACGCGGCTCACAGGGTTGCATATCAGGAACAGCCTACTTTTCTTTGGATCCTCCTCAACTCGACCAAACCTAAACAGGAACAGTTAAGAGTTAAATCATAAATACAGGGAGCGGCAGAAATATCTGACGGTTTTCAAGCGAGTACAGTCCGGCAGCCGAGTGGAGGGGGGTGGTGGGGAGCGGCTCATTCTCAAGGCCAAGTGTGACAATTTTAGTCGCCATGGAGCAGTGAACCAGTATACATCGCGCGTTTGCCGTTGAGGCGTTTTTTAAAAATGGCGATTCTGTTGTTGGTACGCATTGTAAGTTTCGGAGGCATTTTAATGTGGCTCGTGGGGAACCTATCCCATCCCGAAACACCATCAAATTGTGGGTGGATACCTTTAGATCACAGGATCAACTGCAAAACGTAGGCCTACAGGCCGTCCAAGGCCAGTGAGGACGCCTGAGAACGTGGAGCGAGTGCGACAAGCTGTGCTATCGAGCCCGCATCGCCCGGAGCGTAGACAAGCTACTGCTCTTGGCATGTCTGATCGCTATATTCGACGAATATTGCACTCAGGCCTTCACTTTCACCCGACAGCGATCAGACATGCCAAAAGCAGCAGCTTGTCTACGCTCCGGGCGATGCGGGCTCGTTAGCACAGCTTGTCGCCCTCGCTCCACGTTCTCAGGCGTCCTCACTGGCCTTGGACGGCCTGTAGGCCTACGTTTTGCAGTTGATCCTGTGATCTAAAGGTATCCACCCACAATTTGATGGTGTTTCGGGATGGGATAGGTTCCCCACGAGCCACATTAAAATGCCTCCGAAACTTACGTTGCGTACCAACAACAGAATCGCCATTTTTAAAAAACGCCTCAACGGCAAACGCGCGATGTAAACTGGTTCACTGCTCCATGGCGACTAAAATTGTCACACTTGGCCTTGAGAATGAGCCGCTCCCCACCAACCCCCTCCACTCGGCTGCCAGACTGTACTCGCTTGAAAACCGTCAGATATTTCTGCCGCTCCCTGTACATAAGAGAGTATGTTTAAACTGTGATATTGTTCATTACCCCACATTTTTTACGATTTTCATCCAGCCTTGTTAAAAATCACTGAAAAATATTTAACATTAAGTGTTTAGAAAGTTGTAAGACTATTCCTGAACTACAGTACCTGCATCTCTTGTAGAGGTATTTTGTTCCATTTGTGGGGGTCCACTCCAACTCAGTCAGTTTGTTGCCTGTTTTGACACACCAAATGTATCCTTTGCCGTCCTTTGAGACAGAAGCAACCTTGAAAAAAATGAATGTATGGATAAAACATGGTTAAAAACAGATAGCAACTAATGAACTGATTAGTCATTGTCACCAAGATATAGTAAAACGTGCATTTGATGTTGCCACTGCCTCAACTTTATTATTTTGTTACCAATATTTATGTTTGTTCGTGAATTGGGTTTTTTATATAATTGTTGACAACATGCAAATAGATGTTAGATGAGGTCACTGTGTAGACATTAAATGTCACAGAAGTAACAGTGAACGTGAGAAGGTAACTGGTTGGTATTTAATCAAACAATGTTCCAGTAGCATTGAAGAAGAATAACTATATACATAATTTTAAATCTAATTGGTTAGAAATGCTGATCTAATCATAGAATAATTATTGACCCTGTAGCAATCTTTGTTTGATCATATCAAATGGATTTATCTTTAAATAGTTATCAATTTTAACCCTTTCCGCTCAATTGGTGGGGGAGCCCCGCCGTTCGTCATGGCCGCACATACTCTAATGTCGGGCCGGGCCCGCCCGTCGCTTTGACAACAAAGGACTATTATGCTTGTATTTTGATTTTTTATTTGAGAAATTTTTTTATTTTGTGTAAGTATTTGGAAAAAGATTACCAGCCTTCTATAAATCAAGACTATATTTATTGTTTGGTAAACAAATGAAATATGCAAATTTGGCACAAATTAAATGGAGCTGGGAGGAAAATAGGCATCCCGTAATTGGAGTAGAAAGGGTTTAAGAGAAAGCTCTGACCAACTGCACACTCTCAGTGTGATAAGTGACTAAGAATTAACTTGTTTGTGTTCTGTTCTGCCACTACTTATACTAGATAAATGTAGGGTAGCTTTTCTGTGATGGAGTGTAATTAGGTTGATGTCTACTTTGAACTTACAAACTGATCAGGGTTAGGATATTAAGTAGGTTTTTACTCAATGTTGGTGGGTAAGGAGTTAAGTTGGTTGGGTCAAGGTGTTCAGATGAAAGAAAAGGTTGTATAAGTTTTAGTGATACTCTTTTTGCATTAGGATCTATCATACGGTGTTGTAGGGAGATCAAAAGTTGAGATAGATGGAATTCTGAGTTTAGTTTTGCTTGAAAAAGGGAATAAATTAACCAATTTAGTTATGTAGGTATGATATTTATCATGATTTTTATTCAGAATTTGAGTTGACTTTAAAGGCTTTTCTATTACATTAACCAGACAACTTATCATATTCCTGCGGATTTGATTTAATTTCATGTTAAATTCTAATAAATACAGTGAGTGCCGCCGCAGTCCCTAGCCCGTTCAGCCGTGCGCACGGTGATAGTTTTATTAATATGTGTTCGTCTTCGTCAATGTCGTATTTTTGTGTTTTTATGTTCTTAATTGTAAATATTTGACGCGGTTGCTACACCAACAATGCAACTAAGGATGGAACAACTTAGTGTAACAGCGGGGCTGAAGATGGTCGAAACGTACGTCCTAATAAATACATCTTCCATAGGAAAGTACTTTTTTTTATCAAAACCCAAATCCTAGCTGATTTAAACAACTTTGGCTTCTTTAGAGCGCTGTATACGTGCAAGTTATCCTGGAGAAAGTTTGGTATGCTTCTAACATATCACATTTGAAAGCAATCTACTAGCAATGTACTTCAGGACTTAACAGCAAAATAATATGATACACTACACATTGAATAACAACCTGGCTGAAGAGGGCTTATCTATTTTACACAGTTCAGAAACTCAGACTAACTACAGTTTATAATTGTATACAACCTAATTAACATACAGAAATGCTGTCAGGGCTAAAGTCAAGGTCATCGATCTCTTTGTGGTGTGCCACAATGTCACGGTGCGGCTTCATGGAGGGGAAGTTCCAGAGTCTGACATGTCCGTCAGTTCCTCCAGTCGCCATCAGCTGACCGGACGGGCTGATCCTTACAACTCTCTGTAGCGCCTCTGAGCTGAACAATGAACAAGAATGACATGAACACTGAGCTGCAGTCAAAACCATTGTTTTTCCAGGATCTGAACATTTTAGAATAAACAATAACTTAAACTATTGATAGTAGACATTCCATCCCCATATAATGGCTGTTGCCAGTTTCCCAATCAAAATGGACATCATTGAATTAAGCCAGCAACAGAGCACGCCAATGTAAATTAGGCTACTGATTCCTCTAGATTATGAACATTTTTTTAAAGTCATAATGGCTCATCATTGCATCATAGGGCAGTTAACCAAATCATAGACAAATGACCTCATTCCATCATGGAAGTTTTGTAAATATCTAGGCTACATACGTTTATTATATAATGACACAGCTTTTCCAGTACAAACTGGTCTCAAGCATAGGAGGAGGTAATCAGGTAACCAGATGGGTTTATTGTAGGCTATAACATCTTATGTCACATACTTTACTTTGAAATGGCGACCATACGAATATAGGTATCTTAAGCCAAGTATGAATGGAGATGAGTGTAGGATGAGTGGTGCGATCTTGTAGTCTTGTTAGTGAAGTGACTAAGGCCGACACATTCCTTAGACATTGCTGTTAATTAAAAGCCCATACAGACAATGGCAACTAAGGGACCTACAGTTTATAGTGGAATCCGAACCCCATTTTTGCCTTGTGATTAACGAATTGGTCTAATTATCAGGACAGTCCTGCAGATAACTTAGTCATAGTACTCACTAGTGCGGACGTTATCCACACCAGGGAGTATTGCATCCACAGTGCATGCCTATATAAGTATGATGTCTAATTTAGTAGCCTCTACAAAAGTCAATTATAATGGTTATTATTGACAACTCTTTACAATCTTTAAAATTTAGTCAGGTAAACCCAATAACATTCCTAGAATACTAGCTAATCTACACAGCGGTAGATTATAATTTAAAGCTTTAAATATTATGAGCAATACATTTATTTTTACCAGTTAAAGGAATCCTAGTCTGCTAAGTACATACCTGAAATCAGTTTGAATACTATCAGCTGGTTTAATATGAAACTCTAAATGTCGATCTAAGGTGTTTTGGCTATCTTTACTGCCCTCTGTTTTTATATGATCTTCATTAATTTTTGATGGTGGATCTTCACTTATACTACTCTTTGATTTAGATGTCGTTCTTCTACGAACACCTCCCTCTTTCTTCTGATGTACGTCTGTAAAATGACCGTTTTGATAAGCGCAAACGGAAACAGAAAATTGTATTAACTAAAAAAAAAATGGTAAAACCTCCACCAGTTATTTTGGTCTTTCTCTGAAACGGAAAAAAAGCTCAGATTTACATTTTATGTAAATGAGGATTTTTTTAACACTTGCTTTATAAACTTAACTGCAATCCTTAAACTTCCAAACACAAAACAAGATCAACCTGGCTACTTTAGTTCGCTTGTTTGCCACAACGAGGCTCATAACCATTTACTGGCATCATTTGTGAACAGAATGACACAACTTTCAGCTCTATAACTGTCATGTACCTCCGCTTAACTGTGTTTTTAGATTTTTTTAGCAATCAATTCTCCCACCATTTTTTTTTTTTTTTTTTTTTCCCATTTCGTTTTGTCATGAGAGCCGAAGCCCCCTGACTGCATACCCGGTACCTATCCTTTAGGACATACCCGGGCCCCATGATGTAGGCCGAAGCTTACGCATCAACCTTTAGCACATCATGGGCGGATGACTTAAGGTCATCAGGCTCGCCGGCTGCCGAAGCAGACCCTTCGGAAGGAGGGTTGCCCCTCAATCCTAACCAGGGATTCCGGCTGCTTGTTTAAGCGTCACTCCACCTGGGTTCCACTAGGTCGAGACCTAGCCGCATCAGTGATACGTTTTTTTGTTACAAGAAAGGGTAAAGTGCAGAAATGGGTTATGGAGTGTAAAAATGGCCTAGAAATCCTTTGTTCTTAGTGGTCTTCTTTAAGAAGTCTGGGTACCCACCAAAAACACAAATTCTTATGAAATTAGCATTTTCACAGCCATTTTTAAAACTCCCTGGCGTATTTCTGCACTTTCCATGCTATCTTTGGATCAGGGTCATAATCTTCAGTCATCTGGTGATAAATGTCGGCATCGTATATGTTTTCTGCAATCCAAAAACGTAGCACTGACCTTGCTTTGGGCACGGCGGGAGATTTGATTAGGTACCTATTTAAAAGATTTTAAATCACGCAGTGAAGCGTACATGACAGCTACAGAGCTGAAATTTGAGTCATTCTGTTCACAAATAATGCTAGTAAATGGTGATGGGCCTTGTTGCGGTGTAGGCCTACAAGCGAACTACGGATTTATAGGCTAAACCAGCCCTTACTTAAACTAGGTGGCATTCGCAGAGGCATCCACAAAATTGAGCGGAGTCATCAAGGGTTCATATTATATTGTCTATTGTCTGTTGTCTATTCCCACACTCAACACTGCTCACCTTTACTACTTCCTTCACCACCTCTACGTCGTGGACCTGTTTCCCTCTCTTACCATAGCATTTTAAGATGGCAGATACATTAATGTAATTGCCAAAGACAGTTTCCACACTCTGCACTGCAAGCCTTACTACTTCCTTCACCATTTCCCACGTCATAGACCTGTTTCCTTCCCTTCTCATAGCATTCATTTAAGTATTAGATACATTTATCTAACTGCCCAAACGGTTCCCCCACTCTGCACTGCCAGCCTTAACTACTTCCTTCACCACTTCCTACGTCGTGGGGCATGTTTCCTTCCCTTCTCATAGCATTTTAGGATTGAAGATACATTAATCTAACTGCCACAGACGGTTCTCACACTATGCTCATACTTTACTACTTCCTACAGGGCCGGATTTAGCATTTTTGCGCTCCTAGGCCCAAATAATTTTCCACCCCCTAGTCTGGTCACAGTTACTTTCCTTCAAACCTTTATTAAAAACTATATCATGCCCATTGACCTAACTTAATTGCTTAAATACCACTCCTCGTTGGAATCATTGCAAGATTTTTTTTTTTTTTTTTAGAATTGACTTGTTTATAGCCTTAACAAAATGCCGTCTTTAACACTTTTAGCAATTTTATGCTTTTAATAAATGCTTACGTTTGTGGCCGTGGGACTGAAACAAAACAACTCAACCCACCGAGCATTCCTGAAAAAAACATGGCCATTGATTCCAATTCCAGGCCAAAAAACATGAACTGCATACAGTACGTGATACCATAGATTAAACATACTCCTTTAGTAGATTTGCCATCATTTTGGATTAGCTGAAAACAATTCTTGTTATTTAATAGTACCTAGTATGTTTGATCTATGTTTAAACCTAGTATATCCAAAATAAAACGATCTAATCATCAACAATAGGTCGTCTCCTGGCTATATTACAAGAAATTGAAACACACATCATAGAACTAACCCTAAAATAATGGAACCAAATTACGTCAAAACTAACGTCCAGTGTCAACAACATGAACTAGACATGAAAAAATTTTGAATTAACAATGTCATAAGAAGTCGACTTGAGTTATATTTAGTCTATGGTCGTACTGCATCTAGGTTATATATTTCCAAAGCAAAACAGAGAAATATTCCGGCCAACCGTCGATCCTTAGGTCTGAGGAGAAAATGACAGCATTATTGGTGCTTTGGAGGGTATTGAATTTTTCTAAAATCTAATGCAAACTGAGATTAATATTTTTTGGTTAATTTTAAAGGTAAATTCATCATTGTTTTAATATTCAACACAACTTATTAACTTGATCCTGCAGATTGTTGTAAACTAATCAAAAGATTAGTTAATAACTTTTGTTTTGTGAGGTGAGGGTAGTAACAATGTCTAGCACGCATGCGCCCCTAATCACTTTGATCAGTAGTGCCGAGCCCAAAACAGCATAGTGGCAATACAATGCGTACCCCATGGGCGCTCGTCAACGTCAACATCCCTACAGCCTACTCCCGTATAACAAATGTTGGTTACCAATTTTGTAACGAAATTGATGCGTAATTCTGAAAAATAGTTTAGATTTCCTAACAATGATTTCTTCTTATGAACTTCAGAATCACAATGCTTTGGAGTTTTTTTTATCAACTGTGACTATTTATTTTCTTATTTATACATAGCCTAGGTATAAAAATAAATTACTCTCGGCCGTGCGCCCTCTGGGACCTTGCGCCCATAGGCCCGGGCCTACCGGGCCTATTGGGAAATCCGGCCCTGACTTCCTAAGCCACTTCCTACATCGTGGACCTGTTTTCATCACTTTCCATAGCATTTTAGTATTTTAGATACGTTAATCTAATTGCCACAAACATTCCCCACACTCCACACTGCTAGCCTTTACTACTTCTTTCGCCATTTTCTATGTCGTAGTAGTATGTTTTCTGTGGTCGTGGGCATGCATCCATCCCTTCTCATAGCATTTCATCATTGCAGATACATTAATCTAACTGCTACAAACAGTTTCCAGTTCCCAAACTCCACACTGCTCACCTTACTACTTCCTTCACCTCTCTCCTTACGTCGCTGACCTGTTTCCCTCTCTTCCCATAGAATTTTAAGATTGTAGATACCTTAATCCAATCGTCATAAACAGTTCCCACACTCCGGACTGCTCACCTTGACTACTTCCGTCACCTCTTCTTACGTCACTGACCTGTTTCCCTCCCTTCCCATAGCATTTTAGGATTGCAGATACCTTAATCTAATCGTCATAAAAAGTTCCCACACTCCGAACAACTCACCTTTACTACTTCCTTCACCACTTCCTATGTCACGGGTCGGACCTGTTTCCTTCTCTTCCAATAGCATTTTAGGATTGCAGATACCATGATCTAATCGTCATAAACAGTTCCCACACTCCGGACAGCTCGCCTTGACTACTTCCCTCACCTCTTCCTACGTCACGGACCTGTTTCCCTCCCTTCCCATAGCATTTTAGGATTGCAGATACCTTAATCTAATCGTCAAAAAAAGATCCCACACTCCGAACAACTCACCTTTACTACTTCCTTCACCACTTCCTATGTCGCGGACCTGTTTCCTTCCCTTCCAATAGCATTTTAGGATTGCAGATACCTTGATCTAATCATCATAAACAGTTCCCACACTCCGGACAGCTTGCCTTGACTACTTCCTTCACCCCTTCCTACGTCACGGACCTCAAGCTCGTCATTTGATTATATTTATGATCCATACCGTTTCTGTTTTAATATCTGTGGAATAATGCTATCATCAGCTATTTTTTTATCTACTGCATTCAAAAGTCAACAGCTGATCATATGTCTTTGTTCATGTGTCAAATACTGCTTCCAGAAGGATTACATTGAAACTTTGAGACCCAGTGGGACGGATTCCTGAGAGAATCTTTTAACGCCATATAGATGTTGGCACTCTCCGATATGGTCTTTATCACCATGCAAAATTTGAAAACGATTGATTCAGCCGTCTAGGAGGAGTTTGCGTATTACGAAATGCATAAGAGTCAACGTATAAGAGCTTCGCTCGCTCCACTCAAAAACCACCCTCGTTCGTATTTAGGCTACTGAGCTACTTTATTCTCATTTCCAGTCAAAATATTCCCTTTGTTAATGCATTTTAGGCTAACTGTTCAGTCCTAGCATTGACTAAGGAAATAAAAGACTTTGTTTCCCTTGTCTGTGGTCCTAGTGTGTTATTTATTTATTTTTCTTATTATTTGTAGCGTTATAAACTGTTTAGATTTGTTATGTTTGTTATTAGCCTAGGCTACTTAAAACATTGCAATTTACCTAGTTATTATTATGTTTAGATTGCTATAATTTACAATGATGTAGCCTAAGTGTAGTCTTGTCGTATTTTTAATATTTTACTAAAGTGTTTGTGCGTTGCATTTTTATTATACTATAGGCCCCAATAATTAATTGAACAACTCTTTGTCTAAGGGTATATTCAAATTACTTGTAGAAATATGAAGGAAAGTAAAATGCTTTTCTTGTCATAATACGAATAAGTATAATGTATACAAAATGTTTGTAAAGTGTAATTTTATAAAATAACCTCTATGTAACTATAAATATTAGACTTAGTATTATATGCTACACAATGTAAAAATTGTCAAGAGCAATAAATAAATATGTAGGCCTAACTTATTTCAAGAGAGATTGGCCTACTAATTTAAAATATGAGGAGTATTATTTTAACCATACCGTTTGAAGTGCTTATGTTCCTTTTCCTTGAGACAATTTCTGATGTGACCAGATACAGTTGGCAGTGGCTCTCTTGTCCAGCGACCAGGTATGTTTTCTTTGGTGTACTCACACAAGCGCAATTCATAACAACACTGGGTCCTGTCTCATGTCGTATCATCTCTTCAACGACAAACCGATTCCCGTTGTATGACAGCTCAAAAATTTCCTAGACAAGTGTGTTTAATATAAATAGCAAGAAAAAGATCATTTAAGTATGGAACAGTAAACCTTTGATAGTTCAAGACTCCTTGTCGTTTGACACGGGCTGAGCTATTTTGTCAAGTGATATTTAATGGTTACTATTGTGATGTAAGCTGACTTGAACATAGATAACTAATGAACAATGAAATTGTTGAGCTTTTTATTTAATAAATTTGGGCGATTTCTATAAGACTTGTGTTTTTACTTTCCTGTATATTAAACTCCATTCACTACCTATAGTTCAACATTTCGATAGTTCGACACCCCTTAAGTCCAAAAAGTGTGGAACTATTGAGATTCTACTGTACCTATTTAACTATACTAGAGGTCGTCCAGTATCGAAAACTCAACCACAAATATGTAAATGTAAAGACTTCTAGCTATTTTCACCCACACTATAAAAAAAACCATGTGATGGGAATTTCTTCCATTTGTTTTGATTTTCCATTTATATTTCGTCACCAGCATGGCAACCTACAAGGCCCATGTTAATTTTATTTATATTTTTATTAATTCATTTTTTGTAGGCCTAACTTATTTATTTTTGAGCTTATTTTAATTTATAAAGGGATTCTGCACATCTACAGTAAAATATCTTTCTAAGAATACGCGTAGATATTCTTTGTGATGTACACAAGCTGAGAAAAAAGGTTTTAAAGAAACATGCTCGTCTGTCAATATCTATAGATACCTAGGCCTAGTCAATTGATAACCCAAAAAATTTATTGAGAATGAATGGCAAAGTTGTTGAGTATTATTAAACCATAAATTAATTAACTTAGCTTGTGACAAACTGAAAGTTTTTTTATTATTATTGAGCAGTGTGTAAATAAGTTAACGTGGGTAGGCCTACTGTCAAATTTTAATATACAAAATAAATCGAACTTATTAAACACAACATTGTTGTGATATTACTTGTCAATTCAAATTAGCCGTTTAAGGCAAGTCTGGGCCGATAATCAGGATGTGTAGAAGACACTGCGCTATAGCACCTAGGCCTAGTACCTAGGCTATGTTTACATGTGATATAGGCCTACACATCTAATAGCTGTGAACCTAACAATGACGTTGGGTTATTAACTCGCAGACAAGCCATTAACGATTAAGTGTTCCTACTGCTATCAAAAATTACTTTAATTTTAGGATGTATTAAACTAACAAGCCTGGTAGGCCTATCTAGGCCTATGTTCCTAACAGCAGGTTTGATCATATCACACATCCCAGGCTGCACACAAATATGACAAATAGTTAGGGCTGGAGCATCACAAAATGTATAATGATAATGTTTAAATTCTATGTTAAAGCTTCTTCACTTACAAACCCATTAGCAACCCCTGTTTTAGATGAACCTCCACCACCTCCAACAATAACATGACGGCTTGTAAGCATTTGTAGAGTGTAAAGAGGAAAATTCACTCGAGCTAGAAGACCAGGCTGATTTCTGGAAGGCATCTTAAATAACACTCTGAAGCTTACGTCTACACTTAAGCCAAGTAGGAAGATATTCTTTAATTATTGTAAACCTATTAATTCGTTATAAAACTTTGTTACTACGGCTTCTGCTTTCTGCTAGCAGACAGAAACAGAAACGTGAACATTTACGTCACTACACTCAGCTGATTTGATGGTCTGTCAAAACTGCTGACATGTAAGATGAATTTGAAAATTACAAGCCATGAAAAAGAGAGTCAATAGAGTACTATACAAAGCATGACAGTCTTTTAAAACGCTTGATTGAGCTCTTTTCTTAGATTTTATTAAATTTTTATTTTACCATACCTCATTCCACCATGATACTATACGCTTTTAGGTTTTAGGACAAATTATAAAGGACAATTTGCTATGCTACTTTCCTCCTGGTTTACCAAAGACCAAAGTTCAAAATTAACAATCATTATTATAGCTATGAATTCCCAAGAATTACTTGGTAAATATATGATCAACGATACGATTACCCGCAAAATATAGGAACAATTAATTAATTACTCGACAACGCAACGACACAAACAAATAGATACAATTGATACAATAGATAAAAAACCCCTATTGTTGGTTATATCATAGATAAAACATACTTTCTCGTTTTGGTTAGTCCCAACCATTATGGTTAAGAGACACGTTAAAACCCCACCTCCGATGACTTGCAGTATCTACAGAGAGTAATTTTGAGGCATGTAGTCATAGACTAACCAAGAAGGGAATATGTTTTATCTGAGGTTTAATGTACTCTCTCCAGCCATATAGACAAAAAGAATTAAATATAGACTGTCAGCCATCCTGCGGTTACCATAGGTTCTGGCACACACCACTGGGAGCGCAGTGTAGTTACGTAGCTTGTACGCCGTAACTACATGGCGCTCCCAGCGGTGTGTGCCAGAACCTATGGTACCTGCAGCACGGCTGATGGTCTATATTTAATTCTTTATTTAATTATTTTTGTATATGCTCCAGCTAATGAAACGGTTTTGGTCCAGGTATATTGCACGAATACTAGAAAAATATATTGTATCAGTTTTCGGAACTTTTCGAATACGTAAATATCTTTATTTTATTTTATTTTTCGTTGAAAATGTTTGTATTTTACTTATTTCGTCAAATTAGAACAATTTGAATTGTAAATACAATAATTTTGGTTTTATAGCGGAAGAAGTACATTCATATTCAATAATTGAAAACACAATTAAAAGCTCATTCGAATGTGTTTTAGCGAATTTCAGGGAAGTAGTTATTACATGTTGCTACTGTATTAGCTAATACAGGACGTGTTACGGTCTTTGTACCGTAGGTGGCACAGTAAAGACCTGGAGGCGGGCGGAACCGATATCCTTAATTGTTCATTTTGATGTCCCCAGAGGCCAAAACACTAGTCAGTAAAATATACGTCCGTGAACATGATATTTTGATTATTTTTTGTCAGATTTTGATGAAATTTAACTCGAATATAACTTGAACTTTAATTTAATCATTGTCTATATAGTATACACCTACAGATATTAATACTATATAAAATATTTCTGTAAGTGTATATTGCCATTGATTGAACTTAGGGCGGGATAAACTTGTATGAGTTCCATATAAACTTGTGAGTAGTTGTTTTGATTTGATTTGATTGCCATTGATTGAACTTAGGGCGGGATAAACTTGTATGAGTTCGCGAACCACAATGATCGGACCATGAGCACGGGGTTTTGTAGTAAAAATTGGGTTTTCTCATTTTTGACCCCCTAAACATAAAATCTCCCAGCAATTTCTCTTTAAACCGTTTTAAAGAGCTTAAAAACAAAATAATATTTTAGTTTATTGAAGTGTTTTTACGGTTATGGCTACGGAAAAAATTAAAAACAATATATTATATAATAATTTAGTTTTTATGCTATTCTTTAAATCTTATTGAGAAGTAATCTGTTGTACTAGTGGTAAGTTTGCTTGTTTATGGATATATATTTTTATGTTTATATATTTTATGGACATATTTTATATTTATGGATATATAGTATCAAACTTGGCAAACTTATTTAATTTATACTAAACTATAATATTTTATTTGACCAATATTTACTTTTTATTACCCTCCATGATGTAGCAGCAAACCTAGGTTTTGACCTAGGTATTCGTTCAACCTAGTATTTATATAGATTTGATTGAAAATTCAATCAGGCAACTGAGAGTTCGCTTAGAATGCAGATTTGCTGCGGTGTATAGGTATTTCGTGTCCGTTTGATTTAATCCGTTGGTGTAGTGGTTTGTGTATATTATATTTATTACATTCCAATATTATGATTTAAACACGTTTCTTCCATCCGTGGTCCCTTGGTCATTTATTACTTGGTACAGTTCCGGAGGTTACTATTGCAATAAAATGATAAAGGTAATTTGTATTTTTCCAAAATATTCTCAGGGTTGCTAGTTGTGTTGCATTGGAATTTGGAATGTCGGATTGCGAATTGTGAGTGTCACTGCGCTGTGGCACTGCACTAGGCCTCTATCTGTGCCTGCCTTGCCCTCTGCAGTGGCAGTGCGAGCGAAGCGAATGAGAGAGAGGCAAACAAAACAAAATTTGAATAGGAATAGAGATTGATTGAAGCGGAAAGCGGAGTGAAAGAACCGAAAAAACAACAAGACGTTTTGTTTGTTTTTTGTTTATGTTTATGATTTGATTTTAAAATTTAAACTACACTGACTCTTACTTGAGTATGTTTTCTGTGCTCTTGACTCACTACCACTGAGCTATATAATCTATATCTCAATGATCACTTCACTCTACAGTAAAGTAACACAGTCAGTGAGTCAGTAGGCTGTGGTACTGGTAGTACACAAACACAACAACTCCTTCAAGTCTAGTCAACACCAACAACACTCAACATCGTAGGTAGGAAGGTAAGGTCTGCTAGGTTATTAATTTGATCAATAGCATAATAGTTTAGAATCGTCTGGGTCGTTTTTAAATCTAGACCTAACCCCCCAAAAGTTAAGTAACTTTAGTATTGGAAATGGAGCTGGTCTTTAAGCAGCCTAAGACCGGTACATTGCAGATTGGAATCCCTTAACACGTTCGCTGCGGGCCATCAAATGGCAGGCGTAGCCTCAGTGCGGCGCAGCCCGCAGCGTCGAACAAACCCGATTGCCGGGTGATTGGCTCTCATATTTCGGTATGACGAAAAGCAAATAACGAGCGGTGATGTCCTGCTTTATAACAAGAGTCGACGTAGTTTGCTAAACACTCACAGATAGCAGCACTGCTTGGAACGTAGCCGGTCCCATTGTATTGCCAATTGGAGGGAGAAAGACGGGACAAAAAGATGATTTTTAAGTTTGCCAGACGGGGATTTTATGGGGAAATTTTACTACCAACCTACAACACAACAAAAGGAAAGTCCCCCACTACACGCTAACGTGGTAGCCTATAGGTCCACCTTCGACCGACGCTAGAGCAAAAACTAAGATATACGAAAGGCATTGCCGTGCGTATCCGATCGGTTACGGCAGCACCTGAACAGCGCTCGGCCTGCAGCGAACGGATACGCCCGCAGTGAACGTGTTAAACCATGTGTAAGCTTCTCTAGGCCTAGCAAGTTCACCAATTATTTTGAGATCAATGGTTTATTCTTTCCAAGGCATCTTTAAGCCTAGTTGTTATTTGTCTTATTCGCCCAAATTAAACCCACAATAAAATTGAAAAGGCTACTTTGGCTGAAACAACCAAAGGTAAATTGCTTCAGAGTATTTTATTCATGAGCATCAAGCATAGAATAGTAAGTTAGGAGAAGGCTATCAGTACAAAACAAAGCCTGTTTTTAGATTAAAAATCTAGAAGTTAAGTTATGATGAGAACTTCTAGATTTTTAATGTCCAATCAGAGTCTTGTGGGGTTTGTGAACTCTACAAGTTTGTAGATTGCTTAGTCAGCCTTTTATTTTGAATGTGTGAAATTCAGTATTATATTGATAAAGAAACCTTTTTTGCATACGTAATCACTAAGTAGGCCTATTTAATCATAAGTTATAATAGTCAAATACCAATGACTTACAGATTATCGCTAGGCCAAAGTTAATAGGTATACCAACAGGGTGCAGCACTATTATTTTTTTAAATTTATGACAACAGCTAATTTGCAACCAAAAGGTGAGTGAGCGCAGCGAACGAGCTCCAACCTAAAGGTGAGTGAGCGTAGCGAACGAACTTCAACCAGGACGTGATTGAGCCATGCGAACGAGCTCATCTTGAAAATGAACGAGCATTTGACATAAGACAACATTAGGACAGGACGGAGTCTGTCGGGCCAGCCAGTAGAATATAGAAATTGGTGTAAATACCTGCTTCTTGTAATCCAAAATGTTGCTGTTATGACGCAACTAGTTTCAACTTCTCACGAAGTCATCTTTGGGCGTCCAGGGGATGTCAAATCACTTCATCAGAAGGTCGTCAATACACACATACGTTCATACACGAACATGGTCACGGTTACAAACACGAACATTGAAACAAAAAAAGTACGATTTAACGAGTAAAAGCTAAAAATGGTAACACCGGTGAGGATTATGCGTCACGACCGGATAGATTTGACATCCCCTGGACGCCCGAAGATGACTTCGTGAGAAGTTGAAACTAGTTGCGTCATAACAGCAACATTTTGGATTACAAGAAGCAGGTATTTACACCAATTTTTATATTCAACGTAATCCGGAGGCTAACATCAACAATGAAGTTATAGAATGATGTAAAAAAGTCTTGTCTGGATTTTGTTAACTCGGGAAATAGTTTCAAGTGCAGCTATGTGTTTAAAAAATTTACATTTCAAATGAAGTCAGGCTTTAACTTTCAGGAAAAAATAAATATAATTTTGCAGGGTGTCCACATTCTGGAAAGTCAGGGATAGTCATGGAAAGTCATGGAAAAAAATTTTGGTCATGGAAAGTCAGGGAAATAGGCAAAAAGTCATGGAAAGTCATGGAAATTTCCAATTATGGATGGATTTGAGGGGACCATTCAATGCTCTAGTCAGCTGTAACCCGGACTGTTGTAGCATTTTTCAGGATTTTTCAAAAATGTTCGACAATTCAATTTATTACAGTTGTATTATTTTATGAGTTTTCGGTTTGTTTTAGTTTATTGTTTTACCTATTGTACTCCATTGTTATATGTTATTACATATTTCAGTATTTTCTGCAAAATAACATGTCCAGGCAGTATTATTTGTGTGTGTATGTTATATTATAATTTGCGTGTAAAGTTCGTGAGTCATGGAAATCAATGGTAAATGGTCATGGATAGTCATGAAAAGTCATGGAAATTAATGACAAATTTTTTGTGGACACCCTGTTTTGTAATTCTCTATGTTTTAGCATAGAAGAAAATGGACCAATTTGGAGATGAAGATTTGCGTTCAATCTTATTCGGAACTATTCCAAAACATGAAGATTTGATTTATCTCCTAGGAACGATTAACTTCTCTGACAATAATGCAGCAAGTATATCAAACAAAGCATACCAATGTCAGATTTTCAAGTGCAGGTATGTGTAAGACTTTACCTTCCAATTTGATTGTTATCAAATTGGAATGTTCATTGGAAAAAAAAATAATAAAGACTTAGGGAAAAAAGGAAATAACTTTTCTTTTGGGTAAAAATCCAATCCTTCAAAATCGACTGTTAGAAATGGTTCTATGCAAACCTGCCCTATTTAAAATTTTTTTTGTTATCTGTATAAATAAAATAAAGCCTAAAATAAACAAGTTTAATCTCAATTTCTGCCTTTCTGACGTCTCTGTGGATGCCAAACTGCCGAAAATAAAGGTGACCTATGCACTTCAAGAAAACTAGATACCGATCAAGATTAAAATAATTTTCCTGTATTTACCTGGCACCATATATGAATTGCACTAGGCCCCAGGCCTATATTTTTCGGATCTTTTAGGAATTAGAAAACACAACTGATACCATTATAGGTGCATTATTTTGTTTACAGATGTTTAATTTTCACCGTACCTGATGTGATTTCTTCTCCCATGCTCGGAGCTGTTGAAAACATACATATCATAATAAGTAAAAGCTATTATAAATCTGGCAAGCTGGTTCCTCATCTAGAAAGAATGAACATAGAGGTAAATCTTACTCAGTAGACTACTATTTATTGTTATACATTACAGGAATTTTTTGTAAAAATATAACGAGTCCTTGGAGCCTAGGGGTTCTAACTGATGAAACCATTTAAAAAATGCAAAGACAAATTTTAATCTCACAGTATACTAGATATTTTAATTACAATCACTTTGGTACTTAAACAAATATTTTGAGAATGGTAACTATTCAGCGGCTGTTTAAAAATGACATGAAAATTAACTTTGCTCTTAAGGCGGGCAAATCCAAGATGGCCATTGGCTTCCACAACCTGCCTTGGAAATCAATTCAAAACAACAAATACAGTTTTTAATCTCACCTAAACAAGATAAATTATTTTCACTTTGGTGTATGAAATAGTATATTATGTTACTAGTCCTGAAAATAAGTGTTTACCGGATGAGTGTGGGATTACCATACGAGTCCGGTAAACACATTTTGGACGAGTTATGTACGATAGTTTACGCCATACTACTTAATCCGTACAAATCATTATATATTTATACCAACTAAAGGACTAAAAATCACTAGTGATGTTTTTGTTTATAACCAATCATTGCCACTCAAATACAGTATAATCAGCTGATTGGTGTCCGGTAAAACTCATTGCAGAACAGTATTACGCAATGAAACCCCATTTGAATAAGCTGGTGGCAAACAGCTGTTTTCTGGACTAAATCCTTGCATGGGAAGTTTGTCAAAATAATGTAGTGTGGCGTAAAACTATTTTTGGATGATAATTAACTATTCTGCTGCTGTTTGAAATCATCCAACATGGCCACTAGCCGCCAAGGACTCTTAAAGGTTTTCAATGTTAAGTTGTGGAAACGGCTCAATGGCATGCGAACATTCCGAGAAACTTGTTGTTCTTACTCTGAAGTGTAAGAAGTAACAATTATGGAGTAATACTGGTTAAGGTATTAAGTTTTTTCTTGGTTTAGTGAAACTTGCAACATTCAATGTGAATGCCAATAAATTAAAGCTTAAACATCAACAAAACTCATGGTTTATCAAAACTATGTACCTTTCTTTGATACTAAATCCCAATATATTATTCTTTAATTATTAATCAAAACACATTTTTGAATGCTAGTAATGTTGGCAGGTGACTGAGCCATTGCCGCTCACCAATGCAGTCTATGAAGCCTGTCTGAGATACACAATCCTCGCTCGGTTGGCTCCGTCTTGGAACCAGGTGGAGAAGTATCTTGTACGAGGACGAGACTTTCTCCTCTCCGCCTCCCCTAGCGATGCTGTCAAACTGGATATAGTCATTAATGGTAAGTTACATGCTAGTTTGATCAATCAACTGTAGTCTTATTTAATCAGTGTGTTTTAGGATTTTTTGAGAGGATAGCAGGCTTACCTGAATGGGAAAGAGTCCAAACTGGCACAAGAAACACAAAACTTTACAACTATATACACAATGTTTTGTTTACATTTTTTGTGTATATAGTTGTAGAGTTTTGTGTTTCCTGTGCCAGTTTGGACTCTTTCCCATTCAGGTAAGCCTGCTATCCTCTCAAAAAATCCTAAAAGCCTAGGCCCTTGTACTCTATGCCACACCCTTAATCAGTGCTTTATATTCTGTACTGCCACCTTAGTGCTATTTACGTTATATAATTAACAGTTACAATACCCTTCCTAAAAATGTATCATGTCCATGATAGTTGTTTCCTGTAGATTTTAAGGCACCAAACAGTTCTTCAGAGTTTGCATTAGCCATCGATTAGTTGTCCAGGCTAAAGAATGCACTGTCATTGAAAATATACTTTGACAACAATTTTACTTTTTATTTGCTTAAATCTTAACTGCCGGTCACCATAAGTCTGTCTATGGCCTTAAGTCCACTGATCAGTGTGGTGACCTCAAGACCGTAAATAAATAAATAAATTAGTACCGTTTCCTTGTAAGTCACAGTAGGCAACCTAGTCGTGACTGCTCTGACCAAGAGACTGGCCACTGAGCTACCAGGATCACCAAACCATTTGCAAAGACAAACAAAATCATGATTGTTGGTTATATGTACATATACATTGCATTGATTAGTTTGAACTAGAGGTCGTCCAGTGGTAGAAAACTCAACCAAAAATATTTATGCCTAATGTACAGACTTCTCTATTTTCACCCCACACTGTGTGTAAATAAAACACGTGATTGGAATAATTTCTTCCATATGTTTTTGTTGTTATTTTGTCACCAGCATGGCAACCCATGTAAATTTTTGCTAAATTTTAAATTGATTTTTTGTTCTTATTTTTTAGCCTATTTTAATTTATGAAGGGTTTCTGCACATATACAGGAAAATATCTTTCTAACAGTATGCGTAGATTTTCCCTGCGATGTACACAAGCTGAGAAATAAGTTTTTTAAGAAACATGCTTGCCTATCAATCTAGGTATAGATTTCCAAGTGACATGAAACTGTTGTGTTACCGGTATGACAGAAGTAGACATGCACATTGTGTTGTGGCCGCTACGTGTGAGACTTCCCTTGCTTGCTCCCCAAGACCTCCAAGCTACCTCATCCCATCCTTTCTCCTGGGATCTGTCCGCAAACAATAAAACTGTCCATGTGTTGCCTAGGTAAGATTTCAGAACTACTAACTATGTAGTAGATTGCTGTCGTTGTACCTTTAATATTGAAATGCATTGGATTATAATTTGTAATAATTGGACTTCAATAAACTGTTGTGTTTAAAATTTTTTTAGTTTTTACCCCTGGCAGATTATTTGGAAATAAACTCTGATGGAGGAAAAGTATCCTATTTTAGTAAAATTTGCTACGGTAGCCTATATGTAATGTAATAGTAATAGGGTAATAGTAATCAAATTTGAATAATAATATTAAATAACAATAGCGATCAATTTTGAACAGTCACAACACTCATCGTAAGGACCAATCTAAGACTGAGGAAATCAAAGTGATGCTTAGATGATATTGGTCACTGGAAGTACCAGAAGCAAACTCTGAAAGTTCCAGCAGAATATAATAATATACAGCTAGTCACAGCTAAGCTGGCACTTGACCGATCGATAGAAATTCGCTACTATCCTAGTTCAAAAACACTGCCTGCAGTCGTGCGGGTTGCGTCAACTGACCGCGCGGTCCGAGTGAAGGCGCTGGCGCAGGGATAAATAAAATAGGAATATCTAAGGAGGTTTTTAACAATTTGTACTTTTTGAAATGAGTGCAAAAAATTAATAAATAATAATATAGAGCTTACCTATTTTTTACGAAACGATTACCTTGACTGAATCTTCAAAGATCGAGTGAGAATTACTCAACAAACTGTGATTATTAGCTGCTTCAATATTGAATGAATGGTCTAACTAACATCACAGACCCACTCAAACAATATTTATAGCTGCCTTTTGGCTTTTTTTGTTATTTCTTTTATTATCTATATTTACAATGTAATTACAATCATAAGGAAAATTAATATTTCAAAACTGTAACAATAAAACTAAACAATTACAAATAACAGTATCTTGGTTTCAGTTACGCTACAAACATATATTTACAATACAATAATAATCACAATAAGCAAATATACATTTAACGTGATATAAAACATTATTAAACCCAAAAAATTGCATATTTTGGCTTCTCTCACTATACGATATATAGGCCTATTTACAACACAATAATGTTCAGCATAAAACAAAATTATAACAAAGGCAATAAACTTTCAAACCAGATTACAAATAATGAATATTTCATTTACAAGACAATTATAATCTCAATAACAATTCTATAAATATACTGCAATAAAACATTATTCATCTTAAACAAACAAATAGGCTAGTAGGCTACCGGTAACATTGTTTTGGCTCCTGCCGCGTTACGATGTAAAGTTTATATATATGACGAAATCAAAATACAATCAAAACCTTATAAAACAATAAAGTTAAATACCATTTATTAAAAAGGCATTACATTTTATAACAATCACAAGCAGTCTCTTTGCTACAGCCACGCTAATACAAGACATATATTTACATTTAATATAATAAATGATTTTTAAACTGAAAAGAAATAACATAGTTTTGGCTTGTGTCACGATACAATACATAAATTTACAAGTGCCGAACAAAATTAATTTACCTCAAAATATTAATCTGCCGCTTGTTTCACTTTTAGTCCATCAAAGTTCCTCGATACCAGACATATCGCTGAGATCCTCGTCATCGTCGCTGCTGATGTCCACATTTATTATAAATTGCTCCGTAATATCATCAATAGCTGGTTCTTTGGCGGCGTATTCGTCTTCCACTTTTTTCACGTGCTCACATCTTGATCTCCAATCGTCAGCAGTTATAGAAGCAAATTTTTCTTCGCATAACTTTTGCACATCGGCCAATTTAAAGGTGGTGTTGTGAGATGCAACATGGTTCTTTACTTCCATTATGCTTAGTGGCCCAGGATCACTTATAGAATAAAAATGGTTTATATTACCTGTCCGTCAGTGATCCTATTGTTGTCGTCTTATGCGACCGGTTTCAGGATTATAATCCCATCATCAGGCTGATAAAAATGTCATGTCACTCAAGTTGAGGTCGTCGGTAAACATAAAAAACACACATACAACACGAAACACGAAAATACGGAATATCATTGCTAGCTACTGGCCAGTACAGGACACTACGACGCGGCACGGGTAGTTGAACTAGCCAAAAATGACGTTTGTGTATCATTCAGGGCCAACAATAGACTTAACTCAATATTTAAAGAGCGCAAAAGGAACAGTCTTGATAAAGCCAATAAGACTGGAGTATATAAGATCAATTGGAATGATTGCCCTAAATATTATATAGGCCAGACTACTCGCTCATTTAAGCAACGTTTTAAAGAGCACATTCCATCCAAAACAATAGCCCAGCAAAAATCCGCTTTCGCCAACCACCTCGCAGACAGTAACCATAATTATTCCAGCCTTGACAATAACCTACACATTTTACATAGTTACCCTAAAAAAGGACGGTTTTTAGATTGTTTAGAGGAATTCGAGATCTACAAATCCATCAAGAATGAGCCACAACACATTTTAAATGAACAGACCTCTTTCAAGTCCAACATTATCTATGACGCAGCGATTAGAATAGGACAACAATACCAACGGCATTCCATAGATAACGGGAGAGGAGCAAGGACACCTCAGTCATGACCACGTAACTACCCGTGCCGCGTCGTAGTGTCCTGTACTGGCCAGTAGCTAGCAATGTTATTCCGTATTTTCGTGTTTCGTGTTGTATGTGTGTTTTTTATGTTTACCGACGACCTCAACTTGAGTGACATGACATTTTTATCAGCCTGATGATGGGATTATAATCCTGAAACCGGTCGCATAAGACGACAACAATAGGATCACTGACGGACAGGTAATATAAGCCATTTTTATTCTTTACTTCCGCCCAAATCATCTCGATTGGATTTAAATCCGGGTGGTAAGGAGGAAGACGTAGTAAACTGTGGCCTTGATTTTCCTTTTCTAGGATGTCGTCTAGGACGTATGTTACATGTCGGGGTTTATGTTCCTGGATGATTCTATAAAGTTGCGGTTTTAACATAGACAATTCGTAGGGGATATTTCGCTCAGCGAGCCACTTGATCATGTCTTCTTTTCTGCTAATGGAGTTTGGCGCTTTGTCAATTTGTTTGTTGTGATAATTTGCGTTATCTATTACCAATACAGATCGGGGCTGTATATTTGGTAACAACTGGTTAGTGACCCACTGAATGTAATTCGAATTGTTCATGTTATCATGATAATCGCCAGTTTTCTTCCCTGCCTTCCACATAGCCAAAGCGTTGGGGACAAACCCTTGTTCCCCTCCAGCATGGACAATTATCAACCTTTCCCCCTTAGATACTGGAGTATGCAATACATTTTTAGATCCATCCGACCACATTTTACCCGACACATGATCCGTACATTCATAGCTCTCATCCATGTATATAATGGGTCAACCCTCTAATCTGTGTTTTTTTAACGCCTGAAGATAAGTGATTCTTTTTTCTCTAATTTCTGTTTTTTCTATAAGTATTCTCCTGTTGTTTTGCGTTCTTTTCCAAGAAAACCCTAACTTTTTCAAAATTCTACGGACGCTCTCTTCACTTCCACTAAAATTAATTTTTTCCCTGAGTGAGTTTCGTAACAGTTTTGCAGTTGGAAGCCTTTTTTCTGTTATATAAAATTCGTACACTAACCTCCGGACGACACACTCGTAGAAATTGTCCAACCCGGTGATGGGCTTTTGTCTCTTTCTGTTTTTATTAGGCGTTAAAAAATATTTGACTTCCTCTTCACTTACGTGAATCGCTTCCAACTCCTTGTTGATCCGTGAAATTGAACGTTGTGACACTCCCGTAGCTGCTGCAGTCCGCTCTCGCGCCTTCTGGATGGGTACAGTCAATCCGTTGGCACTCTCTTCCTTCATAAATTTGTATACGTTCGACACTATTTCCCTACTTTGGCTTGTTAATACTTTGCCCCCAATCCCTACCTTAGATTTAAAGTCCGCCATATTAACACTTAAATGTTAATCAATAACTAAAATTAGCACCCCAGCACAACACTCCACTAGCACATCTGACGACTGACTGATAAAAGCAGAGTGTTTAGGAATTCTAGAATGTTGTCATAACAGTGGCTACTATTAGTCATCATGCGGGGGCACCAACCCCGTGAGTCAGCAGCGGAATGTTGGCAGAAAGGTCTTTACCTGGCTTCCACTCTCCCCCCGCCTACACTGCCTACCCTGCCACGCCTGGCCCCAAGTGCCAGCTTAGCTGTGACTAGCTGTACCTGTTTATTTATGAAATTTCTCCCATTCATTTTTGGTTTTAAATGAGAACAACGTTTTATTCTCTTAGTTTTGTTTTTATGTCTAGGGTGAATTAATTGCAAAGGTCACTACACTATTTACAATACAAGTACATGTATATGTACACGCTCGTGACATGTAAGCAGGCACTTGACTGACTACTTTCAAAAACATTAGGTGGCGTCAACTGTCCTCGCGACACGTGAAGGTGCTTGTAATATATCTTAAGAATATTAATATCCGTTGTAGCTATGATTTCCTTGTACATCACGCCACTATGAATCGTATGATTTTCAATAAATCTCATTGTCTACAAACATCACCTGATCCCCTCTCCACCTACATCACACCACCGTCCATGTACGTCCGTCCCTTCAACAGCCAGTCTACCTCCAAAACTCAAACCTTAACCACCCGTTTGTAGCCGTGTGTTAAACATGTAAAACTATCGTATTTATTTATCAGTCCACTTCCTAAGTCCAACTCAACCCACGAACACAACAAATGGCGACGAGGTCGGTCAAATTTACATACCGCGCAATGCAACTGTTCGATTGTGCCGCGTAGTGTAAATTTCGAACGCGTTTGTGAATGTCGGACGACGTAGTGGACTTAGACTTACTACCGTTGTTTGAAGATAGTAGTGAAGTGTCGGGTTACTCCAACATGGCCGGGATAATTGGCAGCATCGGCGAGTACGACCAGAACTCCGAGACGTGGTCTTCATACATAGAAAGATTCGAACTGTTCGTCGAATGTAACAATATTAAGGAGGAGAAGAAGGTTAGCACTTTATTGACTGTTGCTGGTGTTAAAACGTATAGTTTACTACGGGATCTGTGCACGCCCGACGTACCATCGAAGAAGAGTTTTAAGGAAATAGTCACTATCATTAAGGATCATCTCTACCCGAAACCATCGTTCATCGCCGAGAGATACAAGTTCAGCAAAAGAATTCAGCACGAGGGAGAATCAGCTGCGGAATACATCGCGCAGTTAAGGAAGATGTCTACACATTGCGATTTCGGCGCATCTTTAAATGACTACCTGAGGGATCGTCTAGTCTCCGGAATCAGGAACGAGTCGACCAAACAAAAATTGTTAGCAGAAACCAGCCTAACTTTGGACCAAGCCGTCAAAATCATCACGTCAGCAGAAGCCGCTGAGAAAAATGCCGCAGCCTTGTCGATCAGCGGGAGCCGCAACGTCGAGCGACTACAAAAGATGACGTCACACCATCGCAGAGTACCAGGCGGAAGCAGCGCACCATCAAGTGTCACCGTCACCGCACCTTCAGGTCACCACAATCACCCCAAAAGCAGCTCTTCGCACGACAACAAAGTGCAGTGTTCGTGTTGTGGAAGTGCATTTCATTTACGAAATCAGTGTCGATTGTTAGGTGTAACGTGTAACGCGTGTGGAAAGAAGAATCACATTGCTAAGGTTTGCCGATCTAAGAGTAAGTCACAAAAACAACATTCTCATCATTTTAGTAATAGATACAACAGTAGGCATAATTATGTAGAAGCAGTAACGAGTGCAAGCGATGGTAACCCTAAAGCTGAGAGCTATGAGGAAGATATTCCAAATTTATTCAAAATGAATGAAAGTAAAGTAGAAAATGCTAAAGTAAGCCCTATTAAAGTAGAATTAACAGTTCAGGGAAAACCAATTCATTTTGAAGTTGACACAGGCGCAAGCGTAAGTGTATGTAGTGAAAACTTTTACAATGAGAATCTCAACAATTGTAAATTGTTATCCACTGACTTATCTCTGAGTTCATACACAAATGAACCAATCGTTCCGTTAGGGAAAATTGAAGTAGATGTACAGTATCAAGGAGTAAGCAAATGTCTAGAATTGTATGTAATTAAGAAGGGAGCTCATCCTCTGATAGGACGTAATTGGCTTCAGAGCCTTGGTGTGGAAATATCTTTCAAAGATAAAATTTTTGGCATTGATAATAACGCTAGTATCGATCAAACTGTACATAGTAAACATTGCACTGAACTAACCAAAGAATTGTTTAAAGAATTTCCCGAGGTTTTCACTGATAAATTAGGTCAATACAAAGGTGAACCAGTTCAATTAAAATTGAAAGCTAACGCCACACCTCGGTACTTTAAGCCACGGTCTATACCTTTTTCACTGAAAGCTAAAGTAGAAAAAGAGCTTGAGAAGTTAACAGAAGAAGGCGTACTTCTCCCAGTCAAAAGTTCTGATTGGGGCACTCCCATAGTTCCAGTTCTCAAACCAGACGGTGGAATCCGTATTTGCGGAGATTTTAAGGTTACATTAAACCCAAGTCTAGATGTAGAAAAGTACCCAATCCCTAGAATAGATGAATAGATAGAATATAAGAATATTAATATCCGTTGTAGCTATGATTTCCTTGTACATCACGCCACTATGAATCGTATGATTTTCAATAAATCTCATTGGCTACAAACATCACCTGATCCCCTCTCCACCTACATCACACCACCGTCCATGTACGTCCGTCCCTTCAACAGCCAGTCTACCTCCAAAACTCAAACCTTAACCACCCGTTTGTAGCCGTGTGTTAAACATGTAAAACTATCGTATTTATTTATCAGTCCACTTCCTAAGTCCAACTCAACCCACGAACACAACAGTGCTCAAGTATACAAAACATGGTATACACCCGATGAGTCAGTAAAAATGTTTGCAGTCTGTTCCTTACCTCCTTCCTCCCCCAAACAACACTACCTGCACTAGGCCCAAGTGTCAGCTTACGTGTCACGAGCTATACAACAAAATGGATTTTATTACTGCTTATACTTGAAGGCAGACCATTAACTAACTAGAATATTCCAGTTACACTATCGAGTTACATACAGTTACACTTGCTTATACTTGTTACTTGCCAATATCTTGATTATTAATTCTGTGTCAATTATATTTCCACTGTATTTTTTAGTTTGAACAAAGCCAACGTTGAGATGGTGTCAAGTTCAATACCGCAAAATTCCTTATTCAAGTCATATAAGGACCTTAAGAGACACTGGAAAAATTCTGTAAGTTTTCTAATACATTAATGCACATTGAAATTTAGTGCATTAAGTAAAATTTAAAAGAATTTCTCGTATAGGGAATTTTTACTGTTATTACTTTTTACTTTTTATTACTTTTCTTTTATTAGTTTTTTTACTATAGCAACCCGGGACCGTTTTACTTTTTTGTTTTGATGTCCCTAGAAGCTAAAAACAAAAATAACCCGTACAAATTATCTGATTTTGATTAAATTTGGTACACACATGACAACCTACCTTTATGCAAACAAATTCGCAAACCAGCATGTTCAGACCATGGGAACAGGGTTGTATGGAATAATAACTGGATTTTTTCATTTTTTGAGCCTCAAAAATAAAATTTTCCAATTTATTTATCAACTATATTCTAAAGTTAAACAAATAATTTAGTATCCTGTAGCATTGTATTCCCAAAGGTTACCGATAAACTAAAAAAAACTTTCATGTTCTCATGTAAAATTCTCATGTTTTTTATATGGTTAAATAAACTGTGGTAGTTTGTTTGTTAATGGATATATTTTGATCAAGCTTGGCAAATTTGTTAATTTCATACTAAGCTACATTTCAGTATCAAACACATTTTATTACCCTCCCTGTAGCAGCAAACCTAATTAGGCATATTCATTAAAATTAATGTTATTTAAAAATAAAATGAAACTGACTGAATTTTAAGAAACTTTTTTGTAGAAATTAGGGATGGATGAGATTGGATTTTTAGTTTGAAACGAGTCAAGACAGGATTTTTTATTTCTCATAAAATTTTGAGACGAGATCGAGACGGGATTTCCCTTCTCATACATAACGGGAAATGAACGTTCCACATTTTAACCTGATTTTTTTAAACATTTTTAAATACCGTACCTACTGATTTATGACAGACTGGTTGAATACAAAAATAAATAATGGACAAAAATATTTAAAATCTTTTATTAGGAAACATTAATGAAAACATCAGTATAAAATAAAAATAATAAGGCCTAACTTATTAAAAATAACTCTTTGGCATAGGAAACATGGAGATATCAGTTAGTAGCCTATATAGTTCAGCTTTGAAAAATATCAAATTTATAAGTCTAAAACAACAGTATTACTTTACTAGTTAAGTATCTAGTAACAATTTTTAAGTCTTGTATTATTATTTTTAGAATGATTTTGGAGTGACTTATTTTGGCTATGTTTACAGTAGTAAAACATGTCTGACACTGCTTACACTAACAAAACTTCTCATAATTTGCTATGTAACAAAAAAATTAGAAAACAATTGAAGCAATATTTCCATGTAAAAAGTTAATAAGCCTAACTAAATAAAAACGCCTTCGCAAAGTTTTTTTTTAATTTAAATTTTTTAAAATAAATTATTTTTTTTATCTTGTCTGGAAAAAATCTCAACCAAAATAGAATCTTGTCTCGTAGAACAAGATTTAAAATTTCCCGAAATTTCGAGACCCGTCCATCCCTAGTAGAAATCCAGCCAGGTACAAGGAAATTTGCGTAGTCTGCAGGGTGTTTTTGCGGCAGGATTATTATGATAAAGTGGTGGGACCCTGGTCTACTTGAGTTTTTGAAAACTGCTCCACGCTATGGTAATATTTACTTGTATGTCACAGTATGGCTACAGACTGCCTGATAGTGAGGAAGGAGTGGTTTACGTCACAGTCAAGTTTGGGCGTTGGTTTTCTGAGAGTTTGACATACCCAATAATGTGTGTCAGGGCGAGACGGCCAGTCTTTCTTCGCCAACGAGAGCCAGAGCGAGTCCTGCTTCAGGTATATTCAGTTGAATTAGTGAACTAGAACTAGTTTGGTAATTAAATTATGCCTAATTGATAAACAGTTTGGTCATCAGTTCTCTGAGAAGGTGATACAATGAACGGTGTGTATCAGTGGCGGTCTCAGGGGGGGGGGATGGGTGGGATGTATCCCCCCGAAAGATTTTATATTTTATTGTCTAAAATAAATACTATTAGTTTGAGCCCATGTTAGAGCTCAAATACGTATAAAAATACGTTTTTAGGCTTTAAATTGCACATTTTTTCCGAGGGGGGGGGGGGCTGTCGGACCCTCCTTTTTCAGGGTCAACCCCTCCCCCTCCCCGAAATGTGCACAGGGTTGCCACCAGCCATGAAAACCTTGAAAACCTAGAATTATGCATGAATTCTTGTGACCATGAAAAAATGCATGGATTATGCATATGAATTTCTCCATTGGACCATGAATTTTCAAAATCAGGAAAATTGTTCTACCAGTACCATTAAATTTGCCAACATAACATATTTCATATTTAAAAACAATTCAGAAAAACAAACATAAAATTTAAAATGTTCTAGTTGGCTTGTTTATGGATATATTTTGATCAAAATTTTATATAATTTATACTAAGCTAATAATATTTTACTAAAAAACACACTTTATTAGTTTCCTTGTAGCAGCAGACCTAGGTACTCGTTAAACCTAATGTTATTTAAATAGATTTAATTTAAAATCAATTCTGAAAAATGGAAATTCGCTTAGTCGGTAGGATTGCTGCGGCAGAGGTATTTAAAAACGTGCCCGCTCTAATACAATTTATTGACTCCCATATAGATTGTTTTATTTTACTATATGAACATACTTTAATGTCTCTCATGGGTTAAAAAAAAAACCTTTATAGTTATACATTTCTGTGTTCATCATGTGGAAGTATAGCTTATACCTTCATTATTACAAATCAATCTACAGCACATGTTAAGTTTTGTCTTATTTTCCCCCCAGATACTTGCAGACCTTCACTCCAAAGTGCCAACCATCTGTGGCTATCCATTTGCAATAGATGCTAAAGTCCGCTACGCAATGCCCAAACTTAATGTCCTTTCTGAGGTTTGTAAGAGTCAAATTTCTTATTATTATATTGCCATTTTAAGGAATCTGTTTTAGAACTCTAATACTATTAGATAATTAAAGGTTTATTGTAGAATGAAGGTTCTGTTACAGTACTGTATCATAATTTTCATTTTAAGCCTTTACACTCTTTCCTTTGCTTTCACTTTTGTTTCCCAACGTATTTGTCTAACCATGAATCCATGAAGCGTCATTAACGTACGAATTTCTTTCTGTTCTCAGTGTTTAAGCATTTAAAAAATCTGTTTTTGACATGACTTAGTTATTGTCGGTTATTGTTGTACTCACACACTTGAATCATAAGTGTAGAGCTAAACCATTAACTTGATTATACAGGGTGTCACAAAAAAGTGTGATGGGCTATACAGGACCTGATTCTACATGCAAAAATAAGTCAAAAATGAAGAATAAAATTTTTTGGATTTCGGCTTAGTTTAGACGTAATCCGCCATTTTGTTTTTTGGGGAAACTATTTATTATTTCAAAATCCCTTTGAGATATTTTTACGAAACTTGGCAAAATTGTTTAAATTATAGTAAGTAACATTTATAAAAAAAATTATTATTTTAACTTCCCAAATTTCAAAATGGAGCCGTTTGAATTTTTTAATGCCAAATTTCATGAAAACCGGTACCTAAATCAAAATTTTGTAAGACACAAAAGTTTTAGTATTTATTATGACAAATCCAACAAAACAAAAATGAATAAAATCGGTTCATAAATAAAGAAGCTGTGTTTATTTTAGTAATTTAGACTGAAATTACTTAATACGTTACATAAACTATTACATTACATTTAATACATTTTAATATTAATAATTTCAGTCTAAATTACTAAAATAAATACAGCTTCTTTATTTATGAACCGATTTTATTGATTTTTGTTTTGTTGGATTTGTCATAATAAATACTAAAACTTTTGTGTCTTACAAAATTTTGATTTAGGTACCGGTTTTCATGAAATTTGGCATTAAAAAATTCAAACGGCCGCCATTTTGAAATTTGGAAAGTTAAAATAATAATTTTTTTTTATAAATGTTACTTACTATAGTGTAAAAAATTTTGCCAAGTTTCGTAAAAATATCTCAAAGGGATTTTGAAATAATAAATATTTTCCCCAAAAAACAAAATGGCGGATTACGGCTAAACTAAGCCGAAATCCAATAAATATTATTCTTCATTTTTGACTTATTTTTGCGTGTAGAATTAGGTCCTGTATAGCCCATCACACTTTTTTGTGACACCCTGTATATTGTTTTTGAGGTTTATTGTTTGTTCAATAAGCATAATGTGAAATGAAAAAAAAAAAATTGTGTAATGTACCGTTAGTTTGTTAGCCCTTTTAAATTGCATGATTCAACTTAAAACAGATACTTTACCCAAGCAACTTGACCGAGGTCAAGCCTGAGCGAAAGAAGGAGTACATAGAGGAAGACAACCCGGAAGCTAACCAGAATGTAAGCATGTGTGGCCAGCCAGTTACCCATTACAGCCAGCCAGTCAGCCAATATAGCCAGCCAGTTAGCCAATACAGCCAACTAATCAGCCAAACCCTTATGAGCAGACCAAGAAGTCAAGCGGAGAACAAAGTACCGGTAAGTTAAACAGGACAGTAACAGTTAAGCCCGTTACAATATTGAATTTACGTATCATACTACCACTGTATTTTTTAGGGAAAAGGAACTGTACAGTGTATAATGATCATCTTCCTTTAATCCTGGACCTACTATGAAAGTTTGAAAGAAATATATAGTTTACGTAATGAAAAAAGAATCCAAGAAGTGAGATATACTAACAACACTGTTTGTCTTCTTTGTTTATTATTTCTTAGTAAACTTCTTTAGTGGATGTAGTTTTTTTACAATTTATATTTGTAATTTTTTTAGCGCTTAATTTGCTTATTGTTTACAGATAAGAAGTCAAAGTCCTCCTCCTTTTCTCCCCCGCCTCTCCCAACTTCTACCACCTGCTCCAGTTAAGCCTGTGTTTGTGCCTAAGTTCACCTCTCGCACAAAACCAACCACCTCCACCTCCACCTCAACTCATACGTCGTCTGCTTCTCCTCCTCATGCACCAACTATGTTTTGTGGCACTCCAATGAAACCAGTCTTTGGCTTGGCTCGGTCATCCACAAAACTACACTCTGACGCAGTAACTTTTTTGTTTTATTGTTGTAGTTTGTATTGATTTGTTTATCAAATCAAATTTTAGTAAAAATATAAAACAACTTTTATATAACGACAGTTTACAACTAGGAGTTCTGGGGATTGAAACAAATTTTGAAGTAAGAACGTGACTGGCCGTCTCGCTCTGACACGCATTATTGGGTATATCAAACTACTAGTGAAGTTTAATTGATATGTTAATAAATGGCAACTGCAGTCTATGAATATCCCTTGCTAATGAATCTAAATTGATGATAATAATAATAATAATGATAATGTTTTGAGATATTTTGCTAAATATCAACACTTTTTGCTGAAAGGTGCGTTACATGTTTAGTGAGAAGTACAAGTGTTAGTATTAGGTAGCTTATGTACCGTAATTCTACTAAGTCTAATCCTTAAACTTCTGTATCGAGATATCTTCGTCTCCATCAAAACCTATATCCTATATTATGTAAGACCAGGTTTGAAATATTCAATTAATTAGTAGATTCCTGAACTTTGTTCATTGTTTTTGATTTTGGTTTCCTAAAAGCAATCGGATTTAGGGATCTAACAACTAACATACTTAACTGTACTTCGTTAATACATTTTCTATTAGCTTTTCAAAACAATTTGGTTGTTTACTGAAGATTCTTTTGTTTCAGCCATTGTTATTCGAATTACTGAAGAAAAAGAATACTTCTGCTCAACCTTCCTTTGGTTCTCCAAAAACAAACCCTATGTCCAGACCAAAAAAAGTGAAAACGCTATTGAATTTCCCTGATAATGTAAGTTTGCTATTTTGTTGTTGTATCGTGTCAGCAGTGTTAATTGTTATTGTATAGTAGCCGCCACTTAAAACCTGTAATTTTTAATGGTGGATATGGGAAATCTAAATTCTTAAGGAATGAGTTGGTCATACACCACCTTGGTTTGGGTCTTAGAGCCTACTATAGAAGATTTAAATCAGACTAAAATTATCAAGCAACATAGTTGGAGTTGGAGTTAATCCTTCATTCTATGTTCCTAATCTATGTACTATTATAAAAAATAATTGTCAAAATGTTGTGGTTTTATTAACTTCTTTAAAAGCTTGCACTCACTTGCACACTTTACTGTCACTAGTCATTCATTAAGCACGGGTCACACCAGGCTGCTCGCCGCTGGTGATCAGCAGCTGGCACCAGCATCACCAAGCCGGCTGTGTCAGCTGAAAATTTTGTGGTCACATTACCCTGACAGTAGCGGCTTCTTTCAATTCGCCGCTGATGGTCAGCCTAATGTGACTCGTGCTTTATGTTAGGACTGTAAACTTCAGCAATCTGCCGATGAATTTCTGCTGCTGAAACGTTTCTTGCAGACATGAGCCTTATCACTAAAACTAATGATAACCAACCGTATCACAAACCGTACTTCACAGTCGGCGGGCCGATCAATGGTCTTAAACATTGTGAACTGACACTATAAACAGCACACAACAACAATAACAACGCTAATGGCGGTGTTTGACGCGCAAGGCATACCAGGAGTCGATGTGCATGAGTTTTTTGTCCTTGGCACCCAATTCAAATAGTTACAGCGAATCGTACCTTACTTTTGGAATAACCCTCGTACTATACTGCAAAGGCTGGGTAAACTCAGTATTGACTGAGTAGCTGAATGGAGTCAAATTCCCCCTTCTTTTCTAAGGTTTCTGGTTCAATCTTCAGCATTAGTGTTGACCCAAATAATATTTTTTAGACCAACAAGAAATCAAGGAGCAGGCCACAACTACAACTAGACGTAGACGTGAAAGAACTTGCACAGAAAAAGGGAGGTTTGGACAAAGTGAACACTACTACGCTGATAGCTTATCTGCGAGAGGTCGGGGTTCATTGTAAGATCAAGGACAAGAAAAGTGACTTGGTCAACAAGGTGTTGGCTCACCTACACCTGCTTCCTGAGACACCTGCATCTGCGACCCACACCAGCAGTCAAGAGATGTAGTGTCATGCTCACGTTACAGGAGTGATAATACAATGTTTGGGAGCCATAATCTGTGATATTTGAGGTACTAATCTTTGTATTTAGAATATGTTACAACCTTTGTTTGGAGGCTTTAATGGCTTGTGTTGAAGATCACAACCATAGTTGAAGATTGCTGCTGGACATTAATGACTTTGAAACCTCAGTGACTAGGCTGATCTTTTAGTTAGCTACTGAATATGTCTCTTCAAAGGTCAATACGTCTGCAGCAATCTTAAACTAACGCTATGGTTAATGTTGAACACTTCTTTAGAATCTAAGATTGAGTTACAAAGTTGGTATACCAATGTATAAGATTCGCCTGTGATAACCAAGGTTGTGATAGAGGAAAAGTTAACATATTTTTTTGTCTAATTTTTGTCTTTATGGTGTAAATGATTGTGTGTAGTTGTCAAACGAGTTTTGTTAAAGGTTAGAAGTTACACAATGGATTGAAGGGAAAATCAATTCATAATGTGTTACATTATAATTATAGAATATACGAGAAAGGTCTTTTGTAGAAGGATTGGAGTATAGATTACTGTTTTAAATATATAATATTTCGATGGGTAAACAAAATAATTTAAAATCTTCCTGAGTGTAGTTTTACTGATGATTAATAATATAGTCAATACTGACTAGTTTGTATGTACTTTGAAAATGTGTTAACTTTCTTTTGCTTTTCTTAGTAATATAAAAATATTGTCTTGGAACTATCCCCCAACCTTGCTGTGTGTGGTTTTGAAATAGTAAACCAAATTGTCAAAAATAATTTAATTGTTATCTTTGTAATACATACAATCCATGAAATTGTTTAAAAATAAAATGTTTAAAACTTAACCTAATTTTGTCTTTATTAAAGCCTATATCTGAGTTGTTCGGAGAGTTTGTATTCCTGCCAAGATACGGAGTTGCGATGAAGCTTTGTCAATCCCCATTGCTGCAAGATCATGGACGGTCAGTGAGAGAAATGTCCAAATGTCAAGCTAGAATAATGAAAAAAACAACATTTAGATGTACTTCAATTAACTATAACTATAATATGTTGTTAAATGAAATCTTTCATACTGTTTGGTATTTAATCGATCTCATGCCCACCAGGCGTAGATTAAAATACATCAGCTGTCGCAATATTATTGTTTACAATCCGACCTGTCAATTGGACACTGTTTATTGTATGTTTAATGTGATACTGTAAACACATTCATCTCACCGTTCAGTCAAAACGGTTTATAATGTCATAGACACAACATAAAATAATACTGTTTACAACCAGACGGAAAACTCCATATATTGTGAAAGGAGCGTAAGGTTGTAGGTTTTGTTGTCAGACTAAGTCAAATATAACCTTACTTTTGGTAGCATTTAAGTCTTGTAAAGCAATTTAATAAATGGCTCTACTAAATTTAAATGATTGACTCTTTAAAATGTTAAAAATATCTGAAAATTCCCAAGGCATGAAAATTTTATAATTATTAAATAGGTTTTTTTAGTTAAACTGCAGGGTATTTATATTCCTAAAAATTATAACTCTATTAAGTATTTCTTCCTTTTAAGGCAGCGGATTATTTGTAACTTCTGGAAGTACCAGTACTCACCTCTTGCTCTTTAAAAACAGGGAAAAATTCTTCTAGTCCTAAGTCTTTCAACAGTTTTAAAAAGTCAACTCCATTTTGTTTATTAATATTCAAGTCATCATAGTCATCTTCATCTGCCAAAGACTTGGACCTCCTAAAAATCAAAGTTTTTTGCTAATTACCGGTACGCAAAAACATTATTCAGTCCAAACTTTTGACTGCTATCAAGTCAAGGACTTCTACAGAACTTTATTTTGTTACTGTACCACAATTATCAATGAGGGAATTGGTTCTAATAATATGTTTTTCCATAAGTTGAAGTTAAGTGTTTACTGTAGGCCTATATAATATTCTTTCCTTTTTCTTTAAGCAATTTCATTTTTAGTTTGTACTGTTGTGAAATATTTTAATTAATTAGTGACTGCTTTTAAACAAAACTTGGCACAAGTGTCCTAAGTCAAAATCAAAGAAGATCATTCCTCCTTTGAAAACAAAAAACAGATCATTATTTAGACTAATGATTTATGATTATTTTTGGAGCTCCTCAGTGAAATTAGGAAACTAACTATTGCTTACATTATGATTTGTTACATGAATAAATTCAGCTGAAAAAGGTGTATTGTTTTTGTATTCATAACCATGCATTTCTCATGCCATTTCTAAACTTTATTCATGCTACAAATTTCCCAAAGCAGAACATTAATGGTTAAATTAAATTTTACCTTTTAGTAATTTTTTTAAGCCAAGATGAAAACCCATTGACAGATGTGAGTTTCCTCTTGCGCCCCTTGCTTGGTGTCTTAGTTACAAACCTCCTCGGAGTCGCAATAGTTGCCAGGTTGTACTGACAGACCAATCCTCTACTATCTGGAGTCCTTTGTTGTGGAGATAGAATAAAAACACTCTTCATGGATGGACTGGAATACTGTTTATCCTCATTGATCTCATCATCACTATTCTTAAACACTGGACGGCACTGAGCGCTTTTACCATCTCTTGGAGTATCAACATACAATTGGTTGGTAAAAATTGGATCTATAGATTCAAAATCTGTGTCTTCAACTTTTTCAAAGCTAAAGCGGATGTTGTGCGTAGGTGTTGTAGGGTTGAGAAGTAGGAACAGCTTTCTATTACCAGCCGCTAGAGCAAGTTCTGATGCATTTTGTCCCAATGGACTGATTACGAATGGGTCGGCTCCGGAATCCAACAACAGTTTCGCCAACTCACAATCTCCTGAAGTCATGGCGACCAGCATTAGAGGAGTTACTCCTGTGATTGAAAATACACAAGTTTAGTAAATTGTGAAATACTAAAACTAGCTTGCTTAAGGGTATTTTGGATATCTAATTAAGTTTTGAGCAGGTTATTCTTTTAAAAATCCTCAATTATTTGAAAATATATACATTTGAAATATCTAATGAATTTTGTGATTAGTTCAAGCCCACCAACTAAAACTGCTTCTGAGGTCTTTGACACAGTTGGTGACTTGGCTCACTGCTGCTACAGTGCCATAGTTGCTAGTTGTTATCGCTAAGTGTTCTTAGTAAGTACAGTAAACTGCAGATGCTTCCAGTGGTAATCAAGTCAAAATTTACTTACACGTAGAGTCTAATATGGCCGATTGATTAACCATCTTTAAGAAATGTTCAAACTTGTGAAAACATTAAATATTATTTGTAAGTTAAGCCCCCTTCACACTGGGCCACCATGGTGGCGACACCATGGTGGCTACGTTACATTAGCATTGATTTAAATGGGACATCTTCACACTGAGCTTTGGTGGCGCGTCTGGCCGCGGGACCAGAAATGCGGTGGCTCAGGGTAGCGATTTTCAGAGACACCAGTCTGGTGGCGCCACCACGTCGTACCATGGTTTCTTATCGGACTGTTCACATTGGAGCGACTGGCAGCGCCACCAGTCACTACCAGCGGGCATTACTCAGTATACTAGTTTACTAATCTTTTGAAGTTGTTAAGGTAATAAATATGGGGAATCGATATTATTGATATAACAAAATGTATACGGTAGGTACTCTATTTCATTTACATCTTTTCGTCATTGCAATGTATACATTGAGTCAAGGTATTACAGTGTTATTAATAAATGGTATATTAACTATGTTTTTATTTAATTTTTCACAACGTTAGTAGCAGTTTCTCTTCTGGAGATATTTTATCTTTCAGACTTCCCAGAAGCTCATCAAAACTTAAAACACTCATTCTTGAGTAAGTAGTAATTGTGAAACGTGTAAGGGTGTTTTTAAGGTCTTGGTAGTGAATGAAAAAAGTCTCTCTGGTACTTATATCTCATAAAAACGGATGAACAAAAAAATACGTTTTTTTCTTATGTTTTCACAATTTCAAAAAAATATATACGCTAAGCACCTGCCTCTTCGACGTCCAACTGTGACCTTTGTGGCTGCAGCTGCACTGGTGGCTGAGCTGGTGGTCCATGCGCATTTTGACCGGCCACCAGTGTCGCCACCATGGTGGCCCAGTGTGAAGAGGCCCTTACAGCTTCATGGTCACATCAAGTAAATATTTTGGGAGGAGGTAGGAAAAGAAGATTCTCAATCTTCTACAATCCTTGATCAACAAGGATTGTTCAAGGGCTTACAATAATCATTTTACTGGACGGATTGTAATATACACAGAACACACAAAACGCAGGGCCGCGTTAAGGGTCAGTGGCGCCCTGGGCAAACCCAAAAGCAGCGCCCCCCCCCCCCTTATATATACATAACTAAAATGGTTTTGACCACAGCCGTGTAGGGAGGGGAAGAGGGAAGGTGGTTGACCATCAGTTTGCCGAAATCTACAGCAGGTGGGTTGGGGTGAGTGCAATGATATTGACAGTTCCTATATGCAAATGCCTCTTGCCCTGCGCCAATAGCACTACGCAGTGATTTGAATGATTTGATTACTGTTCAGTACAGTACAGTGTGCAGTTCATTCCACACGTATTGAACGGGGTTCTACTAAGGGAGTATGTTTTATCTTTGGTTCTACTATATTACAACTATATTATGGTTGTACTAACCAGTTTTTCCACTGATTCTGAATTGAAAACTCCCTCCCGAAACGAAACTGGTAAAAAAAAAACACGCTAATGTATAAATATATATATGCATAGGCCTATATAGTCTATATAGGCCTATGCATATATATATTTATACATTAGCGTGTTTTTTTTTACCAGTTTCGTTTCGGGAGGGAGTTTTCAATTCAGAATCAGTGGAAAAACTGGTTAGTACACTTCACTTTCTTTAAAAATACTTCTTGACTTTCTTTTCTTTGAGCCAACCGCTTGCGGTTCTCGGCTCCACTAGGTTTTTATGCATTTTTCACTGTTTATAGTCCTACTTGTATCAAAATTCTATTTATTTATTACTGGTTCACTAACTGCAGTGTGAGTGTCAACACTGACTAGTGACTGTCACAGTTTAGGTTGTGTTGTGACTGATTTTATGACTGTGCAGCAGGCACAACATGAACACAACCTACTGACTACTGACTAAGCATAAGCAGTAGCCTACTGTACTGACTGGCGCCGCGCGGTAAGTTGTGACTTGTGCATGGGGGTGGGTGTGGCGATGGTGGGTGGTAGGGAGAGGAGGGGCACATCAACAGCTGTAGTCTACAGGCCTACCGTGGTTTAAGGAAAATACATAGGTGTGCTGTTCCCGTAATTTGCTGACGTCACCCAAATTGCAAACAAAAAATCAGCTGGTGTATTGCCATATTACACCAACCCATATTATTTATTATGGTTATTGTATACTAGCTGTACCCGCGGGCTTCGCCCCGTTTAACTTCATAAGCATTCGCATGGCTCATTCACGTCCCGACCGCCGGCGCCCCAGGGCATATGCCCAGTCTGCCCGTTTATAAAAGTGGGCCTGACAAAACGTAGCAAAAAGTGAAACCCAACATAAGTTCTTACCTTTGAATACATGATTGATTTCAGCTGAAGTATATTGTAGAAGCCATTTTACTGCCTGGTGTAACCCATTAGCACAAGCCACTAGTAGAGACATGCTACTCTCCTGTGGTTTCATCTCTGATGACAAACTGTTGTACAACAACAGCTGTAAATCCTCCGCAAACATGAGAGTTGCAATTGTGAAGGCTGTAACTCCTGGAAATATTGTACAACATGTTCAATAGCAAAATATTGAATGTAGGCCTACTGTAATACTGTAGATACAAGGTAATATTTCAAGGCTTTGGATTTATGCAAAGGAAAGGAAGAAACAGGAGATAATTTTTTTTAATTTGTGAAATATGAAATCATTAAAGAACCCTTAAATTAAACAAGACTATTGAGCATTATCCCATTAAAAATGCTAAAAAAAACTAACTATGGTTATAGTCCTCGCCACCCTAAGTTGAGGCAGCCCAAGGCCGCACGGTGTATATCTAGTGCGGCCTTTGGCTGCCTCAACTTAGGGTGGCGAGGACTATACCTACTTTCCTCCTTTGCATCACATAGTGTCATTTCCCTTTGATAATGACTGTTGTTCAAGAATTTCTACGTTCAAGTGTTAGGGTTAGGTGTTTCATATACCTTGTATTATAACCTTAGGTTAATTGGTCAGTAATTTCCTTATTTAAAACCATTGTAGTTTGAAAAAGAAATTATATAGTTATTATTACAAAAAAATATAAAATATGTTAAAATTATATAGGGTAGTTGTCTTATGTTTTGATTATTGTTGATGTTAAGGGTAGATTAAAGAACTATTTTACCAGAATACACGACAAAGGTACTTTTATATGAAACGTAAAACGACACTTGATATCTAAGACGCACAATGTTGTACTTACTAACAGGCACAGTAAATGGTACTTGCTATTTGCTACAGACAACCAACGGCTCTGGCAAATTGAAAAGACAATGCGCTACTCTTGCTAATTACGACTTCAACAAACCATGATAGTTGCAGATCGAGACATTTGCACCTTTACACACCAACTCCCTTGCAATGTCATGGTGTCCGTTGTGTACTGCATGCATGAGGGGTGTCCATCCCAGCTGATCCACATCGTTCACATCTTCCCCTTCAGCAAGTAGCTCTTTCAGCCTCACCCAATTGCCTTCAGCTGTTGCATGGTGGATGCTTTCACCATCACACTCCTTCAGAATTAAAACAAATTGTAAAAATCGTGGTTTATGGTTTTAAATATTTGTTATTATATTAATTTAGGCTACAAAATAGGTTGCTTTTGGATCCAAAATTAAGAATCATGGTTGGAATAAGATATTTTAAGCTACGGTATAATAAAATTGAGGGATTTATATTTGGGAGTTTGTCAAGTATTTTTGAAAGAGGTAACCTATTTAGTTCTTGGCTTGAATACCCAAACTATATACTAATCATGTAGTATATAAATGTACCAAATATATTCAGCTCTAATGTCAAATAGTTGTGGGCTTTTTGTATTGAATACACAAAAAATGTGCAAAATTGTATTGCCATACTCAAAATTTTTAAACATATGTAGGTTTTTAGTTGCAGTTAAATTGTAAAAACATTGTACTTCAACAATTGTCCCCAAAAAATATATAATCAGTATTACGCTATCAGGCTTTTAACAAAATAATATATAGAAAAAATAAATGTGCCTAATCATAAGTACTGTAATCTAATCTCTTTTGTTTAACCTCAAAATGTTAAGAGAAACATAAAGGTGATTATGTAAAAAATTGACATTTTTATTTTACAAAACCTCTGTAAATAAGAAGACTTATGTTTTGATAAAACGTGAATGCCATCATACATTATGTGTCATATCCTATTTCACCTTGTAATATATTTTGTACTAAAAATCCAATGTAACAAGAACTCTGTCAGAACTTGAAGGTAAAATTAATGTGGAAATATAACGAACATCTAACATTCTATAGCATTGTTTTTTATGACAAATATTACCTCATTCATCTTTTATCATTGTATCAAACTGACAATCACATTTCAAAACTCTCTTAACCTCATCTGCTTGAAGTAGGAAGTTAGCACTTCTTGAAAACAGCAAGTAACTCTTTTCTTATCAGTACTTCTGGATGCAAGGACAAGGTTCAACTTTTACTAGCCAAACAAAACAAATCATAAGACCGGGAGAATATCTATGTTAAGTTTTTAATTTTGTAATTTTAAAGTTATCGGTAATTAATGACCACAAGTATTTTAAAAGATTTAATAGAGCTTTAGAATACTGGTTGAGATAGTGTATTGATTCACTTATTTTACATATATTATATCTAATAATATTATTGGTACCTACTTTATAATGTTAATCTATGCTTTAAATATAATTTTATCATATTGAGAAAAGTTGTGTGTTCATTATTAGAACATAATTTAAGCTTAGACTTTGAGTTTCAAAAAACTTATCAAAACTATTTAAACAAATTGTTAAGTGCATGACTAATTCTTGAGACTACCAACAATTTAATATTTTTCACATTACAAATTTAAAAACTTCAAAAGGTGTATTGTCTTTATTCAGTTTTTACAGAGTTAACAATTTTTTTTACGTATGCTCCAAAGTTTTTACAAAATTTTGATTATTTTAAAATTATTTTTTTTAATGTTGAGATTATTAATTCTTGACTACCTAGTACCCAGTACCTACCCATCCCATTTCTTAAGTGGTTTTTTTTTCGTATTTGCATTCAATGTTATTGAAGTTATTAGCATGTGGACAGGGAAAATTTAATAACAACTTTTTATGTATTGCATAGTACGATTATGCTGGTAATAGTGGCATTGCCAGCTAATGTACTTTTGTTATTAACTTTGACATTGATGTCTGTAGTGACTAGTGATAAAGCCACTTATCACAGGCTTTTAGCTATGTTGGTATACACAGTCTAATCTGAGTGATTGCTTTTCATGTGACAGTGTTGGCTGTGCTGGTTCCTATCATTACACAATCAGTAAACAGGATTGCCAACCTTGAGGCTGATTGTGGTGGTTTGGGAGGAGTTAAGAGCAGCTGATGCACTAGCAGTGTGGACACTAGATTGAACACAATGTAAGTTGGGCTTTGTTGTTAAACTTTATCTGTGTTGGGTGAATAGCAGTAGGAAAAGAAATGTATGGCCTGAGACCTCTAGTTGATCAAGTTTTAATCAATGTAATGTCAAGCAACAAAATATTTTTTGTTAATTTTAATGATAGGCTAAATAAATACAAAAGAAAATGCCATACAAACTAAAAAAAAATCACTAAAACATACAGTAGGTAGTCTTACTAAGGGAATTTAAACCTAAATTTTTAGTTATAACAAAACTCTAATTTTATTTATATAGATGTATCTATCTGCAAAATGAAAATGCAACCTTCTTCCTCACCCTATGATTTTTTTACGGTATTTTAAAGAAAAGCAAAAATTTGAAACTATTCTATTAAGTAAGTGTTTTTAAAAGTCACTATAATCTTAAGATTATTTTTTTAAACTGTTGACAAACAAGTTAACTGTAATTGTTCATACAAAATGTTTTTGCACCTGGATTAATGATGATTAAAACGGCCAACATTTTTTCATCCCTATAGTGGCATTATAATGAGTTTTAACGCTAATATGTTCCATACAATACTTGTATATTTTGTAGTAACAGACATCTTCATCATGAACAAGTAAACCGAGTGTCTTTCTCCCAACTCTTTACCAACCTTTAATCTAAGGTAGGTATCATTCCTGGACCAGAAACCATCTAAAATATTAAGTAAAAATTTCCAAATATCATTTAATAACGGTTTTTTTAGTGAATTGAAATTTGGTAAATAGATCAAGTTTTGGAAATTTGTAACGTGATATAGGTATCTATAATATATAAATATACAAATCAGTCTGCCTTTGGTCCAGGAATAATACCTTAAAAGGTTGGAAGAGAGTACGGGGACACTATATATATAGATACAGTTTTGATTATGTATTCTTTTTAATCCTAATTATAATTTATTCCTCGGCAATTTTTTTAATCTTTTGCACTATAGGTAACTTATTTAAAATTATAAAAAGTGTTGAATTTTCACATAATAATGCACAATATAAATATATTAATATTTAACTTCAAGTCACCCTTTAATTTTATGGTTTAGGTACCTAGTGAATCGTTTTTAAAAATTTAACAAAATATGGATTAATCTTCTTTATAGAAGCTTGTGAATAAGATAGTAAACAAAGTCACTGACATTAATGCACAGACCCAGTTGATTAGTCTTTTTAGTTGCAAATTAGCACAGTGTAACACAATGACCATTTAGTGCGGGAAATTTTCCTTATTTACTTAAAAATATATCATTACAAGTACATTAAGTGGTATTCGTCAGTGCAATTCAAAATAGTTTACATGTGATGCGTGTGTAGACCACTGGACCGCCCAACAATGCAAGGCCAGACTCTGAGTTATAATTGTAGCAAGTGTCAGAAATAGTCTCAAACACACACTTTTCATCACAATTTGAATATGGGATGGCTACATGAGTTTTAAACCAAAGTTTCCAACAATCCACAGAACACAATAGTTAATTTTTTTACATTTTGATGTTTCCAAAAGATTTTCAGTATCACAACACACATTATGTTTTCCACAAGAAGGTGTTGGAAATTATTACGGAGTTTAAAATATTTTGTTAACAGCAGTTGTGTTATGCATCAAAATCACTTATCAACAATTTGTTTTAATTAACAAATTTTGTTGTTAACTCTGTTGAAACACTGTTTTTTTTATTACAAAAATACTTTCATAAGAAAATGTATAGTTTGCCTAGTAGGTAAATATAAAACTAGTTGAAAAAATGAGAACAATAAATTGAAAGAAAAATACCCCCGCCGCAGCAAACCTGCTGTCTAAGCGAATTTCAATTATTCTGAATTGATTTTCAAATAAATCTATTTAAACAACATTAGGCTAACAAGTACCTTGGTTTGCTGCTACAGGGAAACTAATAAAGTGTGTTTTTAGTAAAATGTTAATAGCTTAGTATAAAATAAATAAATTTGCCAAATTTAATTAAAATATATCCATAAACAAGCAAATTACAACTTTTTACAATATTCTTCATAAGAATAAATAACATGGGAATTTTAAAATAATTTTTTTTTTAATTTTCTCCGTAACTAATAACTGTACAAAATCACTTTGATGTACTGAATTATTTGGTTTTTAAGCTCTTTAAGAAGGTCTAGAGTTTTGAAATTTTATGTTTTTAGGGTCAAAAATGAGAAAAACCAATTTTTACCCCATAAAAGCTCCCATAAAACCCCGTTACCAGAAAAATAAAAATATATATCCGGAAGTTGATCATAAATCAAAGAGGGAACACTATATTCTAAGTATATTTTCAGACTTGCTAATAAATTGCTGATTAGTCATTGCCAACCAAAAACATTCTTATTTCTATATTACATTTTAAGATACAAAATAATATTTTTTTCAACTAACATAGCACTTTATCTTTTAACATGTTTGAACTGTTTCGAGCCTTGTGCAGTAAGTGCTCCATTCAGCAAAACAAATAGTCATGACTTGCATTATCCAAGGCCTCTCCTCTCAAGATCCAAGGTTGTCATTGGAAACAAGAATAAAAAATCTCCTAGTTACTTTTCATTGTATTTTTACTTTTAAATCTTCAATGAATAATAAATACAGGGTGTCCAAAAAAAATGGATCAAATCTACAGCCATGGGCGCTCGCAAGGTTTGGAACAGGGGGGTGCAATAGGTCTAACAAACATTCGGGGGTCTGAAAATTTCTGTAAATATAGTGTTTTAAAACGTATTTTTACACTATTTTGTAACACATAGAACCAACCAAAACAAAATAGTATATTGTGCATCAAGTCATCATTTATATGCCAACATTAAATTAATAAGCTATTTGAAATTCATTATGTATAATTTACATGGTCAAATCCACAAACCAAACAACTATAAAGAAAAATAAAATAACAGTCGAATAAAGCCTCAATAACAGCCAAGAAAGTTGATGTTTTGATTTTTGAATAGTAGTAATAGAATAGCACATCTGTGAGTCAACTACTTATTTGGTTTAAACATAAACTTAAAACATTTCTTAGACATGACCATTATGAACGTACTTTTATAAATTCCTTAAAAACCTAATTGATTACAGAACATTATGGGTATTAAATTTATTTCTTATTTTTTAGCCAGGGGGGTGCAAGCGCACCCCCTTGCACTCCTCTGTGGGCGCCTATGTCTACAGTTAATATACAAGGTGTGGCTCGAAAAAAACAGAATTTTTAGCGTAACTGTTTTAATTTTTTCCCTTTACAACTTTATCCTTATCACCTTCAATATACACTATATACTCCACTATCCCTACATCTTTTCATTCAAATTTCCCATTGTTCAAAACAGTGTTTTAAGTCATTTTCTGACAGCATGTTCAAAGTCTCCGTCGCTTTTTGTTTCCCAGCTTCCACAGTCTCTGGCCCCCTTCAAGGCCTCCTTCACTTTTGGGAACATAAATAAATCACGCAGAGCTAGGCCTGGTGAGTAGGGTGGATGTCCCAACAGAGGGATCTCATGCTTGGCCAAAAATGTCTTATCCACGACTTGTTCTTCCACAACTCTGGCTGCTTTCTTTGTACTCCCTCACGAAGGGTAGTCAAAATCTCAAGATAGTATTCTTTATTCAAGGTTTGACCTCCAGGAACCCAATTTCATGCAAAATTCCATGGATGTAAGAAAAAACAATCATTATGGCCTTGAATTTTGATTTTGACATTTGAGCTTTCTTCATTCGTAGTGAATTCAGACTCATCCAGTGCATTGATTTTCGCAAAGTTTCTGGGTCATAGGTAAAACACCATAATTCGTCACACACAATAACTCTTTCCCACAGTCCAGGATCTTCTCTAATGTTTTTTTAAGATGTCAGATCAGATGTCAGGATTTTGGCACCATTTTGGAACACACTTTTCTCATATTGAATTTTTCATGTAATATTTGCCGAACAGATTCTTTGTCAATTCCCACAGTTTTGGCAACTGCACGGATACTCAATCGACGATCTTGACGGATTAATATGCCTATTTTCCCTATACTATTGAAGGTGTGTACTATAACCAGACAATCATTGATGTATTAAAAAAATACAACAGTCAATATTAATCCAACCATTCGTACTGACTGAAAACAAAAGCAGTGCTTCAGAGTTAAGGGAAAATGTGTAATGTCATAGACCAACCAACACAAGTAGTCTTCTCATCCCATTGTAAATTTTCAAGCTCGTTTTTTGTGTCTAGTTCATGTCCAGTGGCACTAATCGCTAGTGTCAACAAAATTTTGTTTCTATTATTTTAGATTTAATTCCTCTTGATTTTTTCTTTATTGTTTGGTTACAGCATAGTCAATAGTTACGGTATATATTAGGGGACGAGTTATTGTTTATGATTACTGTAGATCGTTTTATTTTGTTAGACAAGGTTTTAAATGACTGAAATAACAAGAAACAAATTGTAAACAAAACACAACCTCTACAGTACACGGGACGGAACTAACAATAAAATTGTCTTCAAATGATCCATATAAGGATGAGAAATCTACTAAGGGAGTATGTTTTATCCATGGTGTAACTTTTAACTAATAGTGTTTTTTGACAGTTAATCCTTCAACCTAACAGCTGCTTGTGAGATTAAGATGGAGGAGCAGATAGAAACCGTACTGATAGAGACAAAACTGGGAACTCTGAAAGGCAGAACTCAAACTTCTGCATTTGATGGAGAGAAATACTACTCTTTCAGAGGAATTCCCTACGGAAAGCCACCTGTTGGAGAACTCAGGTTCAAGGTAAGAGATAAAAAGAAATGAATGTTTTACACAATTCATAATTGTAACTGCCTTAACTTTTTCAAATTGTATTTTAGAATGTTTCATGCATTGATGATTGGTAGATAGTTGTATTAATAGTAAAAGATAACATGTAGGCTAATGTTATCATGATATTATTATTCAATATCATATGACATCTAGACTTTGATGGTATTACAAAAATTTATTAAAAATTTGAGAGCTTAAAAGTATGTTCTTGTAATGGGGTTTTGAATATTAAGTTTATCGTCTAAAATAATTTTAAGTTCGTGTTACCGGCTGCTTTAAGCGCATGTTTTAAATCAAACCCGTGCATTGAAATGAGGTATGACATACTAGTAGCGTATTTCGGCGTAGCGTACGACCGAGGAACAAACTATTTTGTTTTTCTCAGAGCGTATTGGAGCGCATTCGACTGCAGACACGCTTAATAGCCCAGTCAATCTAGGTTTTTACCCGGAAATGAGAGATATAAAGCTAATTTTTCCACAGATGTCCATTATGGTATGTAAAATCACACCCTAAAAGTCCCCGCCCGTCCCCTGTGTGCTTCCCCTGTTTTACCGAATTTAAGGGGGCAGGGGTGCGATTTATTAGACGTGTCCGTGAACGTGATAACTTGAGTAATTTTGGTCCGATTTTGATTAAATTTGGCTTGAAGGTGTGAGATGGGACAATCTTGAATGAGTTGGCAAACCAGCATGATCGGACCATGGGAACAGGTGTTTATGGGGGTTTTATGGGGTAAAAATTCGGTTTTATGGGGCAAACATTTAATTTTCTCATTTTTGACCCTCAAAACACAAACATTTCCAATTCCTCTCCAAATCATTTTAAAAAGGTTAAATAATCAAATTTTATAGTATATTAAAGTGTTTTTGTAAGGTTATTGGTTACGAAGAAAATTCAAAAAGTTATACATTTAAAATTCCCATGTTATTCTTAAAGAGAATGAGAATAAGTTAGTTGTTGTAGTTTGCTTGTTTACGGATATATTTTCATCAAACTTGGCAAATCAACTTAATTTATACTAATCTATTGATATTTTACTAAAAACGTACTTCATTGCCCTCCCTGTAGCAGCAAACCTAGGTACTTGTTTGGCATAAGGTTATTTAAATGGATTTAATTAAAAATCTAATCGGTCAAATGGAAATTTGCTTAGTCTGCAGGTTTGCTGAGGTGGGGGTATTTTCATACAAAATTGCATTGTCCTAAATTTACTTTATCAATTGTTTTCGTCAAAACATCACTTATTTTTTTTACTTAAAAAGTATATTTAAGCTGGTAATAGTATGAATAGAAGTAGATAAAGTCAATACTAGTCTCTTTTCTGCACCAATTGGTCTCCTCCAATTAGTTGTCAGCTTCTCTCAATCATCCTTCACCAAACTAAATATGTAATCGAACGTTGTAGTCGACCTTCTTGTGTAATTCTTAAACCGAGACTCGTGTTTCCTAAGGATTGGAAATAAGATGTATTCACCATGTTTGCCCCTGCCTTTACAAACTTCGTGCACCCCGACACTTCTACTGATCAAAAACTGATACCTTAAGGTATATTCGACAAAACTTATAAGAGTCGTCTTCGAAAGAGCCATCCTTTATACTGATGTACCTTTAAGACCGTCTACAACCTATAATGCGCTACGCTACGCTGCGCTCTCTGTGTGTATTGGACAACGCTGCGCTCGGCTACGCTACGCTGCGCTGCGCTACGCTACGCTGTCTGTATGTTTCTACACTTAGATGGGCTAAATGAAATCAGTCCCGTTTTTCTCTGGGGGTCATACCACATCAGAAAGTAATGGTGTGGACCATTTTATTTCTATATCTGGCTGGTTTATTGAAATACATATAATAGGTGTTGCTCATTTATGAGCCATCGATGATCATTTTAAAACCCCTTTAGAGATATAAATATCTAGAAATTTTTCAGAATAAGTTTCTACTGTGGAAAATTACCTCCATTGTAATTTTCAACCTCAACACTTTTGAAATTCATTCTAAATACAAATGTTTTAAAAATTGTCACTGTTTTTTTTTTTCAGGCCCCTCTGCCCTATGGTGGATGGACAGGCGTGAGAGATGCATTGGAAGACGGACACGACCCTAAGCAGCGTCTGCTCCTGCGACTCCCAGGGACTGACCCCAACAAGGAAACTGATGGAGAAGAGGACTGTCTCTATCTCAACATCTACATAAAGCAGGTTAGACTTAGGTGGTATCATAAAAGTACAGTACAGACATGTGGTTTTTAACAGTCTGGAAAATTAAAAGAATCATAGGATATGAAAATGTGATTTAAGATAACAATTAATTTGAATATTTATTTTGATATTTGCCTCAGATCATGTTTGAAGTTCAAGACCTGTTTTGCTCCTTTGTTTTAGAAAATCCTCAGGATTTTCCTACTCTTAAACCAATGAGCTATAATAGGTTGTAGCTTATTGATGGGACCACATCTGGAGGCGTTTATAGGCCTACGCCTACATCTGGAGGTGTATAAGCTTCCTTATGTAGTCACTTATTTTTCTTTGCAGTTACAGGTATATGTCAAAAATAATTAAGAGTTTTAATTTTGTGTGTGTGTGTTCCAATCTCAATAAGCCCACAACTCTTAGTTATTTTATAATTTTGTTGAATAAGGCTGAACGTCATTTTCACAAGGGTTGATACTAATGCAATGAACAAATTCTTCAATAACAAATAAGATAGTTATTTACTAATTGATCAACCTAATGCATCAAATATTGTCAATAGCAAACTGTTCCAGCTGCCAGAGAAGAGTGGTCTCAAGAAGCCAGTGATGGTCCACATCCACGGAGGAGGTTTTGCTGGGGGATCTGGAGGCTCAAAGGCTGCAGGACCAGACTACTTCATAACAGAAGACATTGTGTTGGTGTCCTTGAACTATCGATGTGGAGCGTTTGGTAATATTGATACAGTGTAATATGTATACAAATTTGATGTTTTTAATAATATGGCAATGTTTAGCACAAAAATACAAGAAGAACTAGCTATTTTTTATCACCATAGACTATACAAGTAGCCACAGTTATAATAGCCAGGAGTTTTAAAATGAAAATCAATGTATTTGAATTGTGCCATCACAAGAGTGTGCTGATATTAATAACTATCTTTTGTCGAATACACCAACTTTTAACAAAATGCAATTTGTAACAGTAATGCAGGTAGTTTTATTCATTTATGAATGAAATAATTTGGCTGAAGACTATTATGTGATGTGTTTCATTGTCTTGTCAGGCTTCCTCTCTTTTGAAAATGAAGAGGTTCCAGGCAACGCAGGACTCAAGGACCAAACATTAGCTCTCAGATGGGTCCAAGACAACATTGATAGTTTCGGAGGAGACTCAAACAATGTCACCATCTTTGGTATCAGTGCAGGAGGTGCTTCAGTGCAATACCATCTGCTGTCTCCTCTGTCTAAAGGTACTTAACAGATTTTCTTATTTTAAATTTATGAATTGATAAGAAGTTATCAATTTATCTTTTAAGTAAGCACAACAGAAATTCTAGGATTAGTTAAAAAACTGAAAGCCAGGATGGAGGTATGGTAATTAGAAAGATTTTCGCTAAGACGTTTATATTTTGGCCAGAGTAAAATATAGTCAGTTGGAACATCCCATCATGTCTGATACCGTAGACTAACCAACACAAGTAGACTTCTCATCCCATTGTAAATTTTGAAGCACGTTTTTCGTGTCTAGTTCATGTATGTGACACATGGGCGCTAGTGTCGACGAAACTTTGTTTCTAATATTTTAGGGTTAATTTCTTGATTTGTGCTTTACTGTTTGGTTATATAACTAGGGGACAAGTTATTGTTTATGATTAAATCGTATTATTTGGTTAAACGAGGTTTTAAATGGCTGTAATAACGGGAAACAAATTGTAAACAAAACACGACCTCTACAAAAAACCGTACAGAACTAACAATAAAATTGTCTTCAGCTGTTCCATAAGGATGAGAAATCTACTAAGGGAGTATGTTTTATCTATGCTGATACTAATTGGCTTGATCCACAAATACCTACTTAAATATATTCCTGTACCAAATTTAAGTAAAAACACCAAGATTTTAAACATTGTACATCTGTTATGCATATAGAGCTTGTGTAAATATTTCATATGATTCCAACTAACCCGGTCATGTTTTATAGGTTTGTTTCACAAAGCTATTATCCAAAGTGGGTTTTGTCAGGATCCATGGGCTTTTCAACCATCACCAAAAAAAGTTGGAATGAAACTTGCGAAAACTTTAGGTTGTACATCAGATGATCCTCATGAAGTATTTGAATTTCTGAAGTCTATTCCAAGTGATGACATTGTTAAAGCTACAGAAGTATTCATCAAGGATGAGGTGAGCTTTTTTAGTTTTTACTTGAACTTACTTGCTATACACCTACAACTTTTTTACAAGATTATGAGTTTTGTGTTCATAAGATGACAGAAAATAGTTAAATAGTATATTGCATCACTAGGGAGTAAGTAATTCTTTTCGACCCGAGCTCAAGTTTCACGCCTGAGGCAAAGCGGAGGTCGAATAATGTACGAGGGTTGAAAAGACACTTTTTGCCCGTATGATGAACTATATTTTTCAGCATATTGCACACAAATGTTTAAACAACTGATTTGAACACGAAAACACTTATCATGTAAAGATAACCTCTCAAAACAATTTCCAGCTTGTTTTAAATTTTGCTAATTCAAACAATCAGCTGTTGGTTCCATAAGTTCATCTATTAAAATTGTGTTAGTGTAAATTACTACCAATATGCCGAACTAGTAATAAGCTCGCAACAATAAGCTACAACCGATCAAAACAATCGATTTAATTAATGTGATCGTGTCGCAGGTCGACACCATCTCTTGTAGTCTTCGTACCGGTTGGGAGCAGGAGACCAATTAAACTCGTGGATGAGGGATCAGATAACACTTTATTACTTAAAAATTCAGCTTTAACAATTATATCGATCAAAATAACACATTACAAATTAAAAATCAAACCGCAACCAACCGAATACTACAAATTACAATACTGAATTTAGACCGTACACGGACTTAGAAGAAAGGAGTAAGAGTAAAAGAAAGGGTGAGACCGTGCGCGCAGACCCGACCTTAGGACCCTACATCTCGGCGCCATCTGAGGCTTCGGCGTTGTCAGAGCGGAAGCATCAGCGTGGTTACATGACCATTGTCAGCCAATCAGCGCACGCTGAGCGCTCAGCCCACGATTCAATGTAACAACGGCTGTCCGACTAGTGCTGGGCCCAAACGATTACAACAGGCGCTAATGAAACTAATTGAAGCGAGAAACGAGTCTAGAAATGTAACATTGCTTATCACGATCCACGTGCACTGCAAAGTCAGCGCATTCCCCATAGCGAGGGTATATCCGGCTAAGCCACGACGTCTGGTTAGGATTATTGTAGGGCTACAAAGTAATGAAATGAATTGGAGTATGAGTTTTAAGGTTCACTTGGAGACTTATATGAAGTTAAATAAAATACAATATTGCTAAATACGGTCGACACATCAACCTAGCAAATATTCGGTGATAGCCAACGGGCCAGGTTTAGGGAGTAAGGCCAATCAGCTTAAGCTCAAATTTAACAAATGACAACAAAATGAGGCAAATATGCCAGGCCGTCACAATCGCTTACAATTGAATTTTACAAGTGAGTTTACAGCAGCCGAATTTTACTCCTTAGGGACTAAAAAAAAACTATATACTTCCCAGAGGGAAAAGAGCTATTTTAGACCAGGGCATGTATTAACTTGTTTAATAACTGTTTTTACTTTTACTGCAGTATTTACAAAAAATTATTAAATTTGCTCAATTAAATTATTATTATTATCATTCGAGCTGGGGACGCCACCTATATTTTTAACCCAAATAATGTGAGTGTAGAATGGAGTGTATGATGGCTTATCTAGCTTTATTACTGACTATAAGACCAGCTGTGTTTCATAAGTCAGCATCATTTATTAAAAGCCCAATGATAAAAGACAGCTGGATCAGTGAATGATTCTTGGAGCTTTTAGTTTCAAGCATTCACTTACTACATTCAATACTCTTTCACAGGACTACATAATGTTGGTCGGATTAGTGTTCTCTCCTTGCGTAGAGGTTGCTGGAGATGACAAATTCCTCCCGGACACTCCTACTAACCTAATGAAGAGAGGAGAATACAACAAAGTACCAACCATTCTGGGAGTGTGTGAGAATGAGGGATCTGTGTCTGCTTTATTTATAATGAGTAAGTCCACTTTAAACCGTACACAACATATAACAATAAGAGACGAAATATTAGTAACTCTACGTTTATGAAGACCAAAATTTTATGTTCAAACGGTATATCACTCAATGGAACCAAAAACTGTAATAAGTCATATAATTAACAAAAAACATGTTTATTACAAACCAAAGACATTTGATCGCTGAAATGATAACAACTCTGTAAAGCAAAAGAATGCAACTAAACAAAAAATAAGATACACTTTTGTGATCTTGCTTAAGTTGAAGTGCTTAACTCGCACAGCTTTTTCTCCCCTCTAGTCATTGAAACCCGTTGTTCGACTTTGACGCTCACCGATGAAAAGCAGATAAAACATTAATATTGGTATTGGTTTCAAATTGGTTTATTATATAAAACATTATATGAACTGATTTGATTAACTGAACTGATGCTCTCACACACAATCAAACTTCTGGCTTGAACTTTGAATTCACATAATTTGTTAACCATATTATAACGTTTGCAAACTCATCGCTAAATTTGGCTTGTTCACCTAGAATTTACAAGTAAAAATTGAAAGTGTGAAACAGGCTTTGTATTTTCACCTGTTGGTTATTAAAAATAAATACAGTATATTTTTACTAACACTGGAATTTATTATTATAATCACAGCACAATACATGGTAGTGGATCCATACAGTTACAGAGCATGTGTCTAGTATAGGATAACGGAAGTCACCGATATACAAAAGATACGTTTCAACACAGTGTTACCATAACACAACAAATCATGTAAGACAAAGAATATGGAATAACTTATAGGTAATACTTTAATATACCACAGGCTTTACATGAATAGCACTTATACTATAAAGTAAAGTAGGCCCAACAAAACATTTTGCATCATTTTCAGTGTACAAGCTGAGTTTTGACCTCCTCCCCAATGCAATGAATGCCAAGCCAGAAATACTCGTTCCCCCATCTTTGGGGATAAAGCTGGGTAGTGAAGAACATAAAAAAGTACAAGATGCAATCAAGGAGTTCTACTTCAAAGGAAAAGCTGTGAAAAACATTGAGGAATTACTTGCTGTATGTGTAGTATATTATAATTATAGCATATATATATTTATTTATTTTATAACGTACACCTGATATCATGAGAGAACTAACGTCCTGTAAAAATTTTTTTTATTGGCAATTTTCTTCTTTGTTGCAAGAGTGTCGCCCAAAAACTAATTAAATTAATTGTTTAACAAATTCTGTTTTTTTTTACAAATTGGATTACAATATTATGTTAGGCAACTTAACTGACTAACTTGGATAAATATTGTATATATGGTTAAATTAATCAAAAGTGTAAAATTTCTTTTGTCTGGTACAAATTGTAAACATTTTTACACTACCAAATTTTATCAAGAGAACTTAAAAACTGAAACAAAACATTATCCTTTGCTTGTCAGATGTGCATTCATGATACATTTACTATCTTAAGTGATGGCCTGATCCGAACATCCTATGTAAAATTTAGCTACGGTATTTTATTATTTTCTCATAAATATTTTATGGGGAATCAGAATACTGATTTATTATTGCTAAAGTTACTTTTCTACTCTGCAGTTTGAGAGTGACTACCTGTTTAACGTCGGACTTGGTGATACCAGGAGGTACTTGTTGTCAAACTCCTCTCAACCTGTATACTCCTACTTGTTCACAAACCACAAGAACTGTTACTGCCAGTTATTTGCATCCATGATGGGTCCTGACAATCCCATGGCTGCCTTGCTATCTCGTTCAGGTACAGTACATGTGCGAGGAAGAAAATATTCCCAAACAGTGTAACAAGCTTGAACATGGGCTGAGATGAAAATTGAAATGACCTTGAGAGAAAAATTAAGTTTATTCAGTAAATAAGCTTCATCAAGCTACTTTTGTAATCAAATGAAAACCACAGAGCATAGAATAAATATAGAGTCGCCACTCCTATACCTACAGCTATACCAGTAGTGAAGCCGATTTCCGCCATCTTGGTAAGAGAGTCGGACTCGGAACTTTGAAAACACAGCATCATTACCACTGTGTTATTCTATGCTACTTTATGAATTAGATGAAGCTACTGCTTTGAGGATGCATATAGAACTATTCCCCCTTCGATATTGACCTAGGACTCTGCCTCGTGAGCTTTCAAAGTTCAGAGGTGAGAGTTTTAAAAGTAAATATTGATTGGTGGTTTCTATGGTTATGTAAATGCAGACCGGGCCGGCCGCCATCTTGGTACAAGAATCCTGCTCCACTCCAGACGCCTCTATATTTATTCTATGCTCTGTGATGAAAACTGTGAACCTAAAGAGTCTTTTCATTATACTTGTTACGCCTTTCTAAAAGAACAAATTATGTAAGCTAAAGGTGTGTAGAAGAGTCAGCGGAAGTAGAAGAAAGCTAACACCAGTAAGGAGTAAAATCTGTATTTCTGCACATGTAAATTGCTTTGTTAGGCTTTGGCCACACGGGTGTTTTTCACGCAAAAATGCAGTGGGAAAACAGGCAAAAAATATGAGCAGCATTAAATGTAATGGGGAGTGCCAAGCACAGTGTGTTCCTGCAGTAGCGAGCGCCTTTTCATTTCAATGCCACCCTAACTTTATTTGTGCTGCATTTGTGAAAAAAACGTCAGTGTGGCCGCAGCCTTACACACAATATTTCACAACAGGCAAAAAATGCTGCCAAATTGACATCAGCTGGTTTTAGAGATGCAAAATGTGTAGCTGTTACCCTAAGAGTTGCATGGCAAAAGTTTTAAAAATCTTGCTTTAGGAATTCCACACTAATCACACTATGAGAAACATTTGTAATGCGTTGTATTTTGACAGCACACAGGGTAGGTAATGTGATCATCCATTGTAGTAGGAGATGTTAACCTTTTACTAGATATATCACATTTAAAGAGTAACATAAAAAACATTCATAAGCAAACCTTAATAACAAAACGTTAACTTTTTTATGAAGATAACTAAAAAAAGCTGCTATAAGCCTGACATGTGCTAATCAAGGTGACAAGTTAAGAAGTACTTCACCAGAACTAGGTTAACCAGTATTTGAGCTTTCCGATATGTGTACAGCTTTGTCTCCCAGTTGGAAATACATCACTATGTTGATCACGGTCAGGTCTGCTGGTGTGCAACACATGAAACGTGGTAGAGCTGTTGAGGAGAGGATCTTAAAAGTACATAACAGTATTTAAGAATTCCATTTATCATTGTGAATAGTGATTTAATTAATTATTCTGGCGAGTTACTAAGAGTCGTTTACAAGGCTACATTACTCAGAGAACTTAGCTCATATGCTGCTTTCGAAACTAGACCCATCTGTTCCCATCCATGCTTCAAATAAAATCTGGCTATTGAAGCAGCTGATCTTAGTCAGTAACAAACAAAGCTACTCAGATCATCTCTCACCATGGTGGAAGGAAAAACATAGGTATGCTATTCCCGTCATATTCTGACGTCACTCGGATTGCAAACAAAAGATCACCTGATTGTAACTGTCAAATTAGTATGTATTTGTTTTGATTTGATTGTTATTGTTTTTTTTCATAAAAACACACATCATAAAAACAATAACAACCAAATCAAAACAAATAAATATACTAATTTGACAGTTACAATCAGGTGATCTTTTGTTTGCAATCCAAGTGACTTCAGAATATGACGGGAATAGCACACCTATGTTTTTTCCTTCCACCATGATCTCTCACCATTTTACACTCATATTTGGGTTAAAATACACACCCTGGTGGTGTCCCCATATCAATGATTGATAATTGATAATAATAATAATTTTAAAATGCAACATGGTCTGTTTTAAACAGAAACTTGCCATGCAGCCGATTTTATGTACCTCTTCAGAACCACCTCCTTCTTGTCATTACCAGAATTGACAGATGAACACAGGGAAGGGATTTCCAAACATGTAAAAGCATGGACTTCCTTTGCACGAACTGGGTGAGCAAATTACTCTTTATATATCCATTCAGTAAAGTGTGACAGACAAATAATATTTTCATTTTAATAGAGGCCTGCATACTTAACAGTAAATTTTATACACACTCAATTTCTTTGTTCAACAAGTGGAAAAAGGTTTACAATTTTTTATTGTGAAATAAAGTTGTACCTACTTCAGTTAATTACTTTTTCAAACCATATGATGAGACCTCCAAGGCCATTGTTATACCATTCAAAGGCCAATATATCGGCCCCAGGGTGCAATAGCTTAATTTAGGACTAGTAGTTTACCTATGATGACCAAGCTTGATGAGAGAGGAACAACTGAAACAATCCACAGTAGGTAGATTATTTGTGAGTTACATCTAAAACCAGGAATTTTGCTAATTTTTACCTATTTCTCTATTGTGAGTGTGTCCACCAACTTGTTTTTCAAAACTCTGAATTTTCTATTTGAAAGATGAGGTGAAAACACTATAATAACAATCACAAATAAATCAATGAATAATTTATCTTCAAGGAGTTTTTGTATTCATTTAATTACGGAAAGTAAATAAAAGAAACGCCACAAGATTGTAAATATACATAAACGATGGTAAGTGGTGATCAATTTCAATTGGACACTCTAATCATCATCAGACCCAATAGGTGAATGACTATTTTTAGGACTGACTTATTGACTTACAGAAATATGAATGACTTATTTTTTATGACAAATTTATGAATAGTCTATTTACAACAAATTTTAACCTCCCCAGCCCCATCAGTGTAAGAAATTAACTTGAGGAGGAAAGATCTATGACTCCGCCATATGTCCGTCAAAGTGTCACCCGTTTGGCCCCTCCACGATACCAGTGACTAAATCATTTGTGTAGTAGACAATTCGTAGTGTTGGTGTTTGTGATATGATAATATAAGACCCACTTTAAAATGCCATAATAGCTGACAAAATGTACATAGGGTGAATACACCCTTCAGCGAACGTAGGCAACAAAACAGGTAGGTAATTACAGTAGTACAATTTAAGCTCTTTAAACTGGAATAAATTCAGCATTGTTTTATGATGTTGATCCAGAAATCCAAATGTGGCTGAATGTGGAGTGAGGTGGACCCCGGACTCCCAGTCCAGTCCCTGCTACATGGACATCGGGACTGACTGGACTGTCAAAGAAGGAATGCCTTTTGCTGACAGAATCAACTTTTGGCTGCAGATCGCAGACAAATATTGTTAATATAGTTTACTTGGCAGTTATGCAAGCTTAAAGAGTAACTAATCAGTATTTTTAATTTTGCTCACAATTATTTTCTCAAAATCTCTCTCGGGCTATAATTGACTATAGAGGGGTAAGTAAGAGAACCCAGTGTGATGAGACAGTGGCTCTGTGGATAGTGAGACAGTCTACCAAATTTAAGGTAGCGATGTCGTGGGTGCACGACTGCACGTCCCTGTGCCGTCAGTTAAAATATATCAGTGCAGTTCATCCTTGTCCCCCCACCTGCTCCCCATTTGCTTGATAATTTGCATGCACATGCATTTAAGACCTAATGTCAATGGCCAAATTATAGGTTAAAACAGGCCGCTTTTCTCTTTAAAAAGGAGAGAAAGAACTACATGCAACTCTCTTATTTATTTTCTGCAAGTTCATGATGAAACCATACTGTAAAGGCTACATGGAAGGTATAGTCAGCTGTTGATGATTGACTAGCTTTGCCTCTTCTAATATCCTGTTTGTAAATACATTAAATAAAATGTTTCATGGTAAAACATACTATTTCTTTTAATAATACATCAAAGTTAAAACACATAACTTTTGGACCATTTAACTCATTTTGATATATTTTCTATTCATATCAGTTCATATCTTACATATAGAACGTATATTATTTTACATGTGTTTCTTGTAAGTATAATATCTTCGCTGATTTAAATCACATCACTGACCATTTCTGTTAATGCCAAGGTCAAGACAGTAAATCAAAATTGTTTATTTTGTCAAGGCTAGAACATTGCAGGACTTGTTCTGTAGTAAATAAACTGTGGTAATTTACACTGGTCACTGGTCTGGTGAAATTTATTTTTTATACTAAGCCATGTCAATGTTTATTTTGCAAGCATTTGGATATATTATGTTAGAAAATAGTTTTAGGACTAATAACTGTAGGGAATGCTGTCGATTTTAGATTGCCACTCTCATCTGAAATGACATACTGCCTTACTTTATAGTTAAGGTACTCCATGTAGTATTGTTTTTGACTTGATAACATAAAATGTTCTCATTCCTTACAAGAGTTAATACAAATAAAATTCCAATGAATGATGCTTGTTATTACTGAACCTTTCCGACAATAAGTTAAATACGTCGTTGACAGTTCTGATAAAATACTTTTAATTTTTTTGAAATTATGAACAGTACTGCCTTTACCAATTCATGTGAAAGTAAATTTGTTATCAAATAAAACAACTTCTGTTAGCACGTGCATATCTACCATAACATTTCATCAAATACAAAACCTATGTTATTCAATTTTTGTTGTTCTCAATGCATTTTTAATAGTGTCATCTTAGATCATCTAAGTGTAATTTGAGATCCATTTTAAACGTTACAAATAAATAAGCGGTACAGCAAACTGACACGTTCTTTCTCCCATTATATAGCTTGTCAACAAAGCTTATATTGCATATGCGGTGGGGGTTAGGTACTATGATATTTTATAGGAAAAATCACAAAACCTACAACAACTTTTGAATTGTAATTGCATTTGAGTTTTTAACATAAAAAAAATTAAAATAACCCTACAATATTCTAAAATTTTCTAAAAGTTGTTGTAGCAATTTTTATTAAAATCCTATTTTACTATTTTTCTTTTTCATAGGAAAATCACCATCAAAAACCTAAATAAAAAAATTGAAAATCGTGTCAAACCGAAACACTAATTTATAATAAAGAGTGCTAGCAGCCTGTGTCACTTTGTAACTCCAAAATCCGTGATATATTTGGTATATACCTGATAAGGGTGAAAACAATTACCTATGTCTCATCATATCCCTATTATTTACATTGCGAGCCCTAATATTTTTATTGCATGCACAATATCTTCAAGCATCTAAGAAAAATTACAAATACTAATGAAACATACAATGAAAACAGAAAATCGAATGCAAGTCATTTACTTCTTTACACAAATAACATTACAACATTTTACTTGAATTCCCCAAAACATCAATAAAATATACTATGAAAACAAAATCCTCTCACAACACAATATCTAACGTAAGTCATTTTCTTCTTTACATTTTTATACAAATATTATTACAACATTTTACTTGAATTCACTGAAATATCACCAACTTCAGATAACCCCACTTTCATATAGATGTAAAAAAATTTTATCATGGCCATCGGTTTTGATGTAAACAAATGTCAACTTGAAAAAGTTTAGATGATTGACAACAGAATGTAGCACAAACTAAAAAAAAACCTATAGAACAGAGGGCTTTCACGGGATATCATCCAAACCCGCAATAGGCACACCTAGAAGATTAGAGCTTTAAATTGATACCCAATATGTCTATAAAAATAAATATTTAGGGGTTGATTTGCTGCACAGAAAAATCCTAAAAATTCTTTTAATAATATAGATATACAATGTTTATGTTTACACTTTTGTTATTTCTGTTATTACCATGGCAACAGGCATGCATTGTGGTTACTACACACAAACTCCTTGGCCTTGTATAAGAGGAGGCTATGGTGAAGGTGTGGAATGGAATGTGATGATCCGTGTAGCTTTGTTGCTGACTAAGATTAGCTGTTTTGTTAGCCAGGATCAAATGTATAAAGCTAAGGATTACGATTGAAGTGCAAATAAAACTCATTATGAATAGACCTAATGATAGGTTTTAATAAACTCTGAAGTCAACATACAAATACAAAATGTAAATAGTAAACAAAGAACAACTGTGAGACAATAAATAAATTCATAAATACAGTAAGGAATAATAACAGTTCATATGTATAAAAATATTATCACATTCTTCCCACCCTAAAACGAGAAGTAGTCTTTTAGATAGTAAGGTCTTTGCCGTATACGCTGTGGATGCGTTTTGGAAGGCACTGAACTTGAGTCTTTGCAAGAACTGTTTGCATGTTCAACTGGTACATTCGTGTCACTTAATGTCCCACTACAATCATTTTCAACTTGTTCTTGATCAAATGAAACCTCCGGTTCTTGAATAACTTGTTCATTTCCACATGTTTCTGGCAATTGGTAGTCTGTTTCTAAAGATGATTGTCCAGGTGCTGGGGCCAGATCTCTTATGGATACTGTCTTCTCTTGTCCATTTGGGAGTTTCACATGAGCATAACCTGGATTTGCTTGAATAAGTTCTACCTCTTCTACAAGTGAGTCATACTTGCTGGGTCTGTTGTGCTTTCTCAACAGCACTGGGCCGGGTTGTGACAGCCAGCTTGGAACTGAACCTCCATAATACGATCTTCTGGGGTGCTTAAACATCAGTTCATGAGGTGTTGTATTGGTTGATGTACATAATAATGACCTTATTGAGTGAAGTGCTTCAGGAAGAACTGATTCCCAATACTTTACGGGTAGGTCTTGGGTTCTGAGGGCAAGCATAACAGTCTTCCATATAGTGCCATTGAATCTCTCTACTTGGCCATTCCCTCTAGGATTATAAGCAGAAGAGTGGCTTGACGCAACACCATGAGTTTGTAAGAAAGACTTTAATTCGTCTGACATTAATGACGTTCCTCGGTCTGAATGAATGAATGAAGGCATACCAAAAATTGTAAACATTTCTTTCAGTTTCTCAATCACGGTACTGGAAGTCATGTCTCTACAGGGGAAAGCAAATGGATATCGTGAATACTCGTCTACAACAGTTAATATGTATTTATTTTGCGTAGCACTTGGAATTGGTCCTTTAAAGTCTAAGTTTAGTCGCTCAAAAGGTGCTGTAGCTTTGATTAACGTACCTTCATATTTACAAAACCTAGGCTTAAGTTCAGCACAAATTCGACATTGAGCTGTAGTACGACGAACTTCTTCCAGTGAAAAAGGTAAGTTTTTCGATCTAATCCAGTGGTAAAATCTTGTCACTCCCGGGTGACACAGGCTCGTGTGGATATCATTTAAGTTTGGACGACCACAAATCGTTCCACACAATCGTGACATGGTGTCTGCAACTCCATTTTCCTTGCCTGGTCGATATACGATATCATACTTGAAACAAGACAGTTCTAAACGCCAAAGTTGTATCTTTTCATTCTTTATTTTTCCAAATCTTTTATTGTCAAACATGAAAGAAACTGATCTTTGGTCTGTAATGAGTAGGAATGGCCGGCCAATAAGATAGTGTCTCCACTTCTTAAGAGATTCTACGATTGCTTGAGCTTCTTTTTCAACAGAAGAATGGTTCTTTTCAGATTTTGATAATGTTTTCGAATAAAAAGCTACTGGACGTCCTGCTTGTGACAAGGTTGAGCCGATTGCAAACTCAGATGCATCGGTCTCAACTGTAAATGGTATGTCATTTTGGATTGGGGCTTTAGTTGCAGTTACTATTTCATTTTTCAGAAAAAAACAAGAAAAAACTATATTTTGATCAATTAATCGACGGCGTTAGAAATGTGAAGGACTCAAAATCGTTCTGGAAAGCCATGAATGTTTTAAAGATAAAGGATCGAGATAAGGGCGTGGGAAACATTGCACCAGATAAGTGGGTCAACCACTTTCAGAATTTGCTTAACCCGCCGCTGTCGTCTGCTTGCGTCAGTTATGCGCTCCCTCTAGTTGAGGACAATGACCTTGATTGCAATTTTACACTGCTGGAATTAAAAGCCGTGCTCTCAGGAGTAGGATGTAATAAGGCTCCAGGTGTAGACAGGGTGCCGTATGAGTTTTTTAAAAATTCTCCTGATGTTTTTATGTTGAAGTTATTAGATGTTTACAATAAAATGTTTTTCGAATGCAATTTAGCTCACAGTTTTAAAAAATCCATTATCTTTCCATTACATAAAAAGGGGGATATTAATCAGGTTGAAAATTACAGGGGTTTGTCATTCATCGATTGCATTTGTAAAATATTTGTAAGTTTAATGAACAATAGATTGACTGAGTGGGTTGAAAAACGTAAACTTTAACAGAATTCCAAGCAGGGTTTAGACAAGGTTATTCAACAGTGGATAATATCTTTAATCTTTATTCTATTTTAAGTTTGCAGCTTAATGTTAAGAGGGGAAAGGTGTTTGCATTTTTTGTGGATTTTTCGTCGGCTTTCGACACAATAGATAGGAATGCTTTGATATTTAAATTATCGTGCCTAGGTATGTCGACGAAAATGATTGAAGTGATAAAAAATATGTATACAGGTACAGTTTCAAGTGTTTGGTGTAAGGAGGGGGTTACTGTACCTTTCAGCACAAATGTGGGTCTGAGGCAAGGATGTATCAGCTCTCCGATTGCGTTCAGTTTATTTATAAATGACATGCCTGATTTTATTGGGGGAGGTCTTCATTGTGCAGGCAGAAAAATCAATATGTTGATGTACGCAGATGATATAGTATTTTTGGCTCCTACGGCGACCTGTCTACAGCTGATGATTTCAAATTTAGAAAAATATTGTGATAATTGGAATTTAAAAGTGAATCTAACAAAATCAAAGATAATAGTTTTTAGGAAAGGGGGGAAATTGGATAAAAATTGTAAGTGGTTTTATAAGGGGAATCCTGTAGAAATTGTAAATGAATATAAATATTTAGGTGTTTTGTTTACGACATCCTTATCCTGGGAGACACATTTTAAGGAGAAATCTAGAATAGCAAAGTTTGCTATAAGCTCATCATGGTCAAGATTGTTAAATTGTAGGACTGCTTCTTTTAGTTCAAAATGTATTTGTTTTAATTCCATTATTAGATCCATTTTGTGTTACAGTGCACAAGTTTGGGGTTGTTACGAAAGTGCACAGGTAGAAGCCGTTCAAAGGAAGTTCATTAAAAAGTTGTTAAATTTGCCTAGAAATACCGAAAACTATGTTTTGTATTTAGAGACAAATTTTGAAAAATTGCATATATTCACATTAGGTCAAAATATAAATTATTTAAAGAAAATCATGTATAAAATGTCAACAGATCGTTTGCCTAGAGCTTTGTTAGGAGAAATTATTACAAAGAATGTTGGTTGTATTTCACTCTGGAAATTACTTGGTAGGAAGTTCGATATTGAGATTGATTTTAAGTCGTGGGAACAACAGAGGGAGCGGGTAGTGGCGCAGCTTACGACAGTGGTCGAGTGCGAGAGAGAGCGATGGCGTGGTTTTTGTGTAGGGCAAGCGATGACAGCGCGATATCGAGACCAGTACTTGCTCCTTGACCTTGACCGCGGCGGCAGGACATTGCTGACTGATAAGGCTGACATTGGACTTGTGTCGTGGCTTATTAAGGCTAGAGCTCAGCTGATTCATCTGAATTATAAACCTTGGAATGATGGAAGTGGGCTTTGCTCCCTTTGTAATTTAAATAAAGATGAAACAGTATTTCATTTTGTAGCAGAATGTCCAATTTTAAAAAACATTAGATTTAAATGGTTGGGTAGACGTTTCTTGGCTCAAGCTGAGTTTATTTCATATTTAAATGGGGAGGATTGGAGTTTTTTCTGTAAATTTTTAAGGGAGGCTTGGTTTTATAGATGGGATTTAATCCAAGAATTTAATTTTTAATACGACTCTCTGCTGCATGTACCATAGTTAGACGTTACTTATTTAATTGTTTTTTTCCTTATGTATATATATATATTAAAAATGTTTTTTGTAAATGAAGTTAAAAGTGTATAAATGATTGTTTTTTTCCTTTTATATTACTGTACAGTTGGAATTGTTTTATTTTTGTTAAGGAGAAGGTCTGTATGTTGCCAACCAAACAGACGGTCAACATTGACCATTGTTTAATAAGTGTTAGGTTTTTTTATTTTAGCAGTACCTATGATTTTATTTTATTTTATGTGCAAGTTAGTGTTGTATATGTTGTACATAAGGAGGTAGACTGTATTATGTAATTATGATTATTATGTACAATAAAGCACTTTTTCATTTCATTTCATTTTCATATTTCATTTTTCAATTCATTGAAGGAGTTAATTGCTTCTTCTGATAATGGAAAACTTTTAGTCGATGAAAGGGGCTGAATCTTCTCTGAAAAACTCTTGATAAAGTCTGAATAGTGAGCGAACATGCCCATGGTTCGACGCAATGATTGGCCATCATGAGGAAGTGGTAGTTTCAAGAGCGGCTGAAGACGGTCTGGATCAGCACGGATTTCGTTCTTTGTTACTAAATATCCTAACAGATGGATTTTGTCTTGTGCAAAAGAGCATTTTTCCATGTTCAGAGTTAAGTTGTACTTCTTGGCTACATCAAAAAACTTGTTCAAATTTGTATCATGTTCATCTTTATTCCTCCCTCCAACTGTTACATCGTCCAGGTAAGCTACAGTGCATTCAAGTCCTTCTTTTTGTATGATTGAATCAATTTCTCTTTGGAAACAGGAGACACCATTCGTAACACCAAAAGGAATTCTGCAAAATTGGTAAAGGCGCCCACAGGCTTCAAATGCTGTATATATTCGTTCTTCATTTTCAATTTGTATTTGATGGTAAGCACTCTTAAGGTCAATAGTGCTAAAAACACTGAACTTTGAAACTTTGTTAACGACATCTTCAACTCTGGGAAGTGGGTAGGCGTCAAGTTGAGTGAATCGATTTATTGTTTGGGAATAATCAATGCACATTCGCTTCTTTTTTGTTTCACCTTTAACTACAAGTACTTGTGCTCTCCAAGGTGAAGTGCTTGGTTCAATGATACCCTCTTTCAACAAGCGTTCAGTTTCTTCTTTTATGAATTTCGAATCTTCTTCTGAATAACGTCGTGACTTAACTGCAATAGGTCTACAGTCAAGAGTTAAGTTTGAAAACAAGTGGACGGGTGCAACCTTAGCTGCTGTAAGTCCGCACACCTTCAGCGTAGGTTTCTTACCCCCAAATGAGACTTCAACGCTTGAGTGTTCCTTGAAAATGTCATGTCCTAAGACAACATCAGCGCATAAGCCGTCTAAAACAAGGAGTTTAGTTTTGTTGTAAATATGACCTTGAATCGACAAATCAACAAGACTGTAGCCAGCTGTAACTGGTTGATAAGAAGTAGAAGCCATAGTAACACTAACGGTGGTTGGAAAGATTGTTATTCCCCTCTTTTCTACTAGAGATTTACTAATAAATGTTTCCGAACTACCAGTATCAACTAAGGCATCAGTTTTAATCCCATTTACTTCAATCGTAATAGTAGATTTAGATAAAGATTTTGGTGCAGCTGCACATGTAGCTGGATTTTTGCTAAACGTTTTTTTAGAGTCAAGTTTTGTAGGAGGTAATGAATTACTTCCTGACTTACAAACCTTCATGAAATGTCCTTTCTTGCCACAAGAATGACAAATATGATTTGCAGCAGGACATTCACTTCTAGTATGTTTTTTACTGGAACCACAGAAATAACATTTCCAGGAAGTGGCTGATAAACAAGTTTCCTCTGCATTATTTGAGGACATGTTACTTTTGACAGATTCTGGTTCTGAAGTAGTAGAATGTTGTATGCAATTTAATTGAGAATGTTGCTTGTTATAATATTCTGATTGATACTGAGCTAATTCCAAAACTCTAGCTTTCTCAAAAGCCTCATTCAAAGTTAATGTTTTATTTTCTAGAAGTCTTTGTCGGATAACTGGGGAAATCAAACCTCTGATAAATGCATCACGAATATAGTCATTTTTATTTTGTTCTGCAGAAACTTGGGAAAAATTACAAGGTTTACTTAAATCTTTCAAAGCTTGTAAATATTGGTCAACTGATTCCCCTGACTTCTGAAAACGAGTTGCTAGAAGATGTCTGGAATAAATCTCATTCTTAGGACGGATATAGAGTTCTTTTAAAATAGCTATAGCTTCATCAAATTTTGTAGCTCCAGAGATGTATTTGTAGACAGATGGACTAATGTGATTAACAAGTAAACGTAGTTTTACCTTTTCATTTGTTGCATTAGAGTCACATTCCTCAAGGAAATTGGTAAAAGTCTGGTACCAATGCAGCCATTGTTCTTCTGCACCATCACTTTCTGGCTCTACATCAAATCGGTCAGGCTTGAGGAGTTTGTCCATGACTTGTGAAAAGAGTTTATTAAATTGAAGTGCAAATAAAACTCATTATGAATAGACCTAATGATAGGTTTTAATAAACTCTGAAGTCAACATACAAATACAAAATGTAAATAGTAAACAAAGAACAACTGTGAGACAATAAATAAATTCATAAATACAGTAAGGAATAATAACAGTTCATATGTATAAAAATATTATCACAACGATCTTTTGAGTTAGACTATACATGGACAAAGTAAAAATTAACAAGTGAGAATCAAACAGTGAATATACAGTGTGTAAATTAAGTATGGAAACAAATCTGTATTTTTAAAACCGAAATAGATAGAAATATTCTATTTGTGGCAATAATAGTTAACAAAGATTCCGCAATTTTTCACATGAAAAATATTTTTTTACCCCCCTAACAGGGTAGGTGGTAGGGGGTGACTTATTTTTTTCAAATAGCAACCCCTATTGAGTGACCCCTCATTTTGAAGAGTTTGTCAAAAGAAACACAATGACGCAAATCCGAGGTGAATATCTCACTCCTAGCCCAAATGGCGGATATTCCAAAATTTGATTTATTGTACGTGAAAAGCACCAATTTCACAAATAATGGAAAGAAATCTGTATTTTTAAAACCGAAATAGATAGAAATATTCTGTTTGTGGAATTGATTGTTGACATAGGTTCCGCAATTTTTTTAATCAACAATATTTTTTCAACCCCTTTAACAGGGTAGGGGGTGGGAGTGACTTATTTTTTTCAACAACAACCCCTATTGAGTGACCCCTCATTTTGAAGGGTTTGTTAAAAGAAAAAGAATGACGCAAGCCCGAGGTAGATATTTCCTCCCTAGCCTAAATGGTGGGTAATGAAAAATTTAATTTTTGTAAAAAAAGCCCATTTTGGAATATCCGCCATGTTAGCTAGGAGTGAGATATTCACCTCGGATTTGCGTCATTGTGTTTCTTTTGACAAACCCTTCAAAATGAGGGGTCACTCAATAGGGGTTGCTATTTGAAAAAATAAGTCACCCCCTACCACCTACCCTGTTAGGGGGGTAAAAAAATATTTTTCATGTGAAAAATTGCGGAATCTTTGTTAACTATTATTGCCACAAATAGAATATTTCTATCTATTTCGGTTTTAAAAATACAGATTTGTTTCCATACTTAATTTACACACTGTATAAAAGTTATGATTTTAAGTTGCTTGTTTAGTTTGAAGTCCTCAATGTGGATATTTTATGAGATATTTACTATTGCAATTTAGGTATTAGCTATACAGTTACTCGTATAATTGATGTGTGTTTAGCTTAGTGGTTTTGATATCTAACTATATAAACACTAACCTTGAAGCATAAAATAAACACTTTGACTTGTATGACTTTTTACTCCTACACTTATAGGGGTTTACACAAAACTGAAACTAAAAAGAAGATGTTGCTAGTTAAGGCTGAAAGTGAATGCATTTTTACAGCTGAAATCCTTCTTATCATTTTCTGTCTCATTTCAACCCCAGATAACAAAGTGGAATGGGTTTATATAAGCTATCTCCTGCTGACTGCTTAGTCATATGATTTTCAACTTCTGCTACGGTAAGTTGGCCTAATTCTTTCATTCTTGCAAAGTATTCAATTTCATTACTATATAATTGTTTAAAACTTAACAAACAGTCTTATTAGTTAATTTAGCACCCATCATTTCAATATTGCTCATTTTGTTGATTTGTAAAAACAATTCTTGTTATTTATTGTTTTACTATTTGTTCATAACATTTAATCGTAATAACAAAATAAACAATAACAGCTGCCAAGAACTACAAATAGGCACCTTATGTGATCATCTTTACTGACATTACAGTCGCAGATAATAATTCTGATTGGCTTTTACTTTCTTTTACCCCTCTATACATAGTACCTATATGAAGAAAGTATTGATTTGACTTTTAAGTGGAAATATCCGTTTTGGGCCCCCACCTGAACCCCAAAAAGTGGTTTTCGAAGTGATGTGTTCAGAGCTTCAGACTAAACCTGTGGTCCAATTTCGATGCAATTTGGTTGTGGGTACTAATCCATAGTACCCCCAAGTTTTTAAAATTTCAATTATTGATCGTGATTTTCCCATAAAACTCATAAAATAACTGGAAAATGAGATTTTCACAAAACAGCCCGAACGATTTTAGTATGTCATTTTAACTTTAAACAAAATGGCACAAACCCCCATGTGTAAAAATTACAGTTCAACAGTTATTGCAACTTTTATGATTCTACCCATAAATATCATAGTTACTCCCCCCACCAACTGCCCATGACAAGTGTTGTTGATAAGTTTATGAGAGAAAGTATGTTTCAAATTGCTGGTATAGTCCTGTCAAGGAATGAGGTGTAGAGTGTGTCAGTGCGTGAGCAGGTAACTAAGCGATTCCTTCAGAAACTTGTTCAGGGGGCTTAGGGTGTTAACATACCAAAAGTCCTGACTCCTAGGTGGTGAGCCAGGGGGTTGAGGGGGGGAAAGGGGGGGGGTTAAAGGTACGCATTTTGGGTTTTTCGATTATATCTCGAAAACTACCAACTTTTTGTATACTACTGTATACTAAATTATGAAATTGAAGAAGATTAAATTTTCTACAAGAAAAGTATATAATGTGTTTATTTTGGTTAAACAATTTACGAGTTATTACTAATTTAATTAATACCTATGTTATTAACAATACTCCTTCCATAAGAAATACATGTAAATTAGTTTGGAAAATGGGGCTAATCCTATCCGCCCAAAGGAAATATAACCGATATTCTAGAAATCTTGGTAAAATTTCCAGCCATTTGACACTTTAATCATAAAATTTTGTCAAAAATTAAAGCGAGGGTGAGCGTTTAAAAACGGGATGATTTGAGGGTGTTTTTATACATCTTAATAAAAAACACCAAAACACGACATTTTTGTTACCTCGCCCTTGCCTTAATTTTGGATCAATTTTTATGATTAAAGTGTCAAATTACTGGAAAGTTTGTCAAGATTTCCAGAATATCAGTTATATTTCCTTTGGGCGGATAGGATTCGCCCCATTTCGCATACTAATTTACACGTATTTCTTATGGAAGGAGTATTTTAATAAGATATTAATTAAATAAGTAATAACTCGTAATCTGTTTAACCAAAATAAACAAATTATATACTTTTCTTGTAGAAAATTTAATCATCTTCAATTTTATAGTTTAGTAGAGTATACAAAAAGTTGATAGTTTTCAAAATATAATTTAAAAAAACCAAAATGTGTACCTTTATTTTTTGTGTGTTGTTATTTCATGGTCATAAATGTTTGGTGAAGCGAGCTCTGACTGAATTAAAAAAAAATCTTTTTCACAAAACGATGTGCACCTATACCATCATTATGGATGTGTTTCAGATTTTATCTCAATCCATTCTGTAGTAACTGAGAATTCTTGTTAACAAATACAACCTTGTGGTTTCACACATTAAAGTATTAATTTTCAACCATCTTCATTTTCTCATTACAGTATAATTATTCATATTGATAAAATTATAGCTTGAATACACACTTTCCTCTGTAGAAAAAGTGAACTTTTACATCTTCTTTTAAGTCCTACTTGATATGACTTTGCCAGGTATATTTGAGATTGCAAAGAAGTGAGCAATGTCAGCCAATTGAATATTCATAGTATGGCTGAACAAGCTACTCATGGTGTGTGGGTCTATACTCAACCTCAGCCAATCTTTTAAGGTGTGTATGTCTTGTGTACTGTAGTTAAATTAAATTTATTTAAATTTACTCCTTACCTAAAATATAACTACATTTTGTAACTTGTGTGTAAATATGTTTTTTGTAATTTAATGTTGCAATTCTGATTACTTAATTAATTTCACTAATGGTATGCATGACTATTACTACTTAACCTTAATGCCATTTTAAAATAACTAGGATACCCCATGAATAATTAATTAATTGTCTGAGTAAACTTTTGTAATGGTATAAAAGTGTGTGTTCATCTCTCTGCCTTTATACAACCTACAAAAGAGTCTTTGAATAACTGTGGATTTACAATTAAATTGTAGGCTATTGTTTTGTTTACAAATTATGATAGGTATGCAAACATATTTTCTAAGATTAAATAACCCAGATATCTAAACAATCACAGTATCTAATGATTTTCATTCCTGTGTCCTGTCAATTTCAGGGTCGTATTTCCCTAACGGCGGACACGGCGGTTGCCGGGGGCCTCACTTGGGGCTTCAATTTTTTTCTTGATAAATTTATTTTACTGATAATGTGTTTCTCCGCGATCGCAGGAAACGTTGAAGAAATCTGTGCAACCGCAAAAGATCTTCACTATTTTGCAGTTAATGTAGGAACTGTTACTATTCATATCTGTGATCACTTGGAAGATCTTCACGGTTTTGTCATGAACGAAAAAAGACGAAGATGATGTCTCCGCACTAGTGCAAGATATTCACTATTCCTCCACGACCATATATGAGACATTCATAATTTTGCCGCGATCGGAGGAGACGAAGATGACGTTTCCGCACTCGCGCAAGATTTAAATAATTTTTCCCCTCTCCCACATTGTTTATGATACCACCCTGATCGGAGGAGATGAAGATGACGTCCCCGCACTCGTGCAAGATGCTAACTTTTTCTCCGTGGCCATAGGAGAATGCAAAGAGACATTCATGATTTTCACCGACATTGCAGAAGACGAAGATGATGTCTCCGCAATCGCGCATAATCTTCACTATTTTGCCGTGAACGTAGAAGATCTTCACGATCCCTCCAGGACTGCGGCAGATTTCTACGATTTTACTGTAACCGCAGAAGACCCTTACAATTTGGCTGTGATTTAACATTTTGTAAAAACCGATTATAGTATATCAATTAATATATCTTAAATTAATTATTTCCAAAACCACCCAATATTGATCCGATGCCCGAGGATCAACATTTTTTACCCCCCACGAAAGAAATTAAAAATGTAAGGCCCCGACCAAAGACCCTTAGTATTATTATTGAAAAATAGTCTCTCAATTTCTTTAGAAAATCTGACATGAAACTTTTTCATTATTTTCAGGGGAAATGGAAGAACACAAAGTAGTGCAAACCAAGCAAGGAAGTCTGAGGGGATCAGTCAAATACTCCTCATTTAGTGACAAGAGATATTACTCTTTTGTTGGCATTCCTTTTGCAAAACCACCCGTTGGCACCCTCAGGTTTAAGGTAAGACTACATCTTGGCTACAAATTGAATTGTTAAGAGAAGTGATTAGCAATACTGTGTAGTTGTGCTTTAATTATTTTTAAACAATAACTAGGTCTGCTTTGTTGTTAAGAATATTAGGTTTGTATTGAGAGTTTTGAGTTTGATCCCAAGGCTATCTTTCCAAAATAATTCAACAGTTATTGTTCAGATTTTTGATTTAAAACTGGTTGGATATTGTCGTTTGAATTACTCTTATATATAATATTATGGTTAAAGTAAATGATTAATGGAAGTTATTTATTGTTGTATTGTTATTTCAATTAATCCATTTTTAATCTGGTTAAATATTGTTGTTTAAATACTTGTAAAAATTAAATTTATTATAATATTAAAGTTTAGAAGTATTTGATGCATGTTATTTATTGTTATATCTATTTATCTATCTATATATTAATAGGCAAGCATGTTTCTTTAAAACCTTTTTTCTCAGCTCGTGTGCATCGTAGGGAAAATCTACGCATACCGTTAGAAAGCTATTTTCCTGTAGGTGTGCAGAATCCCTTTATAAATTTAAATAGGCTCAAAGATAAGCGCAAAAAATGAGTTTAAAATTTTGAAAAAATTTACATGGATCTTATGAGTTGCCATGCTGGTGACGAAATAACAACGAATAATAAACAGAAAATCAAAACAAATGGAAGAAACTCCAATCACATGTTTTATTTACAGTGTGGGGTGAAACATTAACATAAGTGAGTACATTACATATTTTTGGTCGAGTTTCGACCACTGGACATTACTCGTACTTATTTAATACGCAAGCAGATATTTTGTGACAATTACTCCTCCGAAACTACTGAACCGATTGACATGTTTTTGGTGTCATTGGAAAGATCGTAACGTGAAGTTGTGCAGGAAACTTTTTTTATAGGGAAATAATTAGAGAGTGAGGCCCTGGGGCCCTTTAAAGTTTCGTATTTCTCCATAAGATTAACATGGGAAACAAACATTGTTATGAAACTCCAGCTGTTGTCAGAAATGCTGTTCTGCTATTTAATTTAATTTGTTTACAAGGAGAATTTTTTCTTGGTGCCATGTGGTCAATGAGTTATTCTTTTGCATACATTTTAAATGATATACACTATATAAAATGATGGTACTATAATACATTAAGAGATATTCATTTAAATAATCAATAAGTACGATTGAGCCTTTGCCTATACGTTTTCTGGAAATTGTGTTGTAACTGTTCCTTATAGTATATTATAGTATCTTAAAGTAAAACCAAATTATTCTTTTCTGCATTCTGACCCCGTAGCGAAGCGCGGGCAGGTCAACTAGTATATTTAATTATTCAAAATAATTAATTGTTTCAAGTTTTTGTTAAAGCTGGTTCACTTTAGGCTTATATAGAAAGTTGTCTTTGAATTGTAGAGTATACTATACAGTAAGTGGAAACAACAGTGAAAGCAGATCTTGACCAGAAACAAGGAAAACCAAAGTGGTGATAAGGACTATCCAAGGACAAAGTAGATTATTATCAAGAACCAGTTTTCTCTATGAGCTGCAGACAAGCCAAATCTTCCTGGCTTTTGCAGCAAGTTATTTATACAATTTTGTAAGATTCTGTGATTTAAAAAAATAAATAAAGCAACAAAAATCTACTCAGACTAACTACTTGTTTTTCATGTAATTATAATTAATTACTAGCTTCTGTACTATCTGTGTGTAAAATTTTGGCTGTATTGGTTTAGTATATTAGTCGTGGCAGCACACAAACAGACACCACCTCAATTTTATAATAGTGTTGTATAGATAGATAATATTCAAGGAGTTAAAATTTAGAATACTATGAAGAAAAAAAAGAAAATACCTAAATTTTTGCAATCTAATGAAGAAAGTATTTGTTATGGACAATAAGCCAACAAACGTAAATTTTCAAAGCAGTTATTTTGTTGTTTATATTGGAAGAGAGTTCAATTTGCTATTGAGTTAATAATTTGGAGGTTGTTTTATTGTAAACAAATTATGTGATGTTACTTCTAATGCTTTAGGACCCTGAACCATTTGGTGAATGGACTGGTGTACGGGACGCTCTACAAGATGGGAATAAATGTAAGCAAGGTATCCTAGTTCGCAACCCTGGAGTAGATCCCAACAATATCTCAGAAGTTGGGGATGAAGACTGTCTTTACCTTTGTGTTTTTACCAACAAGGTAAATAAACAATGGATTTATACTTTTATTAGTTTTTATTTCAATAGTTGTAGGAAAGAGTGAAAAGACAAGAGCTCGCCCCGAATCAAAAACTAGACCAAAAGTATGTATTGTGCAAACTTCTCTATTTTAAACCCACGCTGTAAATGAAACATACTAGTTAGCCGCCCGTGCTCCGCCACGGGAATATTGTCAAATCAAATAAAATCAAATCAAAATCATGTTTATTTCAGTAAGTAGTTCAGTAAGTTTGTACTCATTGTTACAATACTTTGCCAGTAAAAATTTCATAGTTATGCAATAATATAAATAAATAAAATAATATAGGTACTAACATAGTCATTAAATATGAAATGCCTCTCACATAGGCTAGGCCTACTACCCGTGCATGAGAGATTTCTGCTATCAGGAAATAATATTAGAAATTAAAAAAAAAGATAAAATAAAAGACATAATAATTAACAAATACTGTTTATCTTTGTATTTTATTTAGGGACTGCTTTTTTATATGAAGTAGAACGGATAGTTGGGCCTGTATAAACTATTTATGTTAATCAAACCAATATATTAGTTTAACCAAATGAATGTTTTAAATTAATTCTAGTTAGATTTGAAAAATAAATGGTGTATGAATGCTGATAACCTAATAAGCTACTTATGCTATGGAGATAATTTGTTAATGTATATTCCTACATTCGTTGTTTTCTTGTTCATTACATTCGTTGTGCGGAATACAGATAGTAATTTAAATCACGCATCAGCAGTTGGCCGCATTTCACGGGTCTTTGACCCATTCTGTGAGTAACAGCTGCGTATACGTCGTATAGGCTATAATATAAAGTTGGGCATACTTTGGTTCAATGTTAGAGGGTATTAACGAATCCGATGGTAAAAGGAGCCCCGGATCTTAAAATTATATAGACTACCAGAATGATGATTCATCTAAGTGAGACTTATAAACTCACCATTGCAAATGCAGAGTTGTAAGATCTTATATTATTCAAATAGTTTTTTTGTTTCTTTTACTTTATTTATAGCCTATGTAGTCCATGTTGATAAGATTTTCTATGAACTCAGAATGTCGATAAGGAGCTAATTTTACCTTCCCCTTGTGACAACATAAGGAGAAAATACCTGTGTCGTGTCCCTGTTAGTCTGTTCTGACTCTAAATTCATAGATTTGCAGTAGTAAAAAATCCAATCTAACGACCCCAATTTAAAAAGAGTTGGCGTTTTTTTAGGAACTTCTAGAGCACATTTAACACCATCACTGTTATTTACTTTTTAGTTCCATGGTTCTCCACGTTTTTTTCGTTCTGGTTTTTTCTTTACGCACAGTTTCCACCTTTTCTTTTTCTTTTTGTACTTTTCACACCCTGGGGATTATGATAAAGTTGTATAACACTGTAATGACCCGAGTCAAATTTGCCTTTAAACATCAAATCGCACACTTTTTTCGCCAGTACCGAAATCGCAAGTCACAGTTTCTCAAGCAACTTCCCTGTGTACCTACTGGAAAAAATAGTTAGGGTATAGTTCACTGATAAATTGTAGTTCTACATATCCAGAATACTCGCCATCTCGAGAAGGTAAAGATTGGTACTACTGAACGTCAAACACTGATCTTAAGTAAGATTCATCATCACCTACGATCAAATGTTTGTATGTTTCCCACTCATTAGCAATTATCTGCACAACTTGCAAGTGGATTTCTCCATGATTGTTCTGGTGGGATAAATGATTTTGATCGGAACAAACAGTTTCCGTCCCCTACTTTCGGTATTATTTCACGTTCCATCCATTCCCTAACTCAAACTCAATTACCACTTTCCTTTGGATCATTTTGCATGAAAAGTAACACATACTTCGAAAATACAAATTTATATTTACACGTATTCGTAATCGCCATCTCCAGAAGGTAAAGTTTGGTACTGCTTAACGCCAAACACTTACCTTGAGTAATATTGATCACCCATGATAAAATGTTTGTATGTTTCCCACACATTAGCAATTTTCTACACAACCTGCAAGCGGATTTCACTATGATTGTTCTGGTGGCCGTAGGGAATAAATTATATTGATCGGAATAAACAGTTTTCGTCCCCTACTTTGGGTATTATGTCATGTTCCATACTCAAACCTAAAATCAATTAGCACTTTCCTTCAAATCAGTTCGCAGGAAAACTAATACAGTATACGAAAATACAAATTTTACACCAAAACATAGGCTACAAATATTGTTTAAATAACACATTTTGGTATAATAAGTTAACAAATACATTTTTCCTTTATCAAAACCGTGTCTGTTTTTAACAGGAACTTCTAGATTAATAATTACATACCGAAAGTGAGGTTATAAAAATAATAACAAATGTCTGACAAACATTAAACAGCTGACAAATCATTTATAAACTGTGTATTATAATCTTCAATAAGAATTGTATTGACTCGACCTTTGAAGGGCTGTAGTGCTTAGCCCTAAAAAAAAACGTAAATTCTAAGGAAGTTCGGCAAATCTATGCATTACATCCTTTAATTTGAGACATACATCTTGTAGATCGGTCCAGTAATAACTGAGAAAACAGTGTTACAACTGTGTATTAAATATATAGATGATTGGAATTTCTTTAATCTGTTTTGATTTTCTGTTTATATTTTGTTGTTATTTCCTCACCAACATAGCAACCCATATAAGGCCCATGTAAATTTTTTAAATTTAAAATTCATTTTTTGTGCTTATTTTATGCCTATTTAAATGTTATAAAGGGATTCTGCACATCTACAGGAAAATATCTTTCATTTGGTACCAACCGCGTGTAATTCGGTCCACTAGTATGGTCAGGCTAGCTAGTTTTGCAAAAGTTTTTTAGTATATAAGATGGACCATTAGAACATTATTACAAAATTAGTTGTCTCTTGACACTCCTTTCAATGTCATGCATTTCATTAACCTATGAGGTGAAATCTATTATTTTTCAGGGATTAGGTGGCAAAGAAGCCTAAAAACTAGTCCTCTTAAACTTCTTAATGAAGACATATTTTTCATTTAATTTCAAATATTTCAATGGCAATACTAAAACTAAAAGGTGCAAGAAGAACACTGTAAAAATATAATACAAAACAGAAACTGGCGTATTGCTTGCCTAGTGGTTATCATCTCAGACGTTGTTGCAAGAGGGTAGGGTTTGAGTACTTAGTATATTCAAGAAAATTTAAAGGGGTTTTTCACTTCCCCATGAAAGAATTTGTGATTTTTCCATCCAACATGCCACCCTAGACACTAAGAAGAAAAACCTATAGATATCTAAAACTGATTTCGTTTTAGTAACTTTATAGTGTCTCATAGCTTTGGGCTCTAAATAAGTTTGCAATATTTAATTTAATGGAACGGTTTCTTTAATTGTTTTTTTTTTCAATTTGCTCACAGCTCCGAGAGGAAAGCCCAACTAGAAGTCCTGTGATGGTTTACATTCATGGGGGAGCGTTTGCTGGGGGCTCCGGGATTTCCAAGAGCATAAACCCTGAATTTTTGTTGGAGGGGGACATTGTACTTGTAACAATCAACTATCGCTGTGGTGCCTTTGGTAATATAAAATGTTATTCTGTTTTTAAACAATTCTGTTGTTATTCTGAGTTTTAGAATCTGATAAGTTTTGGGAACCATCCAACTTGTATATATAATATATTTCAAAAAATGTGGAGTACCTATATTAAATTAAGTTTTACTGGTCAGCAAAATAAGGAAAAAAATATATGATGAGTTAATTTGCTCAGTGGGGGCAATACAGACTACAAACCAATTATGTTGTGGGTCTGCGTCCTTTTGCTGCAACCAATATCATATTGTTCTTATACCCTTGCTTTACTTTAATATGTTCCTTACACAGACCTATGTGAATGGGCAAATTCAAATTTAAAAGAAACAACGAATTTCATACAAAAATGTATCAGCTATCTTTAGTTTGCAAATATTCTTTTAATATATCTCAAGTCACACAGAGATATATCTATAATATTATCTTTTCAGGATTCCTCTCTCTTGAAAATGAAGAGGTTCCAGGCAACGCAGGACTCAAGGACCAAACATTGGCTCTCAGATGGGTCCAAGACAACATTGATAGTTTTGGAGGAGAATCAAACAATGTCACCATCTTTGGTATCAGTGCAGGAGGTGCTTCAGTGCATTACCATCTGCTGTCTCCTCTGTCTAAAGGTAGTAAGTTTGCTATGGCCTTACAGTTGAGCTACCTATACTACTTTATTGTAGATGAGGCAAGCACTGTCAACACTAACTTTTCTGCAAATTGTAGGTAATTCCATATAATGTAAACAAGGATAATAGACTGAATATTTTGGCTCTATACTCCGTTGACAGAATTTAGGTTGTTTGAGGGGAAGTGATACCATCCTCTGCACCTCACCCTAACTATGAAACACAAGCCAACACCTTAAGGTGAGTGAGCGTAGCGAACGAACTTCAACCAGGACATGATTGAGCCATGCGAACAAGTTCATCTTGAAAATGAACAAGCATTTGACATAAAACCACAGCTAGTAAATAAACAAAAAGGCCTTTATTCGCAAACAAGTTTCATATTACATGTTTTTAAACTAACTCTAGTCACTAAATCTAAACCAGCCTAATATATTTATATAAGAATAGATATAAAAAAATGTCAACAGAATCTTCTCAGCTGTAGGCAAGTTTTAACTTAGGTCTAGACTTTGGTTGCACAGCAAAAATCTTTAAAGGGCATTTAGGTACAGTATTATTTATTTTGTGGTACCGGTATTTACATCAAAAGGTCAAACCATGTTATTTTGAGTTTTGGATTAATTTATTTAGTTTAATACAACTCAGTTAATCCACAAATTAGAGTGGATATGTTTGTTTTTTTAACTAGCAAGAATTTAATGCCAATTTTATTCAAGATATTTATGAATTTAGTCATAGCTTCCTATAATACAAGGCTGCAGTGAGACAAAAGTGGCAACAATGATCTCCCAGCCAGTGCGAAGTTGCCACACGCACTAACGCCAACAGTTTATTGGAACACTTGTATAGAAGGTCATGTTTATAGATGTATGAAGACATTGTGTTTTTACTTTTTGTAATCATGATTTTGATTGCAGGTCTTTTCCACAAGGCAATTATTCAAAGTGGGTTCTGTCTGATGAACGAATGGTCCCTGCAAAGGTCCCCAAAGCAATTGGCTTTCACATTGGCAAAGAAATTAGGATTTGAATCAGAAGATGATGCTGAAGTATTCAGATATTTACAAACTGTGCCAAGTGAAGACATTCTCAGTGCAACTCATGAATTCTGCAAATACCAGGTTGTAATAGAATTCTTTGTAGTTGAATAATAATAAAAAATTATTCCTAGTTTGTAAATTCCAATGGTAGATTTTAAGAAATTAAGATTTTTCATTTTTCAGAGCTTTATCTGACAAAGATACAATCAAGAGAAAGGTGAATGTTACTTTTTTTGCTCAAAAGAATTTGCAATGGTAAAGTCTATCTATCCTTTATATTGTTTAGTGTTGTTCTATTGAGTTTCTAACTAAACTAAGATCTTGCTCCTGAACAGGAATACATCACCTGGATTGGTCTACTGTTCACTGCCTGTGTAGAAACAGCAGGTTCCAACAAGTTTCTTCATGACACTCCGACAAACCTGATGAAGAGAGGAGAGTTCAGTAAAGTGCCCGTGATTCTGGGGGCTGTGGAAAATGAAGGAAACGTGCACACGTTTTTGTGTAAGTCATACTATACATCACCAGTAATTCCTGTTCAATTATCACCAAACCTTTACAAATCTGCTAAATTTAAAACAAAAATATCATAAGAAATTTAATTCAATCATACTTTGATAGATTAGGGGTTTTATATGTTTTTTTATTATTGAAAACACAAAGGCTAAGGTGGTGGGAAATATCAAACTATAATATAGCTTAAGCCTTTGTCATAGTTAATCTATCTTCAGTTCAAAAGTTCTTTGTTTATTTCATGGGCATTCATAAATAGTTCATATAAATAGTACATATAAATCGGAAAATGAGAAAGGGTTGAAAAAACACTTTTTGCCCGTGTGATGAGCTAATTTTTGTCATATTGCACCATTATTTAACATTATTTGCACAAAGTTACAAAACAGAAATACCTTTCTTGTAAAAATAAACTCCCAAAATAACTTCCATCTTGATTTCCATTTTGCTATTGTGAACAAGCAGCTGTTTAGTGAGGTACCAGTATTGAATAATTTTGTATTACGACTGTATTTTTGTCCATTATACTATTGATAGATGTTGATATGTTGGACTACTGATTCAATGGGTTTCTTGAATTTCTTAGGCATTCAGAGCAAACTGTTTTCTTGTGTCATCCATCTTCTTAGATTCAACCTAAACAAATGTGAATCCAGTTTTGAAAAGAATGCATTAACAAACTAAAATCGATAGAATACAATCAATACAACCATTACTTTACAAATCGATTGCTTACAATCGAAGTTAGCAAGTGAGCAAAATGTACTGCTGACATCATCAACTCCAGCTGATTTTTACTCTCTGGGAGTAAGTTGTACTCCCTAGGGAAATAAAGAGCTACCTACTATAGACCTGCAATGCTTGAATTGAACATAACTGTTTTTGTTGCAGTATAACAAAAAAAGTTACGTAGCTAAGGCCTCTTTTATGTAATTGCAGTCGCCGCACTGGGGCAGCTGCTGCGATTCTATAAGTATACATTGACTCAAATGGGTGCTTGTATGCACCGCAGTGCGGCCCACTCTATAGTTGCGGCCCGCTAGGTACATTTGGGTCTTATGGGAGCCATTATGCAATGCGACGCAGGCCGCAACCTCTGTCAGTGCTACCAGTGATATAAAACCTGCGGTGCTGCAAGTTCCAAACCAAATACAAATTTTGCAGCCACATGTTTTTTTGCGGTGCCATAAAAACCGCAAACGCTGTGCATAAAAGGGTCCTAATGGTTCATTATATCATCATTGAGTATTCTTTAAAACAACTGATATTAATGAACTTTTCAGCTCAAACATGTTTCAGTTTTGATTCGATACCTGAAATCATCAACAATAGACCTGAACTGCTTGTTCCACCATTCTTCAAACTAAATCCTGGGAGTAAAGAAGAAAAAGATGTCCAAAAAGCCATTTGGGAGTTTTATCTTAAAGGGGAACAACTGTCCTTAAAGAATTTCCAGGAATTTACTAAGGTAAGTTTTTAAAAATTTGTATTTGTGACTTACTAATAAGTTTGGTACTTTAAGTTGTTAATTTACAGAAAGTCACTCTTGATGTCCATTTAAATCTCTTTTTTCTAAGAAAAAACATTATGTTTCTAGATGTAAATGAGGGTAGTTTTATTTTTTAATACCAATCGTGTATGGTACCTATATTCACTGAAACAAAATAGATTTTACGCCACACTACAACATTTGGACCAACTTACTACGCAAGTATTTAGTCCATAAAACAGCTGTTTGCCGCCAGTTTAATCAAATGGGGTATCATTACGTATTTAGTAGTATAGCGTGAACTATCGTATGTAACTCGTCCAAAATATGTGTACCGTACCGGACTCGTATGGTAATCCTGTACTCGACTTCGTCTCGCACGGGAACAAACACACTTGTCCGGTAAACACTTATTTTCAGGACTAGTAACGTAATATACTATTTTATCACTCTGTATTCAAAAATAGCCCATTTTCATACAGCTGAGATCTTCGAACATCAATTTCCGTACATCAAAAACAAATAGTGATCAGCTGACTTTTCCTGACATAATCATTACTTTTCGCTACATAAACATTACTTTCGCCACTTTTGCTAAACAAACAATACTTTGCCTGTCATCAAAAAATTTACAATCAGCTGAATTTTACACTAAAATTAATTGTACAGCCTCATTGTGTTTAGATTAGAAAAATGAATAGATTACGAAATATATTAGATCATTTTTGATGAAGTAGTTTTTTTCATCGTGATAAAAAGTATCATTCAATACTCGTCACAAAAGTACCATTTCGGGGTGAGACGGTGTTTTACATGCAAGTCCCTAGTAGTGAAATATAAATAAAATCCAGGACTGTCAAAAGACATTTAAAGTACTTGGATGTAAGCTGTCCCTGCCGCACAATCTCTTCCCTTTAGTTATCAGGGGTTTTATAAGTAGATTAGAGTGAAAATACATACAAGCATTTTTTTTTTTTTAGTAAAGGTAATAAAGTCAAGTAGACTTTGCAAAAATGTTTATGGTTGCACTAAGACATAAACTTTACATGACTTGTCTTGCTAGAGCTGGACTTCTGTTCTACATGCTCACATTTCAAATCCTGTCATTCACCAATGGTTTATGCTATGCTACTATTACAAACTATGTACCTACTCAGAGTTTTTCATTTAAATTTCATATACTTTTTGCCTTTTAACATTTTATTCATATTTTTTCCAGTATGAAAGTGATTTTCTGATAATCGCAGGACTTGGTGAAACTAGAAGGTTGATGCTGGAAAAATCTAAATGTCCAGTATACACATATTTGTTCACCAACCACACAAAGTGCTTCTGTTCAGGTCTGTCAGGAATGTTGGGTGCAGACAACCCTGTGCTTCCATATCTCTCGGGCCCAGGTCAGTTTAATCGTGAAATTGAATGACCAACTTTAAATTTAATTTGACAAGATCGATACTTGAGAACCAAAATTAAAACTTCTGATAACAATGTATAGTAGCTGATTGAGTAATATTAATACAGTATGTGTGAAGAGTGAGCTGGTTTGATTATAAGAGCACTGGGCATCAGTCCCCAAGGAATCATAGGCTCAAACCCTGCCTCTCATCAATGGCTTTGTTTTGCTTTGTGATAATGCTGTGACTCTATAGGCCTTGAAGTACTGTGTAAAATGGTTCTGGGCTAGATCCTAGGGTCTGATGTGAAGATGAATAAAAAATGATAATTTTGTAGTAGGAAATTCGATAACTCTGCATGTTTGAGGTGACGGGAGTTTATCAATCATGTATGATTTTTACATTATTATAAGGAAACAATAATAATAGGCTAGGCAGCACATATTAATATTTATTTTACTTTATTAAATACCCAAGTTCAAGGATATCTTTGTCGTTTACTGATTTCTCATCTTTTTTACATTGGTTAAACAATATTCTGCTGTAATATTATTTTTTATACCTAGGTACATGCCATGCAGCTGACAGTGTATACTTAACCAAACATGTCACTGATAAACTGGATTTGACACCAGAATTCAAACAAGCTGTCAACAAACATGTACAAGCTTGGACTAACTTTGCTAAAACCGGGTAAGTAATTAAAAGACATGCATATAACCCTGGACGTACTTGGCTGCTTCCGAGTAAGTCAATATTTGTAAAATTATACTGTAGTGTAAAAGCAGAAAAGAATTTCTATTCTTCATTTCTAAGGACATACAAAATTCTAGGCTACTTTCAGTGATTGTAAACTGGATAGGTAAAAAATCTAAATCTTTATGTTATAACAAAACATTTAATTTATTGTAAATTAGTATTGTTTTAATAACCTAATACTGTAACCGTCTTAAACAAACATCATTTCACAAGGTATAAGAGTATTGCCTTATTTTGTTTTGCCTCAAAAAGAAGCTTTGAAATGTATTAAAATACACAATTTGCGCACCAGTCATATCAAGTTATTTTAAAATGGGTAACAATATGCCTTATCTTAACACATTCAGCGCCATGTGTATTAAAAATGATACACAGGCGCCATCTCTACGGGGCCATGTGTATCATTTCTGATACACAAGCACCCTAAAGGTTCAGGCCATTATGAAATTAAAAAAAAATTTGTTAGGGGCCAATTACAATATTAGGTCAAGTACAACACAACAACCAATTATATAGGCCAAAAACTCAAATCCAAACATTTTTTAGTTTTTTATTCTTGTTTTTGTTGTGTGTGCAAAAATGATACACACGGCCCAAGAGATAAAATATTTGTTAAAAATGTTGGTTTGGGCCATGTGTATCATTTTTGCACACACACAATTTTTTACAGTAACACATGTAATTTAGTACAAGTTTACTTTTTGAATGCTAAAATTATCAAAATAGGAGGAATAATTGTGTGTAATATCCTGATTCTCAAACAGGGATTTTTTGTAGCCTATAATAGGATACATGGGAAATCTTTTGAGTGGCAATAGTGATTGGCAACACTGTACTTTTGTTTGTTTACTTGAAAGGTAACCTAAAATTGAAAGTGCATAAGTTTCAGTCGCTGTGTGGTGTGTTGTATAGAACTGTTTGGCTGTATAGAACTGTTTTGCTAGGCTTTCCATGTTGTGGACAGTGTTTTCATGTTTTCTTTAGTATTATCAAGTGATAACATATAATAGAACATAAACATGGGAGATAAAAACTTGACACCTAGAAAAATAGAAAAGGAATTGGGTGACACATTGAGTGATGGTGATTTGAGTGCCGAAAGTGAAATATTTGACTCTGATAAAGATCCAGAATATGTTCCTGGTGAAAATGATGACATTTTTAATATTACTAAACGTTGGCAAGGATTTCAGCGTCAAATTGATAAAGTGCAAGCTGGAACTTCTTCAAATGTTTGGCATGACAATACAAGTAGTGATGAAAGTGAAAATGAAAGGCCTAAAAAACTGTAAAGAATAAAAAGAGACCAAAGAAAGTAAAAAAAGTATTTGCAAAGAAAAGGAAAGTAGGCCTAGTCCTAACTAATAAAAGATCTCATAGAACTACAACCACAAGTTTAGTTACAGATGTACTTGACAAAGGAAATGTTTGTGATATATCGGAGGCTGATTTGGAAGAGTCGGTTGATGGTGATTTGGAAGAGTTGGTTGATGGTGACCTGGAAGAGTTGGTTGATGATGTAGAAGTTTTAGGAGATATAAGCCAATCGGAAGATGAACATGAAGAAAATGGGCAGCAAACAAAACAAAGAAAACAGAATAAAAAGAAGAGACAGGATGAGTACAACCTAAATATTTTTGGTACAGAGCGTAAGATAAAGTGGGAAGAGTGGCAGGGGAGGCAAAAGCAATTCCCATTTACAGGACAGTCAGGGATAAATCCAGAAGTATCAGCTAAGCTAGCCGATGGTAAGCCTATAGATTATTTTTTACATTTAGTTTCTGAGGATATAATAAATGTTATGGTGGACCAGACAAAATTGTATGCGACGCAAGTCGTTTCATGTCAAGAAGACGTTGCCCCTCATTCCAGACTACATGGTTGGACACCAACAGATGCTATTGAAATTAAAAGGTTCCTAGGCCTAATAGGATGGATGGGTTTGGTCAAACTACCAAATCTGAGAGACTACTGGTCTAAAAACAAAATATACGACTTGCAAATACCTCGAAACACCATGAGCCGCAATCGATTTGAACTGCTGTTGAAAATGTGGCATTTTGCTGACAATAACTTTGCAGGAACTAACAGACTTCACAAGATAGAACATGTAATGAGTTTATTCATTGAAAATTTCAAGCAAGCCTACACCCCTGGCGAAACAATGTCCATAGATGAGAGTCAAGTACCTTGGCGAGGAAGACTTGTTTTCCGCCAGTACAATCCTCGAAAGAGACACCGTTATGGTATTAAACTGTACAAACTATGTGCGGGAAAAGGCTATACGTGGAATTTTTCCGTATACATAGGAAAAGATGCATGTACTGAGAGGAGCGCCTCCGAGAACGTAGTGTACAAGCTTTTGGGCGGTATACAGAATGGTGGCAAAGACATTGTTCCTGGTTCGCTCCTAGGAGAGGGTAGAACACTGGTTGTCGACAACTGGTATGCGAGTGTGCCTCTTGCGCTTGGGTTATTAGAGCACTCCACTCACTTCATCGGGACATTGCGTCCTGATAGGAAGTATCTACCACCAGCAGTTGCTTTGAACATCAATAAGGGAGATATAATGACAAGAGAAACTGAAGAAGGACTCACTTGCATAAAATGGAAAGACAAACGGGATGTTTATTTACTATCTACTGTTCATACAAATGAAGTAGTTGAAGTAACAACCAACAGTAACAAAGTGGTGCATAAACCAATGAGTGTTGTCCTGTACAACGAGGGAAAATACTCAATAGACATGAGCGACCAGATGGCGACTTATAACAAAGCTTTGAGAAGATGTACTAAGTGGTACAGGAAGCTGATGATAGAAGTAATCTGGGGAATGACAGTTGTAAATAGCCACTTCCTCTACAACTGCTCAGGGAATGAGAAAATGCCAATAAAACAATTCAGAGAAGCGATAGTTCTTTCCCTCCTTCAAGAAGCAACTCCAACTGAACGAAACGTCACACCACGAAGATCTCGCGGAGCCCACTATCTCATCGAAGTGATAACAGGTGACCCACCACGAAAGAAAAGAGGGAGGTGTAAAGTTTGTTACGATGAGCTGGGAAGGCAAGGGACACTTGGACAAGATGGCAAAGTACGCAGGGCGAAGCAAGTCTACACAGTTTGCGACACCTGCGAAGGACAGCCGCACATGTGCCGCCCCTGCTTCAACAAGAAGCATTGACTAAGTCATAAGTAACAAGACAAGTTTATAACATAACTGTAAACATAGGCCTAGTTGGTTTTTTGAAAGTAATAAATGTGAGTTTTCATTTTACTTAGCTATTTTATTTACCTTTCTAACACCTTCGTAAAACACAAGTGAACCGGCCTGGGCCGATACTCTAATGGTTCTGTGTTAGGTCTGGGCCAGGGGAAGAGATTTCCAATGCTAAATGCATGGAAATTGTGCTCAAATATGATACATACAGCTTTATTGGCATATTGACATGTGTATCAGAAATGATACACATGGCCCAAATGGCAAATTGCTTGTGTATCAAATATGATACACAAAGCCCACAGGGCAAAAGCTAAAAAAATACTTAGGGCCTAATAGACATATAGTATACCACATAGTATGGCGCTGAATGTGTTAACAAGGAAAAACACATTACATTATTAGGTTCCAATTAGACAAAAATATTATTTGGCTAGAGTGAAGTAGAAGTATGACTCTTATGTGATTTGCATTCCAGAGATCCGAATGTGGCTGAATGTGGAGTGAGGTGGGCCCCAGACTCTCAGTCCAGTCCCTGCTACATGGACATCGGGACTGACTGGACTGTCAAAGAAGGAGTGCCTTTTGCTGACAGAATCAACTTTTGGCTGCAGCTTTCAGACAGATATTTGACTCATTTGTAGATGAATTTTGTTATAATGTCATTGATGTATAAACTTCAAAAAATAAAGAAAACTTAAAACTTATTTTTTTTATAATTCTGATATTTTGCCCACCCCCCTGAAAAAAGTGGTTTTTGAGGATGTCTGTGTGTGTGGATGTATACAGAGCTACAGACTACACCTGTGGTCCGATTTTTATGACATTTTGCAATTGGGTACGGTACTCAGTGCTCGATTAGTAAAAAACGAGGCACTGGAACTGTAACTTTTTTAAAGTGATTAGTACCTATTTATGCACATATTAAAGCAAATACTATTTTTATTTTTCCAAAAGATTGATACTGGAACACCGTAAATCAAGCCCTGTTACTAATCATAATAAGTGCTGGCCTAACAATGAAAAGGTCACTGGTTCGATCCTGAGAAAAGTCAGCTTTTTGTTGGTTCGAAACTGGATCCAGCTGTTCCTGATCATTATGGGCTTTAAATAAATGATCCTGACTGATGAAACAGCTGCTCTTAGTCAGAAACAAAGCTACACAGATCATCTCAAACCATCTTGTCATCCTTCCCTATTATTTTGGTTCAAATACACAGGTGACGTCACCATCTCAATTGGTAATGATAATTAAGGATCTCCAGGCTTTTTCAATTTATTTGAATTTTTTCTTTTTAGGTTTTTTTTAATCCCATAAAAAACGGGAAATCATCACAAAAAAACAGCTCAAGTGATTTTGGTTGACGTTTATAGTCCTTTTAAGTTAACACTAAACAAAATAGTACTACCACCATTTGTGTTTACACATTTTGGTTCAAAAGTTATCGCAACTTGTGTGATTTTCCCCATAAAATATCAGTTTCTCTCAAAGTTTACCCATGATAAGGGTTGTTGACGAGCTAATAGGAGAAAGTATGTGTCAGATTGCCGATACTGTTTATTCATGCTAATACTATTTCTTAGTGGATGTAAAAGCAAACTATTCTGCAATGCAAAACAATGGAACTATGAAACACTCAATTGATAGGTAGAACCCAATAAAACAGATTTTTAAACTGAAATACATCATTTGAAAAAATAATTTACTAACACATTGCCTTTATTTATCCTAGTTTTATTCAATTACCTCTATCGATCTGCAACTGCCAAACCACTTAAGATTGCAAACACATTAGACGCTTCGCTACTTTCTTATCATGCCATACCTTTTTCTCATTGTTTGCATTTGTAAGTTATGATGACAGTTTCCTTAGAAAGATAAGTTAAAGTTTTACAATGTTTTAAACATAAAGTTTTATAATAGTTTCCAATTAACACTCAACTTTGAAATGAGTATTTAGTTACTACTAACATGTACACATAACACATGTAGTCAGTTGAGATGGAAGACTTTGTAGTGATAGAAACTAAGCTAGGTAGTCTTAGAGGTAAGGTGTGCAAGACTGGTTTATCCAACAAGAAATACTACTCATTTTTGGGCATTCCTTATGGACAACCACCCGTTGGTGCACTCAGATTCAAGGTAAGCTAGCAGCACCTATTCTTTTACTTACTTAAAACAAAATAGTAACAGGTAAAATCAGCCTACCCAATCTTCCCTGTTAAATTAAACATTTAGTTTATTTAACTAATACCATTAAACATGGTTTAAGATTTGAGTTTTGATTTAGCTGCTTTTCAAATTGGTACCGGTAACCAATTTCACCAGCTATGGTTATTCAATTTGTTTCAATTATCTTGAGTTAGTCTAATTTTTAATCAAAATCAGTTGTCTGACTTTCAAAATTCTATCACAAAATGGGCTCTATTGCATTAAGATAATAGATAAAGGTGATTAAGGTACTTTTAAGTTTTCTCGTTAATTCTACTAACTATAGTTATTTGTGCAACTAGTGAGCAAAGTGAGCAATTGACTCACTCAAGAGAAATACTTACTCGGAATGGTTTCTCGGGTGAGGCAATTGCACTTTGCACTCGAGTTGCACATTATATTTTTCCTACAGTTACCATAAAACAAATAAATTGGTAAAGAAACGTAACATATTTTTACACAGAAGTGAACTTTTAATATGACATGTTACATCAGTTCAACAGCTGACCAGCTGATTTACAGCCAGTGCTGCCAACGTATTTCGCGCGCATACGACCTTGTCTGCATGTTACGCACTCACTATTTCGTGCCTTCACGTTGCAAATCTGGAGTGAGTGAGAAAAAGTAATTAGAGTGAGACAATGTTAACATTGTCTCACTAATGAGGGAATTGGCCACTTTGCTTTCTCAAATCAGTGAGAGAACATGTACATTGTTGGGTAACTGTAGGAAAAAATAATAGATTCACATTGTAAAAACAGCTTCTCCTTGTACCTGTACAAACTTCTCCATCAAAATAAACTAAAAAAAAGGTAAAATCAATCTAGAGTGGCTTTATTAACTCACTTAATGTGCCAAAACTGTGAACGAACACTATTCATTTCGGCAACACATGATCGCTTCTGCACTCGTATGATTTGTTTACTGTATTACACAATCAAATACTCTTTGAAATATGTTTCACTATAAATATAAGTTAACCTGACAAGGTATAGGTTTGATATTGACATTTTCCACTGATATAAACTTTTATATCATATAAAATGAATATAATTATAATAAATATAATTTTATTTAGTTGCTTCAACTAATCTGTTGTGTAAAACTAACATTTGACACCGTTCAGGCTCCCAAGCCATTTGGAGGCTGGGAAGGCGTGAGGAACGCATTGCAAGATGGAGACTATTCCAAACAAAGCGCCCTTTTTACTATAGTGTTTGAGGGCAAATCCCCTGAAAAAGCTGCAGCAGGCGATGAGGATTGTCTTAACTTAGGAGTTTTCATTAATGAGGTATGTTTTAGTCATTAATAGAAATTAATACTATAGATTTTTTCTGCTGGTCTAACTTAATTTATAAGTTTGCTTCAGAAATTTACCAAATATCCAATTTGAAAGGTTGTTCGGAAGTATTTATAGTATAGACTTATCAATCAACTATTCAATGTAAATACTATAACCTATATTATCTCTTAAAATCTATAACCTATTTAACCTATATAACCTATTTAATCTATATTATCTCTGTAAAGGACTGATAGCCTACCTATATGTTTGTAAATAAAAAATGTCAAGAATTATTGTTTGAAATAACTTTTTTAATTATATAAATTTTATTAATAGTTCAACATATTTTTAGCTTTTGTTATGACAGTATAATTTTGTTCATATGGGATCTTGTTTTCAAGTTAGACAATTATGTAGATTTGCCGCCATATTCCACAATAAGCAGCTTATTTTTTTCTCTTTGTAGAAAGGGATCAATCAGCTGGGGTTTGGTCAGTTTACCAAGGACTTTAAAAGGGTACTTTTCAAAGAGGTAGAATATGAGTGTCTTAAGTATATTCTCAACAAAGCTACTGCTACACAGTACGAATTGTGTCAAATATTAAGCAGTATGCTGTGACTGTATATGTATGGGTTGTGTTTTACTCACTTTGTATATTTGTGGTAATAAGGGCAAATACTATCGTACTCAATTCACCCAGTAAAGTGTTAACAATACTTGCATGAAATCCTGCATAAGGCCGTAAACCGCTTGAACGGCATGCTTGAACCGTAAAAACCTATCTGGTATCGTAGCATAATGTACTATAGCCCCATTTTAGGGACAAAATTGTTTTTTCAGCTTCCAAAAAAGCCAAAAAAGTCAAAGAGACCAGTGATGGTCAGTATTCATGGAGGAGGTTTTGCACTTGGTTCTGGAAACTCTAACATCTTGGGCATGGATTTCCTTATGGACGAGGACGTTGTAGTGGTGTCATTCAACTACCGCTGTGGCGCTTTGGGTAAATTGAATACAATTCCATCCTGCCATTGCAATATATACTTAAAAAAATTATTTGAATTTAATAATGTTTCCTCTCATATAAACTCAGTTAAGTTTGCAATGAGAACTCATATAATAGTGATGAACTATGAGAAATTTGATAAATTCTTTTTTCCATCAGGATTTCTTTCCCTGGGAACCGAAGAGGTTCCAGGCAACGCAGGACTCAAGGACCAAACATTGGCTCTCAGATGGGTCCAAGACAACATTGATAGTTTTGGAGGAGACCCAAACAATGTCACCATCTTTGGTATCAGTGCAGGAGGTGCTTCAGTGCATTATCATCTGCTGTCTCCTCTGTCTAAAGGTAGCAAACTGTTCTTAGTACTATTTTGTTTGATTCCTAAATTTTTCCTAAAACTCTTTTTCTTTAAACTAGACCCAGCTGTCCTTGATTACACATGGGAGTGAGTGTGTTAACAGGTTCAGTACTGGCCATCACACTCCTCTGGATGTAGAGTCTCCAGACACACGGGAGTGAGTGTGTTAACAGGTTCAGTACTGGCCATCACACTCCTCTGTATGTAGAGTCTCTAGACACACGGGAGTGAGTGTGTTAACAGGTTCAGTACTGGCCATCACACTACTCTGTATGTAGAGTCTCTAGACACACGGGAGTGAGTGTGTTAACAGGTTCAGTACTGGCCATCACACTCCTCTGTATGTAGAGTCTCTAGACACACGGGAGTGAGTGTGTTAACAGGTTCAGTACTGGCCATCACACTCCTCTGTATGTAGAGTCTCTAGACACACGGGAGTGAGTGTGTTAACAGGTTCAGTACTGGCCATCACACTCCTCTGTATGTAGAGTCTCTAGACACACGGGAGTGAGTGTGTTAACAGGTTCAGTACTGGCCATCACACTCCTCTGTATGTAGAGTCTCTAGACACACGGGAGTGAGTGTGTTAACAGGTTCAGTACCAGCCATCACACTCCTCTGTATGTAGAGTCTCTAGACACACGGGAGTGAGTGTGTTAACAGGTTCAGTACCAGCCATCACACTCCTCTGTATGTAGAGTCTCTAGACACACGGGAGTGAGTGTGTTAACATGTTCAGTACTGGCCATCACACTCCTCTGTATGTAGAGTCTCTAGACACACGGGAGTGAGTGTGTTAACAGGTTCAGTACTGGCCATCACACTCCTCTGTATGTAGAGTCTCTAGACACACGGTAGTGAGTGTGTTAACAGGTTCAGTACCGGCCGTCACACTCTCTATATGTAGAGTCTCCAGACACGCATACAGAGTGAGTGTGTTAATAGTTTGTCTTGTGTAACCAGCAGATCTTTGGCTTCATTTAAAATTTAGCACCCTAGTCTGTTGTATGGCCATATAAGCTAATTGAAACTAATGCTAACACACATTTCCACACTTGGTCTCCATGATATCAGTTATCAAAACAAAATTCTGCCTTTTCACTATAATTGTGTAAAACTGATTCATTTTTCAGGCCTCTTTCATAAGGCGATCATGCAAAGTGGTTTTGCTCAGAACCAATGGGCTTTCCAACCATCACCAAAAACAGTAGCTCTGAAGTTAGCAACGATGTTAGGATGCACGTCAGAAGATCCGCAAGAAGTTTTAAGATTCCTCCAGTCAGTTCCTTCTGATGACATAATCATTGCTCAGAGCACAATTTGTGCTGAAAAGGTATGTTCCTCCTGTGCTTTGTATATGGTAATTGACACTTAAAAACAACATATGTTTACAGTTTGAAAAGTAAGGAGATTTAACATAGCCACCTCTAATACAAGGCTGCGGCGAGACAAGGGTGTCAATTGTCCACTTCAGGGGGCAAATAGGAGAGAACTGGAAGAAGTTTTAGATAGGAATGGTCTAGAAGGAAGGTCAAAGGAAGGTTTAGATAGGATAGTAGATGAGAAAAGAAAACTTGATATGGGACAAGGAAACAATTAAGACGTGTAGGATAGTATAACTAGGGAAATATGAAGAAGCAGAGATACATACAGGCTAATAAATTGAAAAAGAAACAAAAAAAGGAACGAGAACATCCTTGTGAAGGGGAAGGGGAGAGGAAAGTTTAGAGGGAATCGCTCAGAGCGGTAGGTGGAGGGGAGTCATGCTGTTATGATTTTGGGACACAGAATGTGACTGGAAGAGGATTGAAAGTGACAAAAGCCTAAAAACAGAAAGTGGCCTGGGAGCACAATTTTTATTTCAGCTGCGGTTTTGAATTTGAATTTTGAATTTGAATTTGAATTTTCAATATAGACAAAATAAAGGCCCATTTCCTATCCTGCGACTGTTACGACTCTAAAAGTGCTAAAGTGCTAAAATTTTGTCGCTCAGTGACTATAGGTGGTGCCGGCATATTTTTTTTAATGATTAACATTTTAAATGTATCGGAATTAAACAAATAACATTATGTAAATATTTTAGAGTGTTGACCTATGAATTTGACCCAAGAGGTTGAGAAGGGAGCCTTGGCCTGTTACAATGTTCTAGAATACGTAATTAAGTGAGATTATATGAACTATTTACAAGTAAATATAATTGAAAAATTTGTGAAAAGATCGTAGAAATGTGTGATTTTCACTTTAATTTATGCAAACATTTCCGGGGGGGGGTACCTCGGACCCCCCTTTTTGATGGGTATTTCAGACCCCCCGGTAAGTCTGGCTCCACTGTCGCCCAGTGGAAATCCCTTAAAATATGCTCTGTTATTTAGTTACAAGAATAAAGCTTCTTCCATGACGGTCAAAGTGCAACTGCACTAGTCACACTAGACGTGGGAGTCGCAGGAGTCGCGGCATAGGAAATAAGACATGCGTCTCCAGCCGTACGGCTCTAGACGCGCGGCTAGAGCCGTACGGCTGGAGACGCTTGTCTCAATTCCTATGCCGCGACTCCTACGACTCCCACTACTAGTGACTTGTGAAATTGCACTACTGACCGTCATGGAATAAGCACAGTTGGCAGCGAATATATTACTTGGAGAATGGGAGGAAAAGGAATTATTAATGTGCATGGTAAAAAACAATGAACAACCTAATCCATTGTTCATGGTACGGTGAAAATAGCGGTTTCAGAGTATTCTTATTCAGAGACATCTTATTCAAGTATTGGGGGTGAACGTATGGGTGGTGACAAAAACCAGTTCCATTAACTTCTATGAAGGTACACACCTCAAACTTCGTATGTATAAACTATAAATTCGTTAACAGCCGTGTGGCTCGAGTCGCTTCAGTCGCGCGGCTGTAGACGCTCGATAGGAAACGGTTGCATTTACTTTGCATTAAAGCAGTCATTTATTTCAGCCGCACGGCTGGAGCCGCACGACTAGAGTCGTAACAGTCGCAGGATAGGAAATGGACCTTAAGAGTTAAAAAATGAAAATTATAAAATTAATTTTTTAATTAAAAAACTAAACTGTCATAACCTGACCTAACTAATTAAACTTGCTGATAATAAAAAAATCAAATTAAGGTTTACTAAGAGAAAAAATAGTTCTATTCATAAAATAAAATTGTAAATGCCTCAAATTCTAACAAAAGATGTACCATTAACACGTTTGCTGCGGGTCACTCACCGGTGAGTGCTCTCTAGTTCCTTTGTTAAAAAGTAATCACATTCCAAGCAAAATCTTTGACAAAAAGTTCAAGTTACCAGTGGGATTCAATCTGGTTACCTCTTGGACATCAGCTGATTACTCTATCCACTACACCACAAACACGAATGGAATTACTTTGTATCGTTGCGGTAATGGTGTTCCCTCAAGAGAAGAGAGTGACGACACACCATGACAGCCAATAGAATGCTCTCATTTCGTCCGTATAAAAAAACCGCAGCTGAAATAAAAAAATTGTGCGGCCTGCAAATAACTCCAGACTTATGCCAGGAGGTGTGGGTGGGAATGAGCTTCAGCCCCAGCATGAGTTGGAAAGTAAAAAACACACATGCTGTTGTTATTATTGAGCAAATGCTACCAGATTTAACAACGGTAACTATGTAATCTGAAATAAGCGGCTAAGTGGCCTGCTGTGTCATTTAAAATACTGAACAAAACGATTGACTTCCAGACAAAATTAGTCTTGCTTTTAAATGTTAAATCAAGATCTCTTATCCAAGTTAGTGTTGCCTCATGAGAGTTGTGGCTGCGATCTGACAAAGGGTAACTGTTCCCTTTACGAAATATTTCGGCTCCACAGTCAGATGACTGATCTAGAACATACGAGTGTGGGGAGGACACCTGTTGATGATGAATATCTAGGAGATTCACTCCCCCACATCTATATAATTAACTAGCTGTACCCGCGGGCCTTGCCCCGTTTAACTTCTTAATTTTCAAGATGAGCTCGTTCGCATGGCTCAATCACGTCCTGGTTGAAGTTCGTTCGCTACGCTCACTCACCTTTAGGTTGGGGCTCGTTCGCTGCGCTCACTTGCCTTCAGGTAAGCTCGTTCGCTACGCTAACTCGCCTTCAGGTTGAAGTTTGTTCGCTACGCTCACTCACCTTTTGGTTGCAAATTAGCTGTTGTCATAAATTAGACAATAGACAATAGACAATAGACAATTAATCTTTATTTACACATTCATTAAGAATAGTAGTAGCGTCAATTTACAATTTTTTCTAAATGTGTGGTTGAGGTGTTGTTTAGTCAAAGACCTGTTGATGGTATTCTTCTAAGGAATAGAAAGGTCGATTAATGAGCCATTGATGCAAAGCTGGTTTGAGGTCATCTTCTGACTTGCTTCTTAGATCTGGAGGTAGCCTGTTGTAGATTTTCATTCCTGCGTATGAAGGTTTCTTTTCAAACTGTGCCGTGCGATGTTGTGGAAGGTTGTACTGCATGGTGTTTCTCAGGTTGTGTTGGTGCATTTCGCCACGCCTTGTAGGGTTATTTCTTACTGCAAATAACACAACTTCCTGGATGAAGAGTGCTACAAGGGTAAGTACTTTGAGTGACCTGAATGCTTCCCTGCAGCTGTCGAGTCTGTGGAGTCCTGCAGTTATTCTGACTGCCTTTTTTTGTTTTCTGAGAACTCTTTGCATGTTAGTGGCAGAGGTTCCACCCCATGCTACAAGTCCATATCTCATATGCGACTCGAAAAGTGCAAAGTATGCTACTTTTGTTGTCATGTCATCTGTTGCATTTTTTATATGTTTAAGAGCATAGATGGTTGAACTTAATTTTTTACATATATTGTCCACAGCTTCATCTTCCACTTCTACATCTGGGAGTCGTGGCACTTCTTGAGATTTACGGCCAAAAGCTATTTGAGTTGTTTTAGACGTGTTTACTGCGAGATCATTGTTATAGCAGTATTGGTAGGCCATACTGAGTGACACATAGGATTTTACTTCTAGATTTTCAGCTAGTGGTTCATTAAACACTAAGGTTGTGTCATCAGCATACATAAGAGTAAGGCAGGCGTCTCCTATTTGTTGCGGCAAATCGTTGGTAAAAAGAATAAACAGTACCGGACCCATAACTGACCCTTGGGGAACTCCTCGATTTATTGGTTGAAAATTTGATCTTGTTTTTCTTATTAGGCTGTTATCTCTGTGCCTTAGTTCTACAAACTGACTCCTGTCTGTAAGGTAGCTTTGAAACCATTCTCTTACTATCCCTGATACCCCCAGGGAATCCAGCTTTTTAATGATTAGCTGGTGGTCAAGGCAGTCAAATGCCTTACTGAAATCAAGAAAGATTCCTGTTGTTAGATTTCCTTCATCTAGGCTGTCAATCAGGGACTCAACCATCTGAATTATTGCTGTTGTTGTGGATTTCCCTTTTGTAAATCCATGTTGCAGGTTGTTTAGTAGGTTGTGATTTGTGCAGTGGTCTAAAAGTCTTTTTAAAACAACTTTTTCGTATATTTTGGAGAAGGTGGAAACGAGGGAAATTGGTCTGTAGTTGCTTGCTTCTAATGTGCTACCTTTTTTAAATTTCGGGTATACTTTAGTTATTTTAAGTAGTGAAGGAAAGATGCCTTGTTTTAGGGATTTATTTATCAAATCAGCCAATGGTAGTGCTAGTTCATTGCAGCAATGCTTAAGTATTTTTGACGAGATTTCATCAATTCCAGACGAGTTTTTTGCTTTAAGTTTGTTTATAATCATTTTAACTTCCTTCTCGTCTGTGCTTTGAAAGGAGGAAAACGGTGGACCTGTTTGAGTTACGTCAGGAGTTTGAGCTGTGGTCTTTAGGTGTTTTTGTTTCTCTACTGTTTTTTCTCCTACTTGTGTAAAAAATGTATTCAAATGCTCTGCAACATGGGTCACATTACTTATGAGTTGGCCATCTACTTGAAGGGTTATTTCATTTAGGGATGTTTCCTTTTTGGACCACACTGTGTTTATTGTTTCCCAGATAGCTTTAGATTTATTTTCAGCTTTCATCAACTGGTCAGAGTTAACCTTTTTCCGCATCGTTTTCAAGTACAGGTCATAGTTCTTTTTATTTTCAATAGAAACCCTTCTGTCATCTGGATTTCCCGTCACCTCAAACTTTCTTAGAGCTTTAAGAAATTCGGCTTTAAGTCTCACTGCTTCTGGGTCCATAGAGAATTTTAGTTTATGTTTTCTTTGTGTTTTTATCTTCTATTGGGGGCAGGCTGCATCCATAGCTACTCTCACTATGTTACTAAAAGTTTTAAAAGGCATTGTTTATTGAGGTAACACTAAGCCAGTTTTCTTGACTGAGAAGATACTTGAGGTCTTGCAGGTTTTTATTTTTTAGGCAGCGTCCAATTTGGGCTGGATAACTTGAGTTGATGTGTGAGTTGAAGTTTACAGTACAGAGTTGAGCAGTATGATCTGAAAGTCCTGCATTGATGATTTCTGGAGTGAGTTGGTTTGTGTCCATATTTGTACATATCCAGTCAATGGAGGTTTGTGTTAGATTTGTTATTCTTGTAGGTGGAAGCTGTAGTCTCTGGATGTTGTGCATAGCAAGAGTTTCATTTAAGATAATGTGTTTCCTGTTTGGGTTACACAAATCAACGTTAATATCTCCCATGATGATAAGAGGGGAATTTTCAATTTTTGTTTCCTCAATTAGTTCTGTAAAGGTGTTTAATGATTCCTCAAGGTCTCCGTTTGGGGGTCTGTAGGTTCCCAGTACAAACAGATTTGAGTTCTTGAATTTTATTTTTATAAGAGCTGCTTCAAATAACAGTTCTTTACAGTACTTGGAAACATCTATGGCTACTGTGCTGCTCTCAAGGCTTTCTTTTACAAGAATGCAAACACCTCCCTTTCTGTGTTCTATTCTACTATAGTGAGCCTTGAGGCAGAATCCAGTAGCTATGACGGTGCTACTTATTGTCTCAGGTTTCAGTCCATGTTCTGTCAGAATTACTATGTCAGGTTTGGTTTCTTCTAAAAGGTGCTGTAGTCTATTTATTTTATTTGAGACTTCCTGTGTATTTTGGTGCAGCAGGATGAGTTTGGAGTTTACATCCTGACTCGATTGTCTAAAAAACAGTCAGGTTGCGTTTCTCTTGTCTCTGCTGATTTTTGCAGTTTTCTTAAAGTAAAATCAGGCTGCGTTGGAATAATCTGAGAAGGTGAGGAAAAAACAAAGTTATTATCCTGTAGCGATGCAGCCTCCCTTTTTACTAAATATCCATAATGCTTCTTCATATGTTCTGAATAAAATTCTATATTTTTTACAAAGAAATCATTGTAATCCTCGTCTTTGCTCTTTGGCTTAGCATTTAGGGGTGGAAGTTTATTTTTATTTTTGGTCTCTTTCAGGCTTTCTTGAGCTTTTACTGTTTGTGACACTTGTGACAGTTTTTGTGGCGGGGTTTGGCTGGTTCCCCCTGTTGATACTTGTTTCGTTGAGGTCTCAGATGACAGTTTTTTCGTAGGAGTTTGTCTGACTCTCCCTGTTGCAGTTTCTGTTGGCAGTTTTTTAGTAGGAGTTTGTCTGGCTCTCCCTGTAGTAGTCTCGGTTGGCAGTTTTTTAGTAGGAGTTTGTCTGACTCTCCCTGTTGTAGTCTCGGTTGGCAGTTTTTTAGTAGGAGTTTGTCTGACTCTCCCTGTTGTAGTCTCGGTTGGCAGTTTTTTAGTAGGAGTTTGTCTGACTCTCCCGGTTGTTGTTTCAGTTTGCAGTTTTTTCGTTGGAGTTTGTCTGGCTCTCCACGTTGTGTTTTTGAAGGTTTTGCTGGTAATTTCTCGGCAGTCAGTAGCAAGTGTGTGATTTGTTTGTTCTAGGTATTTTGCATTTTGCAGGGATACGCTGAATATGTTAGTTCTGTTATGATTTCTTTGAGCCCTTTTATTTTTTAATGAACTTGGTGTTGGAATGGAAGGATTTGTACGAGTTGTCGGAGAAATGGTGTTAGAAATCTCTTTGTTCATCTGCATTTTCAGGGTGTTAATGACGTGTTCCATTTGGTTTTGTTTCATTTTAATTTGAGCAAGTTCAGCTAAGAGGAAAGGACTGTGACCAGCTATACATTGATGGGTCTGGGCTACGGCAGGCTTTGTACTAACCAGATTTTCCTCTTTTTCATCCAGCTTAACTTCATTGTGTTTTTGTGTCAGATCTTTTATGTTCTGTTTAAGTTGTTGAGTTTCTTGTTCATATTTTTTTAATGTGTCTTCTTTTTCCTTGTCCAATTCTTCAAAGGTGTGCTCTAAGTCTCTGCGAAGCATCTTCTCATTGTCGAGCTGTTTTTCAAGATTATTGATGGTTTCCACTAACGAGTTGTTTTTCATTAACAATCTTTCATTTTGGTCTAATAGTGTGTCTATTTTTTCTTCCCAAGCTGCTGCTTCATTTCCATTTTTTATTTTTGTTACTTGAAAAGACAGTTTGGCATTTTCGAGACTCAGCTTGTGTACATCCTCTCTAAGTTTATTGTTTTCTTCAAGGAGAGCATTTCCAACCTCCGCTGCTAGGTTAAGAGAACTTTCCAAATCATTCTCTTCTGTATCAAAATTCTGTACAATGTTTTGAAAATCGTCCATGGTAAGATTTAAATTGTTTAACATAGGTTCGGGCTTGTTAATTGAGGTATGAAGTTGAGTGATGCAGCTAAGCAAGGTGTCGTCTGAGGTTTGACTTTCAGAGCAAGGCTTATCATCAGTTTTGCTTGATTTCCTTGCAAAAGCCATTTCTGCTTCTTTTAAAGCTGCATTAAAATATTTATTTTTGAAATTGTCTTGTTTAGGTTAATAAAAAAAAAAAAAAATAATAGTGCTGCACCCTGTTGGTAATCCTTGTAACTTTAATGCTATTGAACATCATAGAACAGAACCATCTTGTTTGATTGAAACAGCTGATAAGATTCATTAATTCCTTTTAAATATGAAAAATCATAAGGTTAACATGGGAAAATCCAGAGCCACTGGGGCGGAGTCCGAGAGTCCGATCAGAATAAAAACAACTTAGTTTTCCTATTTAATGCCTAAAGAATCGGTGTACCAAATTTCAGCCTCCTTAGGTAAATGGGAAGTGGGAGAATTAGTGATGAGTGTGTCAGTGAGTCAGTGAGTCAGTGAGTCAGTGAGTCAGTGAGGGCTTTGCCTTTTATAAGTATAGATACGCTACATGAAACTTTGTCGGTTGAACTCCTCCGCCATTTCTTAACTGATTTTATCCATTGACGTCTCATTGGAAAGAGCGCGTCGCGTAGATTTGCAAACTGACCTTACGTTTTTTTAAAGCCCCTTGGGCTCTGCCCCAGTGGCTGTTAAAGTTCCTATGTTATCCTTATGAAGAACATAATTGTTTACATTTTGATCAGCTGTATAATTTAATTGGTGTTATTTATTTTTCAAATTCAAAGTCTTTTAAACTCATCGGAAATTATTATGACTTTTATTTGTTTATGTATAAAATAACTACTTTACTTCACTTCTTTGCAATTGCTCGATTTCGAGCAACGTGTTTACTAGTCGGTATAAAAATTGGTTTAACAAATAAAAACCACTCTCAAAGAGAAAGCTCAGTAAATCACAGAATATAAGGACTTGTTTTGACGTCCCAGGACGTTTCTTAGGTTGTATTCGACAATAGTTTAAAATCTATCTCTTTCAGTTGAATAGCGGTGAATGCTGGTAGTTTCCAATGGTTAACTTTCTAAGGACATCTATATATTAGTAAAATGTATCAATAATAGTTTTCAATATGACAAACCCAGCCAAGGCCACACTAAAAAAACAGGCCGTAATGCTCGCCAAGCATGACGTCACGATAGAAGACGGCTATGACGTATAATTACTTATTTATTTATTTTCCAATGAAAGATTAAAACAAGCAGCTGATCACAAACGGCAAAATTACGTCATTGCCGTCTTCTACGGCATGCTGGACGAGCATTACGGCCTGTTTTTTTAGTGTGGCCTTGACCCAGCCAGTCTAGATTAACAAAAACCAAAGTTTTGTTGGATTGTATATATGAATCTTTTTCAGGAAAACATTAAGAGCGGCTGCAGTGTTTTCTCCCCCTGTGTGGAAATTAAAGGAAAAAATAAATTTTTATCAGACACTCCCAATAAAATAATGAGAAGTGGTGAATATAACAAGGTACCCACAATGTTAGGGGTGTGTCAGAATGAAGGTTCAACACTTCAATCCATCCCATTGTGTAAGTTAAGTTGTATTTACTCTTTTCATAAACCTTAATACACTGTATGAATACACTTTTAACGGCGTTGTTTTATCCTTCTTATGTATAAAAAATTAATTGTTTTACTTCAAGCCATGATTGGAGTGATGTATTTAAAAAATGTTAGTAATGTTTGTATTTTCAAGTGACTGGGCTAGAAGTAGAAGAAATTCTTTCTTTTATTAATTCAAGTCATGAAATTCTGGTTCCACATTTCCTGAATCTTCAGCCAGGAAGCTGCAAACAGAAGAATGCTATCAAAGACATAACTGAATTTTACTTCAAGAGAGAACCACTCACTCTAAATAACTTCTCTAAATATGTAAAAGTAAGTTTTATAAACTGTTGAAAAAATATTTTAATTAAACTGTTTTTGTACAAGCGAAGAAACTTCAAGCTTATAGTTTTTGTTTGAACAATTTATGTTTACTAGATGCAACAGTTTTGAGTCCTATTCCCTTTTTTATATTTGTATATATTTTTAATTTGTTATACAACAATTTTTCATTGTTTTAGTACCACAGTGATCTCCAGTTTAATCTTGGCTTTTCGGAAACTAGAAAATATTTGGTGGCAAACTCCTCCCTCCCAACGTATTCATATTTCTTCACCAACCATTCTGGATGCTCTTCGAAGCGTATACAACAGACTATTCAACTAAGTTCTGGATGCGTGTTCGAATCAGGTGAGGGAATAATCTTCTATAATACAACTTTCTTAATAGGAAACTATGAAATAGAGTTTCTAGATGCAAATTACCTTAAACACAGAAGGGCAAACAATGTTATTAATGTTTTGTAAGGTTAGATTATTTTGTGTTGCAATATGGTTCCACAGAATCACAATCAATAAATAACTCTTCCCTGTTTTCTTATTTTACAAACAATTCTTTTCTTTAATGTTCAGAAACATGCCATGGTGATGATACGATTTACATCTACAAATCTCCCCTCACTATGCCTGAATTGACTTCAGAATACAGACAGGCCGTGTCAAAACATGTCAAGGTCTGGACCACGTTTGCCCTGACAGGGTAGGTAACATTCCATTAACATTTTGTCAAATCATTAGTGTTAGTTTATAGTATTAATGGTTAGTAGTAATGTTATGAATTGGTTATTGGACGTTTTAGAGTATAAAGCGACTAATTTGTCAAGAATCAAAGGTAAGAAATATTCTAGTCACAACAATTTACAAGTTCTGCACTGTAATGGAGTGAAATAAAATTGAATTGACTGGTGGTACGTGAAAATTCTTTTATAATTATTTTCATAGTCCAGTTTGGAAATGAGGATTTTGGACAAGCAGGACCACGTTTTCATAGTTTCCCCCTCAAGAATATAAGATAAGAATGTGCAGTAAACTTAATATCAAATATCAAAGGAAACCCCGCCTTTAATATAATGAAAGCAATACCTTAAGTCTCAGGATTTGAAAATAATACTATTAAGGCCTAATACCATAGCCTCTTCTAAAACCCGGCCTACGTTGGTGTGTGATTATGTCGGGCCAGGCCAGCCTGTTGCCATAGTAATAACATTAATAACAAATGTGTGACATAAACATTAAATAGGGGCTCTAATGAAATTAGTACAACAGTTGTTTCGGAAGACCGGGTTTACGGTGTTGCCACTTTTGTCTCGCCACAGCCTTGTACCATATAGACTAACCAACACAAGTAGACTTCTCATCCCATTGTAAATTTTGAAGCACGTTTTTCATGTCTAGTTTATGTACTGTGTCACTGGGTGCTAGTGTTGACAAAATTATTATTTTAAGTTTTACTGGGATGGGTGGCGTCGTCCTGTAATCCAGCTACTAGGAGGTCACGAATTGTAGATATTTATAGGCATGCACTGTGGATGCGATACTCTCTGGTGTGGATTAACGTCCGCACGAGTGAGTACTACGACTATCCACGGTACTATCCTAATAATTAGACCAATTTGTATATACCAAGGCAAAAATGTGGTTCGGATTCCAGGTCCCTTAGTTAATTGCCATTAGCTGTATGGGCTATTAATTAACAGCTGTGTCTAGGGAATGTCGGCCTTAGTCACTAACAAGACTACAAGATCGCGCCACTCATCCTACACTCATCTTCATTCATACTTGGCTTAAAATACCTACTTTGTATGGTTGCCATTTAATAAGAAAGTATTTAAAGTATTAAAGTATTAAGTTAATTTCATGATTTGAGTTTTACTGTTTGGTTATATAACTAGGGAACAAGTTATTGTTTATGATTAGATAGTTTTATTTGGTTAGACGAGGTTTTAAATTACTGAAACAACAACAAATTGTAAACAAAACACAACCTCTGCAAAGCACCTTACAGAACTAACAATAAAATTGGCTTCAGCTGTTCCATAAGGATGAGAAATCTACTAAGGGAGTATGTTTCATCTATGCTTGTAGATATTAGAGGAGGATATGACAATATGTAATCAATGTTTCAATATAGTTTGTTTTAGGCGGGTGTAATTAGTTGAGGTTTTAGCTATGGAAAACCAACTCAACTAGAAAATTAAATTTGCCAAAGAGGTTCAGTGCCAATTGTTAAAATAAAAATGTTAACTTTTATGTGCCTTTTTCAATTGTGTGTTTTCCTCATATCAGTTTTAACATTATTTTTTAGGAACCCTAACAGTGAGGCGTTAGGAGTTAAATGGAAGCCAGACACTGAGTGCAGCCCCTGCTGCATGGACATTGGTACAGAGTGGCGGATGAGAGAAGGTGTGCCTTTCACCGAGAGAACCAACTTTTGGCATCAGCTCACCAAAAATAATTGTAAATTATAAGATAGGTGAATAAATCTTGAGGTATTACTTTTTATGTACCTTCATTACCAAATGCCAATAGAATAATACACTATCTTTTTAATCCAGTATTTTACCAGTAGTTATGATTGCAAAATTATATCTTCTCTTAATTTTGAAGCCTCATATAGCTTTAGAAATTTTAGAGTTGCATTTATTTTAAGTAAATGAAAGTTGAGGGTTTGAAGGGTAATACAGACCAAGTTTTAAACATTAACTAAATACTTTATTAAACGAGGTATATATTCAGCGCAAGCATTTCAAATGTACAATTAAGTAATATTCAAAACTTGTATAGCAATTTCATTTTAATAGAAAAATAAATACTCAAAACTATTGTTACCTGAATACTTAAACGTTCAGCCTATAAATCTACAATGTAGTGTGTCGAGTTTAACCTACAATGGTTTGAAAGCATTTCACAAAAATGTTAATACAATATAAACACTTATGACTAAGATCACAATTTAAGTCCCTAAATAATACTTATCACAACAAATTCAATAGCTTATACAAACAGATTCACAACTAAATGTACAATATGTTCAAAAATTTACAAGTTAACCTATATAGGAAAAACATTAACCATCCGCTGTTGAACAGCTTGTTGACTTAACCTAACTCCTGGCAACATTAGCGATGTTGAGCCGCGGTGTGCAGAATGACGGCTTTTCTTCTTTGCTAAAGCCATTGATATGGATTCCATTCAAGCCGTTCACTACGGTTTCAACTTTTTCCTCTGAAATCTTCTTCAATGGGTGTTGCTCCATTATTTTGTTCCCTGAGTTGGTATTTTCTTTTTGCTGTTCCATCACGATGTCAGTGGCCGCAATTATTTCATCCACACAGTTCTTCACATCATCTACAGTCGTGGAAGGACTGCAAACTACGAAGCGGATGAAGATAGAATCCATCAACTTGCCAGGAATCATGTAGACCTTCTTTCTTCTGTTGAGCTCCTCCACGATGGACGTACTCAGGCTGTTCTCTCCCTGGAATCAAAAATATGCATCGTAAACTTATTCTTGAAAATGCTATTTAGGATTATGACATTTAACAGCACAATTTAAAAGATAATAGATTAGTTTAATTTTTTGTTTATCAAAACTAGCTGTTACCCAAGGGCTTCACCCCGTTTGACATCATAAGTAGAATAAAACTATTGATTGGTTAAGTTAACCTGAAATAAACAAAATACAGTAAAAGAAACAAATAATCACACCTGATTTTAATAAGCTAATAAATTGAAAGAATAACAAACAAATAAGTACAGCTGAGGTATTTTTTACATTAGGTATATGAAAAGTTCCCTTTAGAAAAGAATTACGACCTTAAAGGGCAATTTATGAAATAATGGATAGTTTTGCACAAGGTTTCTTGTCATGACGAACATCTTAAGTATATCGTTTATGGGGGTGTGACTTGGTTTTCTCAAAAGTTCATGGGTACTTCTGGCTTTAAATATAGAAGATTTGCCAGTGTTAACTAGTAACTGCAAACACTAATAGATCTTCCAGTACATATATGTGTTCAATAGCAAAAAGAACAAAAATACTCATGCGAGTGAGTGTAGAGGTTGACTTGAGAAAGCTTTCCAATTGCGCTAAGATCAACAAACCGATCCAATTGTGTATGGATATTCATTACCAAGCCTTTTGAAATATTTAGGAAGGATGGGTTGATCAATAAAATATTCATTCTTACATAAAAGGTTTAGTAGCCTAATCATAATAAGGTGGGTTACAATTGGCATTTTTATAGAGTTTTCAAAACTAATAAGAGTTAGAGTTTATCATCTGGTTATTGTAAAATATATTATAAAAAATTTGGTCCTCACCTTAGCTCTGAAGCAGACCAGGCCCATGCATGTAGGAGATGCGAGTTCAAAACGAGAGTCAGCAAGAATCATTTTCTCAAACTCGCCAGCAAGAGCGACATGGTTACGGATGTGTTGCTGAAGCCCCTTTAGACCATAAGTTCGCAGAGTGAACCAAATCTTTAGGGAACGGAAACGGCGGCCCAGAGGGATCTGCCAGTTCTACAATACCAAAAGTTACAGCTTTAGTCAACATTTAATTCAAGCCATACTGTATTATAACAGTAGTGGAAGAATGAAAATTCAATATCTAGAACTCTAAAGGAAAGTTTTAAAGATACTTGAACTTTTAGTAAAAACTGAAATTTATCGCTCTCATCGTCATCAGTGAGAAAAACTAAAGTCCTACCATCAATGTTTACGGAAGTAAATTTCAAATAGGTAGGTACCAAGTATTTACATTCAAACAAATGACTAAGTTCCACTTCGTTACTTGATGATTTAGAGGTTCCGTTTTCAATATCTATTGTACCTAGTAAAACAATTAGTACGGTAATCTATTCTAATCCTTTATCTATGATATGGCTGGCAAACTATGCTTAGCGTATGTGTTTCTATTTTTTTTTATAAATTCCTAGTATTAGAAAAAAAGTTGATAGAGTATTATTTCTGACAGTGCACACTTACTCTGAGATCTGGGGCTTCAGTGTTGGGGCGGTGAGCCAAGTAGATCCTCTCAACAGTGAATGCCTCCACAATGTCTCGGCAACTCTTGAACCTGGAAATTACAATTCTTTAGTCATAAGACCCAACTAAACCATTGTAGAAATTAAATGTACAAAGTTTTCATAACAATATCCAATGTGAGGAGGGAAGATTAAAAGATATATTGAATATATATTTTTTTACTAATAATAAAAAAATATGTACACTCTCTACACATTTTCTTTATTAACTCATTACAATAATAAAGGCAGCATCGGTTTTGTTGTATGTAGATTGTGAAGTTAGGTTTTATATAAATCTGTAATCAGACACTTACCACATAGCAGAGCAGTCAAAGTTGACAAGCAGCCACTTGTGAAGGTTGGTCACCATGGAGTCTGCGTGGTGTAGGGAAGGCATGTAGTGTCGCAGCTCGGGGCAGATGAGAGCTACGCCTGCGTAGGCTGCATCCAGGTGGAGCCACACGTTGTGCGCCTGACACACTGGGCCGATTTCATCAAGGTTGTCAAACGCACAAGTTGCTGTTGTGCCGTAGTTGGCCACCAGCTGAAATTTAAGTTCTTATTAGTGATTTATTTTGTAGAAGATTAGAATTATTTACTATCGACTACGGATCTAGGTACGCTAGGTCAGCTAGTGAAAGAATCTATAAATTATCAAATGTTTCGCCAAAAAATATTAATTAAATATAAATTATAAAAATAAAACGCCAACAAGGCTGGTTAAATAATTAGCTAATAGGAAATTTTGATTCTAACGGTCAGAGAAATTAGTTTGAAATTAACATTTATTTTAAATTTTGTTTATTATTGAGATATTACACAAGAATATAAAAATGGTTCTGATATGTTAAACAACAATAAAGAGGCCTTATTAAGTTACAGTAGACCCCTCTTAACCTACCCTAATGGGGTGTAGATTGGATGACTCAAAAGGTCTGTTAAAACAGGCATTCCTCAAAAACTAAAAAAATGAAGTGCTTTCATTTGGAATTATATAATCATTAGCCTATTCTAAAGTCGTGCGTGCATTATTTACAAAAAAACTATTATTTACAAGTTAAATTTATCTACCTTCTTTTCTTAAGTATTGACAATAGAAATGTCACGAATAAACCCAAAACACGGTAAAGTCAAATACTGTCAGTGCATTAAATTATAGTCATAAGCAAGAGTTAATAATAATTCTTAATTTGATACCTTTAGTACTATTAATTTATGCTTTCCAAATCTATTGTAGGCCTTAAACAATAGGCTACAGAACTTACTGTCAAAATTAAAAATAACTTACAAGCAACCATTTTGTTACGAAACAGGATGTTTATTAATACATTAACATCCTGTAGAGTTTAGCGTATTGTTCCCATTGCCGAGCGTGGAGCACAAGTGCCGAGATTCCTAGAAAGCGGCGATCAAACCGAACTGCTCTCAAAACAAGGTCCGGTTAAAACAAACTTTAATATTTAACAAACGAGGGCGGATAATCTGTCAAACGCTATAGGGCCTAGGTTGGTTAAGAGAGGGTCGGAGAGGGGTTGGTGTGAGAGGGGTACTGTATTATGAAATTGCTGCAATTCTAATAATATAGGCCTAGCGAGATTCGAACCCGGAACTTTCAGCACATCAGCCCAGCACGCTAACCACTACACCTAGCTTATTAACAATTTATAGGCATACAATTTTATGTCTTTAATTCATCTATTCTTTATCTGAATGACTGGCTGTGTCAGGTCTATCATACTTACATAGCAAGGTATTAGGCCTTTGCTAATATCTTCCTCAATGGCTCGACGAACAGTCTCGCCACGGAGGCTTCCGTTCTCATCAGCCGGCAGTAGTCTCATTGGCACTGATGCCAACATTCCCGCCTTCTCCACTGAGCTATTGGACTGGTCGCTTGAGTAACACACCAACTTAGCTTTGATATCCTGCTCGGACAGCTCTGGGTGTTCCTTCTGTAAACGGCGGACAGCTTTCTCCTTAGCAACCAGCAGTCCCATCAGAGTTGCCTCACTAGCAGAACCCTGCAACATAGGTACACACATTTTGTTATTTCTGTTTTTGTTAGGCTGGTATGTTTCCTTCTTAAGTTACAGTTATCACTTTGTTGCTATGAAATTCTAGCCTTGACTAAGTTGTACATTGTAAGTTCTACAGTGTCTGTTAAGGGTGAAAAATGTTGCCTGTTTTTAGGAAAATTCAGAGGCCCTAAAGAAGGTTTAAACCCCTATGCTTGATTAAGTTTAATCCACTTGCAAATTTTAGGCTCCCTCAATCTTTTAACATTCTCCCCTAAATATTTCTCTTCATTTCATAGGTGAAATATGGTTGTTACATTAAACAATAACCTAGATAGAGCTTTTACCTGTAAGCAGCCTCCTCCTTCAGAATCGGAGCTGTTAAGAAGGTCTGTGGGTAAATCCATTGCCTTGGCCAACCAGTCCATCATGACCATCTCTAGCTCAGTACAAGCTGGGCTTGTCATCTGTAAAGTAGTCAACATTAGGCCTAAGTTAAGTTATTTCAGACTTGCTATCAAATAAGTTAACTTGTTTTGGAATGTTTGTAGATTTGGCTGCACTTTAGTTTACGTCCTACACTCATTCAAATGAATATATTGATCGATAAATCGATTATTTCATTCGACATATCAAGTTTGGTTAGTTAGGTTAACCTAACCTAACTAACCGAATGATATAATCGATGAATCGAATAGTCTATATAACTTATATTGATATTTTTTCATATTTAGATAAGGAATATATTTTTTACTGTTGTGAGTATACTTTACAATTAATTGTTAAGAAACAAAAATAACCAAAAATTTCATGATTTTAGCAATGTCCCTACAGACAACAATGTTATCTACAGTATATAGATATGAATTCAAATAATAAAGTATGTCTATCTATACATTATTTAATGATTACTAATATCTACTAGGCCTACATAACACTTAAACCATTAAACATTTTGAAGTATTGCTAATGTGGTGTAAGACTGACATTTTGACATTTTCCCTATTTATTTACATAACGATAACAAAAACAAAACAATCACATTCAATATTTTCAAATAAACACTGCCATCGCAATATCATAACCTCAAAATTACAAGTATGATGGTAATAAGAAAGAGCATTAATATATTACGTATTGGTATTAGAAGCTAATAATTTAAGAAACACTACAGTTGTAAGGTGTTTCTCGTTGAAAAATTAAACAAATTATTAAAATTGATAAAACATAGTTTCCATATTCCTAATTACAAAACCTGTTGCTGTAATTCGTTGAATGAGATTGGTAGTACTGTTTCCCAAAATAAAATGAAATAGAAGAACCCTTTCCTCTTCCTGCCTGCTCTGCTAGCCTCTCTACTGTGTTGTTTGATTCTGGTGATTATTGTGTTTATTTCTGTGACATTTTAATTTGAGAGTGTTAAAACTTTTTAATAATCAAATCTTTCTTTACTCTAATCTTTACTACTATCTTCTTTACTACTAATCTTTACTCGTCTATCCGGTAAGTAAACAATGACGCTTTTAATAGTGATATAATTTTTGTTGTGTTAACCTAGCTTTACTTATAATTTATTTGAAGTGAATTTCTTAAAAACTTACCCAGCTAAAGCCCATAACTCCTAGTCCAGCACTCATCAATTCACCGATTATGGAAGGGAATGAGCTTGCTGTAGGGTAGTAACTGTGGAATCCTGGGGCTTGCCAATGTGTTACCTGTTAGACAAAAATATAGTTTTAATCAAAAATAAGTATATATAATTGGCTATGTGTTAACCATTTAACTTAGGCCTACCTAGCAACAAATTGTGAAGTACCGGTACTAAAGTTACTACTGGTACAAAGATTTCACAGTAGTTTACCTAACCTATTTTAACAAGCTGGTTAGGTTATTTTAGATGGCTTTAAGTTACAAAATCAACGGTAAAATCTTATTGGTCAGCGATGATGTTTTACATTACTGAAGGCTACCCTCGTGGCTAAAGCTGATCGGAAAACTAAAATACAATAATTAATTATTTATTTGGGTAAGTTAATAACTTAACTGTGTCTAGTCTGATTTCGTCTTCTTGATAACTTAGCCTAGACATTTTATCAAATTTTAAACTATTTATCTGTCATCAAGCCTTTATTCTTTCAATAACTTACAAAGGTAAGTTACAACTAAGTTATAGGCCTACAAAGGTATTTTGTTTTAAAAATGTGCAAGCTCACTTAGGAAAGGTACTTAGGCCCCTGACTTAGTAAAATGTTACAATAGGCCTAATTTGACTCCACTTACCCCTGGCATCACCACTGTGTCCATATCCTTCAGGATATCCTGCCAGGATTGGCCATCCTCCGGGATAGAATCTGCAACCAGAGGACGAAGATATCCTGGGTTGACAGAGGGGAGAACAGGCCTGAAAATCATAAAATATTTTAACTCAACTTAATTCTGTTAGTTTACCTTAGCAAACCTTTACAAACAGCGTCATACTAGTTAAAAACAAATTTTAATAAGTTAACTTAATTACCATTTCGTAAATTAGGTCAATGACCCATGATTACAAAGACAACGTTGTATTAGGTTACAGTACTGTAGTTGCATTTTTGGGAATATGCCTACAGTGAAGTTTTGAAGCTCACAAGGCAGGCAAAAGGTGATTAATTTATAATCTCAAAATGTTAAGTTTAGGCCTACCGTAAGTGGTAGGTCACGATCAATACCACAACAAATCAACTAACAATCTTTCAAGTTTTTCACAAGTATTTATTCATTACCTGTCACGGACGGTTTCATAATATTCAGCCAAGTAGTCAATGGCAGCTTTTCCAAATTCCCTAAACTGTTGGCTATCCATCTCGCAAACTGATTCTGGAAAAGAAAGACAATTGTCATGTCTCTACAAAATTATACATTACACAGGTTCTATTTTCCGTTAAACAGTTTCCATAGTAAATTTGACTTTTGGCATCCATAAATGAAAGATGATGACAAGTTTCGCTGTGTAAAAATCTGGTAGACATAAATAATGCTCTTACAGCATTACAAAATTGTAGGTTTTAAAGCTCTAAAAGCCTTAGTTGTACTTTAATAACACCCTTTAACTAGGAATTTATGAAAACAAGATTTTGAATCTAGGTTATGCAGAAAGGATTTTTCTGATCGATTTTGTCTCTAAATAATGTGCATTAAGCCATAAGAAAAATCTGTTTGATTTAAGATATATAGCCTTGTTAAAATGTCCAATAAGTTTTTTCAATAACTAAGTTTATTCTCTCCGAAAAAATGTGTTAAATTAATTAAAATGATTTACCTAACTGTATAAAATAAAAAAAATAATTGAATTTTTTACCGTTGTTAAGACCTTTTATAGAGTGTAACTAAGTTATTTACAACTCTGTTTTCATCTTTATGTTTATATATTTACATAAAATTATGTAGATAATTAAATACGTGTATTATTAGTATTACTGTTTTACTAACTCTCTATGGTTCCAGAGATAAAGTTATGAATTTTTCAAAGTACCGGTACTCCTAAGTACATGTGTATTCATAAGACATCAAAATTAGTATAACCTTATCATTTATTATGCATACAGTACTATTATTTTGCTCTTAGTTGATTGACAATAACCTATTTAACTTGTTATCGTGTAGCTGTATTTGCACAATATTACCGAATTAATCACACCTTATGTACAGCATAGACAGTAGAGATTTCTATCTAATAATTTTTCAAATGATAGATGGATAGTTTTTAGGACACTAAAAAATTAGTGAACATTTAACACTTGTTTGAAACAATGATGTTATTTCAAGCTTAAAATTTCAAAGTAAATTTGGAAACTAAGTACCGGTAGTCTAAGAAAACAAAACTATTTATTTATTTTTTAAATTCAAAATCCTCTAGTAAAAAAATATTTAAATTTTAAATAACAAATATATTTAAAAGCATAATTTTAAAAACTTAAAAAGATTGTTGTCAAAACCTTACCTGTAAACAAAGCAGATATAACTAATCCAAAACACTGTGTAGTCTGTACGACTGAACCTATACGACTGATAGGGAGAGAGTGGTGAGCACTTTTATATGAGGGCAGTGAACAACCAGTTCTCTCAATACGACGAACGCGGAGAAGACTCGGGCGTCATCGCAGGGCAGTGACGTAGTCGGTGGCCGGGCTAGGGAAATACGCAAGCGCAGGAATGTACAGGAAAACTCTGCGAGAAATCATATGGCGAGTTGACCGGTCACTTGCAGAACGTAAACAAAGACAGCAATGACGTCATGGTAGTGCGTCAGAGGGTAGCATGAGGGTAGTTCTTAGTTCCGAGAAAAGGGGGTGAAAGGTGTTTACGTGAGTTGGGTTTACGTGAGTTTGGTGGTTTATTTAGAAAGGTTTTATGTGTTAAGAAGTAGACTATGGAGTAAATAAAAATGACAATTTTTTGGGTATGAACACACTGTAGTAGTAGGCATATAAATGATTATTATAGTTCATATAGCCTAAAATGTGCAATGGGGCTCGGCAGCTGTCCTTGATCATTGGGCTTTTGAAATGTTATTGACTGAGGAAACAGCAGATCCTCTTCATTTTATAGCTACACTTGCCTTCCATTATATTCAGGTTAAGATACATAACTAATTATGCAACTTACTTCACTGTCTTAGTGAAATAATTAGTCGATTACCAACTAATTAACATCATTAATCGATGTTTTTGGTTATCAAGGAAATCAAATTTTCTGGAACGAATCTCTAGAATGCAAAGGCAAGGTTCGAGGAAACACTGGAACATCGACAATGAAATGAAAGTTGCTCATAAAAGAAAGAAAACATATAAGTGCAGTGTAATCAAAGTAACGGTGCCAGAGAAATTTTAAGTTAGCTCTTTAAGTATTATCCTTGGTATACGGTTTCTAAGCAGACAAACTTTTACTAGCATGCCATTCCCGAAATTATAAATTATTATTAATTTTTTAAAAAACTATTAGTTCAACTAAAATGTTGCAGACATAACCAGAGTTGCAACATTGATTAGTTTAATGTCTATAATAGACCTCGATGCTATGTTATAACACTTTATTGCCATCTTGTTCTATAAGCATTGCACGTCCTCGCTCGACAGCATATGTTATTAGTTTATCTCCAACGGTTTGTCATAATGTATGCATAAAACGTTTTTATAGAAAATAAAATAAAAGTATATTCGATAAAGACGTAACATACGTATTTTGTATTATGCAAAACACCAAATTTGTTGAGAAACCTACATTTTTGATAGGATTTTTGTGTATTTGGTTTCCATTCCTTTCACAGTTTCCTTGTACAAAGATTATCACAAAACTACCATTAACGATTAACCCCTATAACCGTTGAAATAAGGTTAACAATCAAAAATAATTCAGAATCCTACTGCTTTTGTTTTTGTGCTGCTACCAATCATCATTGTTGCGTTTCCATTTTACATATCTTGCTTGTCCATGTCAGTTAGAACTTGATTCAATTTATCTTTAGTATATTCAATATAGAGTCTCTAAAGTTTGAAAAATATAGCTGCAGGAACAAAAATATGGAAATATACTCTTATGGGTCTATATAGTTAGACGGCGGAATCACGAACAGGAATAAACCAGTATTAATAGGTACTGTAGACGTAAAAAGTGTAAACGTATTCGTATAAAATCTTCCTCTGTGGTTTATTGTTGATTCAGTGCGATGAAAACACAATCGATAATTGGTAGGTCTATGAGGAAACTAGCTCAAACTAAAGAATCGGCCTTGAGATTTGAGGTTTATAGCATTGATATTTTTATAGATGTGCTCAATCATAGGAACTAGAACCAAGGTCTGTAAAATACAGACCAGCCGTGTTTTAAGTCGAACAGGCAAATATCATTTTAACAGTATGCGTAGATTTTCCCTGCGATACACACAAGCTGATAAAAAATGTTTTCAAGAAGCATGCTTGCTTTATAGAATGGAATATAGTTGCTATCATCGCAAGCTTGCTAGGTATGTATTCCATTTTTCAACGAAATCCCTTAAAATGTAAACAAGATGTAACTTCTTGATCAGCATCGTACACGTGATTAAATTACCTTTAAAACATAAATTACTAGTGTTATTAGACGTATATCTTTTTCGTTATTTCAGGAAATCAGATGTATAGGCCTATATAGTATGTGCTCATTGAGTTCAGTTTGTAAACACTGGTTGCGGAGTTCCCAAGATGCAATGTGATAAACAAACACATATCTCGCTATCCTTGACATTGAACCTGAACTTGATACTACTCAGCGTGCCACGGACACCAACCGATGTCAAGCGATATTTAACCGGTTCAGCGTGGGAGTTGAAATGTCGAAACATTTACCATCGAATCCATATCTCGCCATCCTTGACATTGAACCTGAACTTGAAACTGCTCAGAGTGCCACGGACACCAACCGATGTCAAGCGATATTTAACCGGTTCAGCGTGGGAGTTGAAATGTCGAAACATTTACCATCGAATCCATATCTCGCCATCCTTGACATTGAACCTGAACTTGAAACTGCTCAGAGTGCCACGGACACCAACCGATGTGAAGCGATATTTAACCGGTTCAGCGTGGGAGTTGAAATATCGAAACATTTACCATCGAATCCATATCTCGCCATCCTTGACATTGAACCTGAACTTGAAACTGCTCAGAGTGCCACGGACACCAACCGATGTGAAGCGATATTTAACCGGTTCAGCGTGGGAGTTGAAATATCGAAACATTTACCATCGAATCCATATCTCGCCATCCTTGACATTGAACCTGAACTTAAAATTGCTCAGAGTGCCACGGACACCAACCAATGTGAAGCGATATTTAACCGGTTCAGCGTGGGAGTTGAAATATCGAAACATTTACCATCGAATCCATACTTCGTTGATTATTCTCGCCATCCTTGACATTGAACCTGAGTTTGAAACTGTTCAGGGTGCCACGGACACCAACCGATGTGAAGCGATATTTAACCGGTTCAGCGTGGGAGTTGAAATATCGAAACATTTACCATCGAATCCATACTTCGTTGATTATTCTCGCCATCCTTGACATTGAACCTGAGTTTGAAATTGCTCAGAGTGCCACGGACACCAACCGATGTGAAGCGATATTTAACCGGTTCAGCGTGGGAGTTGAAATATCGAAACATTTACCATCGAATCCATACTTCGTTGATTATGCTCGCCATCCTTGACATTGAACCTGAGTTTGAAACTGCTCAGAGTGCCACGGACACCAACCGATGTAAAGCGATACTTATATATATTTTAAAGAGCAAATGTTTATTTAGTTCCTCGTGGGATATTTTAAAAATATATACACTCTAAGTGTTCTTTTTTGAATTTTCAAAAAATACTATTTTTTTGCTAGAAAGTTACTTATTAATTTTCTTAATCTTGTGGGTTGCATAAATCAAAATCCTTCTGTTAGGAACTAGTATGTTATGTATAAAGTATGTAGTAAACATTTGGATACTCTTAGTCTAAAGACAGGTGAGAAAAGTGACATCAAATTTTGAAAAACTAACGTTCATAGCGAATGATTAAAAGTAGTAGTCGTACTGTAACCCAACAGCAATAACACGATATAACGTAAAAAATACGTAAAAAGAATGGGTTAAATAATTTTAAAATTTTCGATGATTTTTTCAGTCGCAGTCCCCTTAAAACTCATTTAAATGTCTCCAGAGCCCCTCGACGTGTACTAATTTAGCATAATTTTATTTATAACTGAGGTAGATCAATTTTTTATCCACTTTGGGTAGTACGTAGTAAAGGAGACTATAGAACTTATAAAACTTTACTTAATATGCAGGTTTGCTGTGCTAAGGGTATTAGTACGTGCCATTGTCACACAAATACTTTAAATATTGACACTAGACTATCTGTTTGTAAATATTGAAAGAACAAATTAGATTAGTTCCTGGACAAACACACAACAACCAAGTTCCTATCAAAGAAAACTAATTTATATACTCTTCGTCTGATCAAATTAATGTTTTGAGCACATTAGGTATTTAATTTTAAATCTCTATTAATGTATAAACCAAAGCGCATTACTGAAACCAGCATAAATCTATTAGTTTTTAAGTTTGCGTAATGCACGAACTCTTATTTGTTCATATGAATATATGTAACTCACGAGCTCCTATTTACCCCTAACTCCTATTTAAAAAGCATTTTGGGTTTCCCTCGTTTTTGTATTTGAAAAATATAATGTAAATATTTCTGTTCACACAATGTAAAGGCTCTGATAAAAATGTATTAACTAGTATAGTTTTCAATTGTTTTTGCATACGCATATACCTTCTTGACTTCTTACTAAAATTACCTTGGTTTCGGTTTTATTTTAATTAAATTGGGCATTCATGTTACTAAACGTTTAAATTTATTTTTTCTAATGCACAACTGAAAAATTAAGAAAACAAGTAACATTTTGCGGTAGCGTTAAATTGGAAAATCGTAAAGTGAAAGCCAAATATTCGCCACAACGAAAAGCAACCGCACATACCGTGACCAAACTATTGGCATTATATTGGCAAGTCATTTCGCACACAATTAATTTCAACTGTTGGCGACACTGAACGACTTCCGAACACTGTCCTACGACAACAGCTGAGTGCTGAACAGCCGATAGAAAGCTTGATGGGATCTTACAATAAACCAGCGCCGAATAGACTTCGTCGTGCGGAACAAAAAGCTAAATCGACGCTTTTGTTTGGCTTTTCCAATCAAAGTTGCGTAACTGGAAATCTGAAAGGTCATTAACATCAACAGTGACCTCGGCGATAGAAGATAACTCTGTTTAACAGTGAATCATCCGAGTAACTGTACTTTCTTCGATTACAACATCAAATAAATATAGTCACAAGTCCAGTTTACTTTTAGTTCAGATTTTACTTTGGCTCTTCATAACTAAGTTGATGATGAGAATGAGAAATGTATTTGATGGCGACAAGTTTTGCCAATTGTGTCGTGTATGACAACATCGAAAATTTTAATTATTGTTCTAATTATTGATATCGTCCAAACGGCTCTAAATCTAGCATAATCAATAATCT